TTTATTCTTAATTTTACTTTTATTAGTTTACTAGTTTATCTTTAGTATAGGCTTTAGCTAGTATTTTAGCTTATTATATAGTATTATTAAGGGCTTATTATATCTCTAGTATTCTCTAGGCTAATATATAGCTCTTTAGATTAAGTAGTAACTAGTTAAGTATATAGACTACTTATTATTTTTTAGCTTATAGGTTAAAGTATTTTACTTTAATAATCTTATACTTATTAATAAATTATTAATATAACTAGTTAACTTTTTACTTTATATTATTAAGCTTTATTATTATACTAAAGGCCTATATATTAGTATTAATAATATTATTCTTTAACTAGGTCTTTATTATCTTCTAGGTTACTTTCTTTATTTAGCTATTATAGTAGGCTTTAATATACTTTTATTACTTATATACTAAGTTACCCTTTAGTATAAAGCTAGTATACTATATTTTACTTTAGTTATTCTTAAATTTTTTCTTTATAACTTTAAATTATTTTTTTAGCTTAAATAAAAAGTCTTAAAGGTTATTTTATATATTTTTTTTATATTAGATTAAAAGTAACTACTTTAATAGTATATTAATATAATAGTACTTATACTTTAGCTAAAAAGTAATAGCTTAGCCTAGTATATTATATACCTTTTTAATAAAGGCCTTATTTATTAAAGCTAAAATCTAGTTAACTATCTTTTTTTTTTAGCTTTTTTTATTTACTTCTCTAGGAGGTACTTAAGCTTCTTTTTTATTATCTCTTTAAGGTTTAATATAGCCTTTCTACTAGCTGTTATAGATCTAATAGGAGAAGCAAGGCTATAATAGGCAATATAAAGTAATATAGTATAAAGGTAAAATATAATAGTAGAGCAGTAAAATAAGGCAAGTAATAATAAGGAGCTAAATAAATAACATAGGATAAGAGCTAGGTATAAGTGTAGGTTATTTATTAAGGTTACCCTTCCTTATAGGAGGAAATAGGCAATAGGATATATACCCCTAGGCATATACCTAGACATATACTAACAAGGTAATCCTATGTTCTACCTGTCTATCTACTATATAAGGCACTTGTCCTATAACAAGGTTACTCTAAAGCTAATATTATACTAGTAGGCCTTTATTTTTTACCTACGCCTAGGTATTATTACTATCTAGGGTTAGTTACCTAGAAGTAACACTTATACCTTACTAGGTAGTAGCTTAAGTATTAAGAGGTAATATTATAGCTTTAATAGTTAATATACCTAAAGATAAATAAAGATTAAAATATATTAAAAAAATTATAGTACTAAGTAAAAGAGTTTATAAATAGTATAGTTAAGGGTTAATTATAACTATTTTTTAATTTACCTTCTCTTAATTTTCCTGTTCCTATAAACTCTGCTTTTATATAACCCTTAGATAATAGTTTTCCTAGTTGTAGCCCTACAGCTGGTGGTCCCCTGGTGCCCCCCACCTCTGGCTCCTGACAATCTGGGACCCCTTGTCGGCCATGCCACGTCGTAGGACACGTGACTACTTCGCCCTGCACGCGAGGCCTGGCCCTCCGGCCCTTACAATACGGTAGTCTATCTCAGACTAGTTGTGCCGAACCTTAGTATTTAGTGTAGCTAGCCTCACTATCACACTCAGGCGACAAAGAACAGGGCAGTTTTCCCTTACTGCCATCGCTGCGTCAATAAGCTATTTAGCATCTGACACAGTAAAAAGACCTATTTATGAGACATTTACAAGCACGAAATAGAGGGTTTCCGCCTGTTTCTTACCGTCCTATGGAGGCTCTTGAGTCGATGGTATTCGTAGTGCTCTAGTGATGATATGGCAGTCGGCCCTGTTGTACTGTCACCCGACTGCACGCTTACCATCCTTAACAGCTCTACTAACGACGTCAATCTTGTCAACCTTAGCAACCATGACGGCCTCATATTCCCTTGGAATGCACAAACGGAGAGCCCAGCGATGCGCTCGCACCGACAACGACGCGGGTTTCATGTGTTGGGACGGCTGCCACGGCACAATCCAGCCCGTCTCGTGGCTGCATGGCTGAAAGGGCCAGCCCGTTTTGGCGACCTGATGAGTGCCCGTTCTTTCCCAACGTACACACCCATTGTTGTCATTGGGCTTCGAGAACATACAGCCAAAATCCAGATCTGTAGGGGGCATTCCGTGGTCGAGGATCGAAGACATCCCCTTGAATCTGTCCTCCCGACGGGCAGGTGTGAGTGGGCTGTCATCATCGTACGTTGGCGCCGCATGCCATCTGGGCGACGCCGCGTCTAGGCCCGAAGATCCCACCAGTGTGCGCACCCCTCCCCGGTCAACGACTTATAAGTTCGGGTAAGACTAGCGTCCCTCCCGTTTGGGACTGAAGGCCCGTGGCGCCAGCGGGAGTATGTAATATGGGGGGGAACGAAGTCTCGTTGCAATTATCGTGAGATGGAACCTCAATGCGAATGACGGGCTTGAGTGGAGGGGGGGTTGCACGGAAGGAAAAGTCGGTATTGCTCTAACGAGGGGAGGCATATCGCGCCGAGCACGCAGTACGAGCTGGCAAAGGAGATTGCATCAAGTTACTGCCACACCACAGGCAACCCCAGGCGAAAGGGGGACGTTTTGTCGCATGTTTACTCCGTAGAGAGTTTGTCTTTTCGGAGACGGCCAAAACTCCGACTAGGCATTCGATCCACCGTGCCTCCGTTGGCGACTATGGACGTCATCTAAGGTTCATAGGGCTGTCTCGGACCTGGAAGGGCTAGCCGGGGCGAGGAGATCGGACATCATTATACTGGCCATGGCCTTGAGCTTGATGGTCGAGTTATCAAGTCTTGGCAATCAACGCCCACGATGTCGTGAACACTTGTTGGTCCAAAGTGCCGCAGACATATTGGTAGCCAAGATGGAAGATGGCATCCATAAAAAGAGGTAGCGGTTTCCCAGTCCCGACCAAACAACATCTGCATGAAATAAGAATAATAAAAAAGCCCCAACAAAGAGATTGCCGGACATCGCCGGTTGGACTGCCAACAACGACGCCGACAAGACAGCCCTGAGATACAGGGTTCCACCGACGGGAGAACAGCTCGCTTGAGAGGGACCTGGAAGAAGATAAAAAAATAAAATAAAAAAAGACGACCGAGCCGCACCGGGGCCTGTCCGCCAAGAAGCAAGAAATGCGGAGAATCTTGGGGGATTGAGTGTTGAAGACCAAAAAGCTGGGAAAGCTGGCAGCCCAGCACGCCCCACAGCGGCAGTCCAGATGCTACCGAGGGGGAGGTCGGTGATGGTCTAGAACCCGCGACGTGGTATTAGAGAGAGGCCCTTGGTCTTAGTCTGCCAGTATGGCTGTCCAAGGCATTGATCCCCGCCGGTGTTCCAGTGTTGTTGACGCCCCGGTTGACGAATGTCTCCCCGGGACACGCCCCCTCGCCCCTGTAAGAGCTTGAGGGGATACCCTCGCGGGGGCGGACTTACGGAGAGGCGAGTCGAGGCCGGATTGGCGATGCACAAGCATGGCACTCGGGCATTTCTGACTGGAGCAAAGGTCAGGCTGTGGACCAAACTGGAGCGTAAGTTGGAGAAGTATTGGAGAACGCCCCGGGTACAGGACGCGAGATGCCCACACCACCTTGCCTGCTATCTCCGGATCGGCGCCGAGGCAGTGGACGGGGATGGCGAAGACGCGCAGACAAACGGAGAAGTGACTTGCAGCCAGCCCAATGGGACTTGCCACAGACTTGATTGGCAATCGATCGATCCATGGGATGACGAGGGGGATTGGTAATGGTCTCGACAATCGAGATATCGAACCCGCATAAGCTGAGTCGTAGAGAGAGAGGAAAAACCAAGAAGGGGGCATTAGCCGCAGATGGCGTCCACGTGCCGAGCTTCAACGGCCCAATAATAGGAACAAAATCAGACGATGGCGCCTTCACTGCGATCACAGACAAGAGTTGTGTATAATGGGTTTGGTTCAACCCAGAAAGGAATGCAGCGCATGGACCGAAACAACATGGCGTTCCAACGCGAGGGTGACCGAGTCAGCGAGCAGCATAGATATTGGCAGGGAAGGGAGTGGGGGAAAAGGGGGGGGGCAAGGGGAATAAAACTCGCAGATGGGTAAGAAGAATGGCATCAGGGAAAAGCCATCGATCGATTCAATGCTGAAGTAGGGCCCAGGACGAAGGAGTATTGGCCTGTCATCGACATCCAAGGGTTCCGATGGCGCGAGTAAGGCGTCCGGGCCTCCGTAGCGTACACAGGAGGCGCGCGAAGGGGGGTGAGAAACAGAGCCAGAGGAACAAACAGCAGTAGTAGGCATCGATTCGATCTTGTTTCGATTCGATGATCGATGTGGAATCACAGTTCCCTGGCACAGTTCCCTGGCTCAGGCAACCGGAGCCTTCCCTTCCGCTCGAGAGACGACGGCGGAGTCGAGTGCAAAGAAGGAAAAGTTTCAGACGCTATCGAGGAAGAAAGAAAAAAACCGGGCTAAACTCACGCGTCGAAGTGCACTTTCGCGCCGGGGCGGTACACCAAAGCCGAAGAGGCCTGGTCCGCGACGAGATCTCATCTCAGGGAAACAATGTCGTGCGTGCGATTTCGCATGCGCATGCCACACCCGCGCTCCCGTCAAGCGGCGGGCGCCAGAGGCTTGTGCCGGCATCTCGAGATCCCGTGCAGTCCGGACCTTGGACAGCGGACCCTTGACGGTGTCTTTTCTCCATCACGGCGCCGTCGAACCGCCGGACAAAGTTCCCGGAGTAGATGAGAATACACGAACGATACCGTACACGCCGAGGGCATTTTTGATATCGAGGCATGCACGACGGCCTGCGAGATGTGAGCGGCGGGGTCTCTTGACCTCGTGCGAGGTGACTTGCGTCGACGATTGGCAACATGTTCTCGTGATGCCCCCGGGCGCCCCCCCCCCCCCCCCCCCCTTTCCCCCGTCGCAAACGATGCACGGCAGAAGACCGAGCAGGAAACACAGTCGAGACTGTTGCTTGGCCGTCCGTTCCATGCGCATCATCGAATGTTGCTGTGCACTGGGCCGATCGTCGGCTGCCGATGCGCTCGCTGCTCGATGCGATGCGTCTGCTGGCGCTATCCCCTCTGCCGCGCGCTCTGCCGCCGATACTCGCAAAACACATACCTTGGTGCCCTTGAACGATCGGCCGTGTCCGTAGATCGTCCGTTCCCGCAGGTTGCATATCCGCACAGCTGATCATCGACAGAAGGAGGATGGACAAGACCGAACAAGCTCAAGAGGATGGCGGACAACAGTCTCCACATGGCCATCCATTTGCTGTGAGCGGAGGAGAGAGGTGGAAGGATACCGGTAGAGTACTCCGTACGGGTAGGTTAATAAACAGAAGGGGGACCACCCCACCGAACGGGTAAGGCTTGGTTGACAATGCCGATCACCTGTGCGCCATTGGCCAGAAGTTCCTGACGGGCCTGAATGGGATTGTTCGATCGGTAACAGGTTGTCGATGGTCGTGAGTGATCTACTTGGTGCCAAGAACGCACGTATGTTTTTGTTGGAAAATCGAACGCAGCGTCCGACGCTGTTCTCTTGTTCATGTTACGTGTGCATCGACGATACGGCTCCCCTTCCATCGACAGTGTCTCGTTTCGTCCTTGACGCGCCCCCCCCCCCGTGACGTGTGGAAAGTAGGCGAGAAGACGCGACCCGGCCGTTGGGTAGCCGCGGGTCTCTTCCTTAGCTGACAGTAGTAGGGCACGCCCCAGATCGAACACGCCCCCCCAAGACTTTTCAAGGGAGTCTCTGGCGAGCGGGACTATGGCCGAGCGAATGGTGGGTTTCCAGAGAGGCTGCTGCCATGTTGGCGTGGTTGCTGTGATATGGACTCGGGAAGAGTCCTGGTGGAGTAGGAGAACCAGTTCTGCGGATGGGGTTCTTCATCTGATCACGATGCACCGAGGGGGAAGTGTCGATACCTGCTAAGAACCCCGATGGAGGAATCGAGTCTACCCCTCCCGTCCTCCTCCATTGTTCTCAAGCGTCTCCCTTTCTCGCTACTAGCTCCTCCACGACGACTATGCAGTGGCGTGAAAGGGCACTACGGCAAGGGGCATTGGCGTTGTCGCCGCGTGGGCCACTTTGCCGAATGAGATGTAGAAAGGGAATAGTAATGCAGATAGACGTGTCCAGTATCCGTGGCATGGGCTCGCTCGGTTGCGCGCGCGCGCGATCGATCGTCTAGTGTAAGGAATTGGCTGAATCCCCTCGGCAGGGGTCTCACTTTTGGGTGGGCACGAAGAGTTCGTTCAGCGTGCCGCGGGCAAGATTCTCGATCAGCGCCGATGATTGGGTGGCCGCGGTGAGTTAAGTTGGAGCGCAGATGGGCGAAATGGGTTTATCATGAGACGACACCAAGAGAAGGTCCAAGCCTCCATGCTCCTTGACAGGCCGCGAGCCACGACGCGGGGTTATGCATTAAAAGCCAGTCCGGTGGACCCGAACTCAACGATGGCCAAGATACCGAACACTTGATATCTGGTGCCTAGCACAGAGAAAGGCGGGCGACGCTCGGGAGGGCTCGGAGTTGATGGAGTTTAGACAACGGCATCTCGCAACTGGCCAGGCACCCGGACGGGATAGATGCTGAGAAGAACAGGGCGGGTCGGTGATCAGGAGTCAGCGCCAGAGTCTTCCGATGCATGCATGCATGCGTGCATCCATCCATCCATACTGGGCCAACGCCGTGGAGGAACGGCCGGGGGGGGGAGAACGACGACAGGGTTGCTTGCTGCTGTACGTAGTCATCCAGTCGCAGCGGCCGGGTTTTGCGTGTTGCATAGCCCGTTTTCCAGCATCCTTTTTGGCCTTGGTACAAGAAAGGTTCGCTGACAAGACATGCCGTGCCTGTGTTTCCGAGTGTGACTGTTTCGAAAGCCTCGGTTTGTGACTTGTGGCTAGCGGCAAACGTCTTCCACGGCTTCTTCCTTTTCTAGGGCGGCTTACGAATGCCCTACCGTACTACTCCGGCGCCGCCCAGCTAGCTGGATAAGCAGACTAGTGATGGCGCATGGAGTACGACTCACCTGGACGCGCAACGGGACAAGGGGGGCGATGCAGGAGTAGTAGCAGCAGCAGCAGCAGCAACAGCAACAGCAACAGCAGCAGCAGCAGCAGCAACAGCCACAAACCGCGGGCGTTCGATGTTGAGATGCGGGAAGGAGAGGTTGAGGCAGTTGCGTGACATTGGGTTTGGCATACATGGAGCTTGCGTGGTCTTGCATGGCATTCTTTGTTTTCCCGGTATTCCAGTCCAGCATCGCAGCGGGATGTGGGGGGGAGGAGGGGGGTTTCAACATGAACCACCCAACCTCATCTTTGCCGAACGGTGTGGAGGGGGTTGGATGGATGGGTGGATGGATGGGTAGAATACGGAGCATCCGTACCGGGGTGAGAAACAGATTCGAATCCGTGGACAAGGCAATAGTGGATGGGACGGCGCTCAAAGTGTGCAACGGGTTGTCGACCATGATTCGCCCAGCAGCGTGTTCTCGATGGTTTGCAAGATGACCGATGAGGACGGGATTTTGGAAGCGTGCTAAGGGCTGCCGAATCAATTCCTTAGCGACACTGCCAGGACGCGTTACTGATAGCTGTGCAAGATAACGGATATCCCCAGGAATGCTCGGCGCCGAGGAAAAGCTCGCTCGGGTAGTGTGGCTACCTAGCTGTACGGTGCCCCCTTGTGTTACCCAGCTCGCTTTTGTGCAAGAAACCCCAGCTCCCTACCCGCATATAACGCTGCCGGGACGTTTGGCGTTCTGCCCTACGGGTCAGGAGAACTGGACACTAAGATGACATGCCGTGTGCGAGCAGCAGCAGCAGCAGCAGCAGCAGCAGCAGCAGCAGCAAGAGGGGTGGGCGAAGAAAAGTTTGGACGGTGGGAAGATCAGGCTTTACGGTGACTGACGCCCCGCGCCCAGCCGTACAAAACAGAACAGGAGCTTCCCAGAACGTCCAAGCTGAAGAAAACGGGACCCCTGGGCTGAGAATCGAACAAAGCGAGAGGAATCGGCAGGGCAGGGCAGTCTTGGCGCGCAGCCCGGGAGATCGAGAGTTTGCGGTAGTCATCAGAGTCTAGCCCCATTAGGGACACCATTTCGTCCTTCGGTCGACATATGACCGTGTGGTTGGCCCTTTTTGTGACAGTCGGTGCTGCCATCTCACTGAACGCGGGGGACCGTGGAACCGACCGTCTTAGCTTGTCTGATAGTTGCATACTCCTCCCGAGTGATCGGAGATGAGAGAGGCATTGGTAAGTGAATACGGATACAGCAGCACACACCCCCTCCCCTCTCTCTCTCGGGTTAACGCAAGTTGAACGACAAGGGATTCAGCTGAATTGGCCAATCACTCGCCCTCTACACTGTGTGACTCAAAGCCTTGCGGAAACCACCGTCTCAGAGACGTGTATACGCAGTGCTGTGTACGGAGTACGTGTGTGTGTATGCGTGGCATACGAATGCTGCTAGCCGGGCATACGCACAGACGGGCCTTCTGTAAAGCCACGGATAAGTCTCTCAAATTGAGAAGCCGACTGCAAACAACAAAGAGGACGGCGCACAGATGGAAGAGAAGGCCAACTACCTAGAAAAGGGGTGTAGAACAGAAGCTTTCGCTGCGCCTTCCGAGGACTAGGGTACCACTTCCTACACGAGTACAGAGTTGCTTTAACGGGCAACAGGTTATGAAGAGGGAGGAGGGGATGGATGATATTGGAGATCCGAGAATGCCACGGCGGGAAGTCAAACAGGAGAGAGAGCAGCGACTGACGCCGAAGGACGACGGCCTGCAAACACCCCGAGGCCGCGATCATGTGTCAACCCCGACAGGGCACTCCCGAGGTCGTGTCCGTCCCGTATTCCACATGTAGCCACCGGCAGTTGAGGAGAAAGGTCTGGCTCCAGACGAGCCTGTTTAACTTTTTTGTCTCTTTTTGTCTTTTTGTTTCTTCGTGTGCAAAGGTTCGCGGCCTCGAATAGGGTTGACACCTCTCCCCCCCCCTTCTCTTATTTCCCCGAGGCCTTTACAGTTTCGACAGCGGTGTAGGTCATAGGCTCTATCTGACACCGTGGCAAAGCAGCCCGGCGGGAGACCCGTCCAGCACGCCGATGCTTTTTTTACGTAAACTCGCGATAGTTTGCGCCGTTTGGTTGTTGGCTACAGTGCTTGGCATTGAGTGTAATATACGGATATACGTACGATGTATACTTTATCCGTGTTTCTGCACGTCGCCACAATAGCGTTTTCCTCTTTTTGACTCACGCTTTAACGGGCTCGAGGCTATACACTCTCTGGCCAGCCTGGTAACACCATAGTTTCAATAGCACGAATAAATGCTGTTGTTATTATGATTATTATTATTATTATCATCATTATTAATCCTTGAGGGGGGGGGGCTCCAGTTCTGGACCGGAATAGCAACAACAAACATAAACAAACAATCTCGCTGGGTCGAAAATAGCTTCCCTGGAGCACAGAGAGAGAGAGAGAGAGAGAGAGAAAATAAAACCGAAATTGGCTGAATCGCCATCCTACAGAGTCCACCCGTTTCACCGTCCACGCGCTATAGTAGCATTGCACTCTGTTGGATATCGCTCAGAATCCCCTTCAGGGGGGGCGTTGTGCATTCACGGCCCTCCCGTTGGGCGGACCCAGTTCTCAGTTCTCGCATTTACAAGAAACGGCACCAATCTGTAGGCCAAAAACAAACTCTCCAAAGATTCAGCCTCCCCCCCCCCCTTCCCGTTCCTTTCTCCCCAGGGACCCCGAACAGACAAACGCCGTGATGGTACGATGCCAGCTGTTCCGTGGTTCCCCCGGTTCTACGAATACGACGGGAACCTTCGCGCCCATTCGGGACACAGGGGGCGAACGAACACCCCGAAATGGACCCCGAAAAAGGAAGCGCGAAACTGACAGCTTCGTTTTTGAGCCATACACAGCCTCGAAGCAGAAAGGCGAAAAGGGGAGGGGGGGGGGCTTGCGTTTGTGGACAAGGATGGCGGCGAAATAGCAACATGTCAGACAAAATAGACTGCGAAAGAAAGGCCGCTCTGGGACCCCCCTCTTCCGTACAGAGTAGCCGGTATGGGATAGAGGACGAGGCATATGCACGCGTCCGCAACCGCAACTCTGCTCGATCGGGGCCGCTGCGGAACCTTGGCGAGGAAGGGAGCACTTGGTGGTCGAAACCCGTGTTCCCTCGAGGGATGCTCCCGGCTCCTGTCCACCGCCCACAGCTGAATCCCGCGGGGGGGGGGGGGGGGCGCCCTCCGTCTTCTCCCTTGAACGACGGTCTCGGTTTCTGCGGTGGGAACATCGGCAGGCGGCCGCGATGGTTCGGGCGCGGCGTCCGTCCAAAGGACCTCCTCCTTCTGCGAACCGGCTGGAGGTTTCGTGGTATGCAGACGTCGCCGTGAAGCGGCCATCGCTTTCGCCCGCTCCTCTAATTAAGCAGTATCCGTACACGCAGCCGCACACGCGCGCAGAGGCATCGCACCAATCCGTGCGTCCCTCCTCCTCCTCCTCCCCTCCCCCTCTTATCTCTCTGACAGGCCGCTCGCGCTGATCAGGGTCCCTTTTTCCCATCGGCGGCCCACTAGGGTTCGAGTAAACGGACAGGGCTGGAGGGGAGGGGGGGTGGGATTTCTGTAAATTAATTACCACGAGGAAAAATAAAATAATAGTAATAATAATAATAATGGCGTCCCGCGATGAGGATGCGACGACGTGATCAATCCCAAACAGCTCGGGGGTAGAGGGCCACAAGGGGGGGAAACACACGAGAGAGGGAGAAGGTCTATTCTGGTCAAAGGACAGCGGGAGAGAGGCTCCAGTCACGGAAAGAAAGGGACCTCGGATTGTTGGTCCTCCCACAACAACTCGGGGCTCCGTGGTCGATCCGGGGTGACGCCTCCCCGGCCCCCCCCCCCCCCCCCTCCGCGGCACTTGGCTTTGATAGTAATCTGCACCGCAGCCTGCGGGATAAACCTCGAGCTGCAGAGCTGCTGCAGGGCAGAGGTGCGTTTCTACGGGGACGGGGTGAGCATCCATCTTACGCTGGTTGGTTCGTGGTGGGTGTCAGCTGTGCCGTGCTGCTGCTGCTGCTGCTGCCTGGCCGGATTCAATGATTTCAACGTTACACAGACACGACTGTTGTGAAATTCTCGGTACGGCGGACGAGTGGCATGATGGATGGATGGATGGAGTGAGGTTGGCTGGCTGGCTGGCTGGCTGGCGGCTCGGGATTAATTTCACCCCACGATATTGCGATTTATCCATGGCTGGCTTCGGGGAAACATGAAACCTTAGCCCGCCATCAATCGAATCTTGACCGACACCTATCCCCTCCGATCCTCACTTCCCGTGGCCCCCGCTCCCCTGGCCCGAAAGTCCACCGAACCCCGATTTGTGCGTGGGCTGCCTCTGAGACGCGGGTCGGGTTTCCCACGCAGGAACGACGTGGCCGGCGCCGAGGTTCGTGAGATGGAAAGCGGCCCCCCTTTCAGGAGTAGACAGTGGACATGTTCAAGAAGGAAAGGGGGGGGGAGGGAGGATGAAGATGAGGAGAGTGGAGGAGGATGGACGGCACCAATATCATGATGCGCGCCACGGCTTTCATGGCTTTTTTTCTCCCCCCCTCACCCTCGTGCCTGTCACACACTCCACGGCCCGTCCTTTAATTGAGAACCTCAATCAGAAGCTACTCCGTACCGGCGCCTCGGACTGATGATCTTGTCTGTTGTCGTCCCTGGGAGGTCCCAGTGTTGGGACTTGATGTCCATGGCCGAGCATATATGATACTCATCCGGGAGGGCGCCACGAGAACGATGGAGCAGCTCGTTCGGCGGTCCGGGAGTTGTCTGATTGCCCACTCCCACCCCCCTCCCCCCTCTCATCTGTTTGGACCCTGAATATCATAGCTTCTCTTCCCCCTCGTCGCCCACGCGTGCAGGATAGGATGTATTAAACGTGCCGACGTCCCCCTTTCCAAACCATACCGGCCCGCGTTGGGAAACGAGATTTGTGTTGGTATTCTCTTTCGGCGCTCATCAACGACACAGGCGGGTAGACTCCCCTGTACGTGTAAACGAAAAGACGGTCTTTGATCAGACTCTGTTCCCGCCCTGCTCAATACGACTGGCTCGTTCGGCATCCCGTCAAACCCTCTGTTTTACTCCCTCCCTCCCTCCCTCTCTCTCCACCGGTTTGGAGGGAAAGTCACCGCCGCCCCTTGTCGCCTCACCAACAAGACGACAAGTCATCCGGCCCTCGCCGAATCCACACACGTCCAAGGACGCCGAACCCAACGAGCAGGCCTCAAAAACTCGACAGGCAGCAGAAAGGCAGGCCTTTCGAGCCCGATTACGGATACACAACACGCTACTGCACCGCCGCCCAAGGGAGAAACGAACACAAGCAAGCTGTTACGACTCAGACAGAGGGAATACCGAGCCAACGCGTTGATATCTCTGCCCAATCAACCGGGCCCCCTCTCCCCCCCTTCCCCCGTCCGGTCTTTGCACGCGCACACACACCACTGTCATCTCGGGTTGCTGCCGCCAAGCTGCTGCACACGCCCTCTCTCCCTCTCTCTCTCTCTCTCTCTCTCTCTGTGTGTGGTGAGCCGCCTTGCCTTGAGCCCCGTTTGAGTGAACAGAACCGTAAGCTATACCCCCCCCTCAATCCCTTGTCTTCGTGTTTCTTGCATATTGCTGCTATGCAGACTTATGCACGCCCCGTTTATGAGGAAAAGGAGGCACAAGACCGCCAACACCAACACCCCCCTCCGAACCAAAGCTGACAGACTCCACCTCCACCCCCTCGCAGGACGGAAACTCTGACGCAGGACTGATTCTGCTTTTACGGACTCGACACCTCCGTTACGCAGCCCACACGCCGTTCTCTGCGAAGCGGTGGGCATCGAGAATCGGAAACCGTCTGCGGATCGACGTGGCTGCCCACACACCCTTTCCGTCTCTGTTCCCTCTCCGTCTCTCTCTCTCTCTCTCTCTCTCTCTCTCTCTCTCTCTCCGTTCTGCCTCGCTTTCACAAGTCTTCCAGTCCACACACACACACCCCCCCCCCCCCTTCTGAGCCTGGCCGGGGGTTTGGCTTGCTATCTCTTGTGCCTGCCTGACGTTGCACCCCCCTCCCCTGTTCACGTTTTCCGAAGAATCGTGTTCCCTGTCTTCTGACTTGGAGAAGAAGACGAAGAAGAAGAAGAAGAAGCACAACGCATCATCCTGGCTGGGCTGGAGCTGCCGCACCGCATCCGCATCGCACACTGCCACCCCAAGTACACACACACACAGCCTGCATAATTCCCATCCACCCGGGGGGAGGGGTGACTGAGCGACCGCAGCATCTTCCCTTTTTTCTTTCTGCCTTGCCGACACTTCCAGAGTCCTCTTTGCACATCTCGACTGCATTACTACACGGGCCAGCCATCGCCATCTGGTCTTCCCTCGTCACCCGCACACCCAGCTCACACACCCCTTCTGGCCAGAGTAGCAAGCTACACACCCCTCCCCCCTTGGTGTGTCTTTCTCTCTCTCTCTCTCTCTCTCTCTCCACCCTACTTATTTCTTTTTTAAACCCTCACCCCTGTCAAGAACATACAAAGTATACACACCCACACACACCCCTGGCCGTCAAGAACACCCATTGCACACCCCCCCCTCTGCTGGATATACGGCTCGCTCTTCCCTTCTTCAGTCCCTCCCACGGGTTTGCTCTCTCTACTATATATCACCAGGCGCTCCCACACACCCATATCCAGACCTCACTTTCAACTCAACTCTAGCCTCTTGACACCAAGCCGGAAAACTACTACCAACACTTGACTGCACACCAACAAGGAGGATACCACCACCCAACGGGTCTGTCTGCCGTCAACCTCGTCACCCAAAAGACACAGCTACAGCTACAGCTACAACTACAACTACAACTACAACAACCCACAACCACCAAACCCACGCCACTATGCCTTCGAGCTCGCGCCCCTCCCAGATTCACTACAGCTCCTCGTCCTCGTCCGACTCCGACCTGTCGTCCGCCTCCTCGTCCTACCGCCACAGCATGGACTCTGCCCCGAGACCGATCGCCTCCGTCGAGGTCCTCCGCTGCCTGCGCTGCGCGAGGTCCGTCGAGGCCACCTCGACCGACGACTCCAGCTCGACCGGCATGGTCCGCATCGCCCACAACCTCTACTACTGCGAGCGGTGCGCCAAGATGGTCGGCTACAAATGAACAAGGGCCGGCGGAACGGTCTTCTTTTCACTCTTGTCTCTTTCGACCTTTTCCCCTCCCTTCCGTTGTCCAGGAAATACCCCAACCCACACCCCCCTTAACGGGGAGATGCATTGAGATTTGATCTTTTTGGGAACCGGGCAGCACACGAGAACCGGGAATCGCATTCATCCCCCCCCCCCGTCGTCTATTCACCACCCGGGCTGAGTAGCAGGTGGTAAGAGAGCGCACGCATACGGCAGCGCTCTACCAACACCCGCGGTGCACACGCAACCAACAACACGCAAACCCTCTCACACCGTCGGGTAACCGTCATCGTCACATCGGATCGTGGGCGGTGAGACGAATAGGTGCCGTTTCGACATTGGCATTTCCCCTCGTCCTCCCTACACCCCGCCATGGGTGTAGTGAGAGACCAGGCCTCGTCGGCGTGACGGGGATGGGACCGGAACGCAGAGCGCGGGGTTGATCAATCGCACGACTCTGCGAGGTTCACCATCAAAGGGACCGACGATAAGGTCACATTCGGCCATCAAACAACCTGGTCTTGGGGGGGGCGGGGGGGATTGAGACGTCGATGAACCCTCATCACAAGACGAATCTCCCCTTCCCTTCCCTTCCCTTCTCCAAGGGGGCGTCCCCGGGATTCCCGGCCATCGCAACGCCGTCCAGTCTGGGTGGAGTCGCGGCCAAACTTCCAGAACACGCCAACCCCCGCCTGGGCTGGTTCGTGCCCGCGCTCGCATCTCTGGATCCTTCTCGACGCTCGTTCCGCAGGCAAGGTCAGCCCGCCCAGGGTGAAACCAGCCCGCGGCCACGGGTTCCTGTTATGGATTGGGGGGGGGGGGGGGGGGAAGGGTTCCATACCTCCCAGCGGCACCAACGCAACCGCAGCAATGTGCAATGCTACGGTCAAGCGCCCTCTCCTTCTTCTTCTTCTCTCTGTCCCTTGGCCCTCCCCTACCAACCTCTTAGAAACAGATCACATGCTGTCGTCTCTAACAGGGGGAGGAGGTCATCACTCCGGCAAAAGGGTAGCATATATCCCCTTTCCCCCTCGAGGGGAGTCGTGAGATGGGCCATCAAAACAGAGCTTTGTCGTCGACGCCGACGCCTCGCCCTGCCGAAGCCGGGGCCGAGTCGGCAGCCGACGGCGAGAGCGGGCTTGGGGTCCGCGACCCTTTTTTTCTTTTTTCTTCCTTTTTTTTTCTTTGTTTCCTCCTCTCGCGTCCACTCCAAGCAGACCACAAGCGGTCTGCTGATGGGCTTATGGAGCTGGCTCGACCCGAGAGGAACTTGGCTGCGCTGGCGCGTGGGTTTTCCCGCGCCTCCCTCCCCACACTATAGATGATTCTCGCGCCCAATCTCGCATTCAGATGAGATCTTAGGGGTTGGCGAGTGGGGGAAAAAATGGGAGGGGGGAGAGAGAGAGGGGGGGATCCCAGTCGCCCGGAGCGATACGAGCAAGCGAGGGAGAGAAAAAAAAAAAAAGCATTGGTGCCTGAGGCTCAACCAGTATACTTTCTTGTACCATTTTATATACCATGTCAATCTGTACGATGTTCACGTTCTTCAATCTCATGATGATGCACATTTCTTCTCGTCAACCGCGGCCTGCATCCATCTCACATAAACACGCCCATGCTGCTCATGTGAGCTTGTGTGTGTTTGTGTGTGTGTGTGTGAGTGTGTGATTGTGTTTTCTTTGTCATCATCTAGACCCACACAGCGACTTTCCATTGGCCGAACCCTCGGAGACCTGACTCGACCCCATCCGAAAGTGGGTCCCGGTCACGGGGACTGGTCGGCCACGGGGCCCTTGGGCCTTTCTTTCTTTCCTTTGCTTCCTCCCCCTTCCGCTCCCGGTCTTTCCTTTTTGGTGTGGAGCCGGTCGCATGGAAGGGGAAGAAGCAGCGGAAGGAAGGAAAGGCAAAAGGGGAAATGTGGAGACACTATGGGGGGTTTCACGTCTTCTCATTCGTCGGGTTTCGGGGCAAGGGCTCGAGGTCGAGCGAAGCACGTGCCGCGTATTCGCAGTATACATATCCGTACTTGTGTATGTATCCTTGGCAGTACTGTACACATCGTATCGTATTGTATCGTATTGTATTGTATCGTATCGTATCGTACGTACACTCACTCCACGCTGCAGCTCGTGTCACTCACTGCGCCCCCCTTTTTTTTTTTCCGTTCTCGGCTTTCTTCTCTTCTGGTCCTCCCCTTGGCTGCTGCTAGTCTGATCCCGAGGCGTCGTATGGTTTTTTTTTTTTCTTTTTTTTCTTGTATCTGTTCCCCCTGCAGGCAGCCAGTGCCGGGGTGGATCTTGCTGTTTCCTTTGGTCCTTCTGTATTATTCTTTTTTGTTTTATTTTAATTCTTTTGCTTTGTCTCGGATATTCGATGCGGCATGGCCACAGTGCTCCTCAGCATTATAGAGCGAGAAGATTAGGAAGCAAGTTTTGATAAGGATAAATCTCTCTCTCTTCGTGTTGCCCCCCGCCATTTGGTCATCTATTCAAGGGGACAACCGAACTATCATGTTATTCGGCTTGCTGCGGCATTCGGCAACGAATACAAAAAGACGTTGACGCTGCGACGCTAGCGCTCTCTCCGTCGCTATCGAGAGTATCGAGACCATACATCATCGTGCATATCACCATCTCTGGTTTCCCCTTCTCCCCGGCCACATTGTCCCTGTAGCGTAGTTCGTTCGTTCTCACACGCCAACCGAGATGGCGGAGGACGATGAGGTGGAAGGGAGGGGACGCAAGGGACCCCGTGGACGGAATCTATTCCTGACCAATCACCACCGGCCTCGGCCGCCCGCCCGGCCCTCTCTCATTTGCCAGCCCGGCCGGCAGTGGATACCCCGCCCCGCACCGTCCTTATTTCCTTAGCGTGTCCCTCTTCCGCAGTCGGCCCGGGGGGGTTGTCATTGTTGTTGCTGCTGCCGCCTCTGACGTCGACGCGCATGAGCGCTTTTCGAATTCGGGGCGGAGGACGCGGTTTGTTTTCTCATTCACATATTTTCATATGCCGCTCTCTTTACTCCACGTCCGCTCACTTTCATTTCTTGGCAGGACCAAATGCCCTGGGGGGGGGGGGGGGGGTGGGGTGCGTGCGTGTCTGTGTGTTGAGGGCATTATGTTCAAACTCTTCAGCGCTCTCTCGCTTGGGCACGGCCAAATAGGGGAATATGGCATCGGCGGGGTTTTCTCGGGGTTTTGCTATAATAATAAAAAAAAGGGAAGAAAGCTTCTTGTTTGGGCCTGCCAAAGCTACGCCAGCCAACTTAGGTTGGGTTATGACCTTCGGACCGCATTACTTTGCCGCATCGGTACTGTATGACAATATCGCTTGGGGCACAACTGAATGGCCCAATACCAGACAAACACGGCTACGTGCGGGTGTCAGGTGTCAAACACACACACACACACACAGTAGTACTCACTTCGTGGCCCTCGGAGTCATCCTCGTGAACCCGGTGCTGACCAGCCGCCAAGCCTCGTGCGTCGCAAAAAGGGCCTCTCGAAACCCAACTCGCCGTGGCGTCTGAGTCCCCGGCCCGTGAGCGGCTTCCAACGCACGACGACGTCCCGAGGTATGCCGCGGAAATTGGCGAACCATGTTCAAACACATTTTGGTAAAGAGGATGAGGGGCCAAAAAGTCTTATTTTGTTGTAGTTTATCTTACATAAAAAAACAAATAAACCAGTAGCACGTTATGGACCCCTTCCCCAACGATCACGCCTGGTTGGCTATCCGTTACGAAGGGGGGCCTACTATCTCTTCCTCTCTCTCTGGGTCTCTACTGTTTTTTTTTTTTTTCTTTTTTTTCTTTCTTTTTTTTTTTCTTCATATTTTAACCGTTACTCACCGAAGCCCGGAGGCCTCGACGGAGTCCAGTCCGGCACCATCGACAAGATGGAGACGAGTCGTTGTGATGTGCCCTTCATGAAACACTGATCGCCGACCCAGTGATCCAGTAGTCAGCACGCCACGCACCGTCGTTTCCCCCCCCCCCGCCTTCGCTTTTCCTTTTTTTTCTTTCCTGTATCTGCCGAGTTGCATTCTTCAGCCGTCGTCTCAGGGTCCGAGACGTTCACAAGCTACGCCTACGCACATTGGTTGGCGGCCCATCACGCTACCAACACGACGCAGATCCCCCGAATCCCTTGTTTTCTGCTGGCGTGTCTTAGTCGGGCCGGGGGGGTTCAGACAGATGCAACCCAAGGTTCTTGCGTCATCTTTTCGTCGGTGGTCGTCGTCGCCCCGCGTTGTCACGTTACAGCGGCGCCCGGCACCGCCAAGGGGAAAGCCAGGTCTCTCTCTCTCTCTCTCTCTCTCTCTCTCTCTATCTCTCTATCTCTCTATCTCTCTCTGCCACCACCCCGTAGTGCTTCTAATTATCCACCGCGTCTTTTGCATTCTTGCCCACTTCCCCTCTGCACGTGGCCAAGTGCGTGCATCGTGTTGCGTGGCACCGTACTGTGCTGCATTGCTTGCATATTCAACCGAGTTGTTGTGCACGGAAAAAACAAGAACTTTGGGACATCAGCCGTTGTCCTGCAGGTCCCCCACCCGTCTCTGGGCCTCGTTGGGATGGCGGCGAGTAGGAGAGGACATGTATGCATCCCGCCTACGCCTACGCAACCGCCTACGTATGGCCGTTCTCGACACGGACTCGGCACGGGAAGCCAGCCGCTGCCCCCTTTCTCCCCATAGACCTTGACCAATTTACAAAACACCGCGGACCAAAAATATCGACGTGTAGTGCTGGTGGCTGTGAACAAATGGCGCCTAGTCCGTCAGAGAGTACCGCCGCCTGGGGAGAGATCGACAGCAAGGTGGGAATGCTGTTCGTTAAAGACAGATAAATAAACAAAAACAAATAAAAGACGGCTGCTAACCACCACCTTCCTACGCCCCCCCCCCCCCCGGAAAGACGGGATATGAAGCATAAGAAAGAAAGAAAAAACCACTCTCTTGTCGAGCTACGGACGAAAGGGTTCCCCTTCCTCGCGCATCTCCGTAACCGTCTGGGGGGGTCCGTCGTCTATGGGGCGCGTGTATGAGTGCAGCGCAGTGCCGGGTGCGTGCGTGGTTCGGAAACGACGAGAGCCGCGCTGCCGCGAACCGATGGAGCTGAGAGAGCCAAGATTTAGGGCCGCAGCCTTCTTATGATCACCTTCGGCTCCGACGTTGAGACACACACACACACACACACACATACATACACCGGACATCTTCCGTCGTCGTCCCCGCTGTTGCTACTCCCGGCTGGCACGGTTGGACGCTGTCAAAAAGGGGACAGGATCGTCGAGTGATGAAAGCCCAGTTCTTCGTCCGCGGTCAATGTGGGCATTGGGATAGGAAAAGAACGTCCAGTGCCGATCACCTCTTCCCGCCTTATGGCGAGCTCCGACGTTAGAGAGAGGTGGGCTCGCGGGAAGACTTCATCAGGCACATGCGGGCGGTATTTCCCTCGCTGGCCGTTTCATGCGCAGCACACGGTTTTTTTTTTTTCTTTTTTTTTTTCTTTTTTTTTTCTTTTTTTTTTCTCCGACCTCTTTGGCCGACAGAGAGCCGCAGTGTTATGATACCAGACGTATGCTATGCGCTGTGGAGTGCAAACCACACGCACGCAGCATGCATGCATGCATGCATGCTCGTCTATAGTACCGAGAGAAGGGGTCTTGGTTGCAGCCGCCGTGGGGAGCCACGCTGTCTGGATCGGTGGCCCGCCGTCTCACAAAGGTTACTCTGTTGCTTCGCAGGCAACCCCGGCGGGTTTTGGGTGGAAGGCTTCAGCTCGGCATGGAGTAGGGGTCGTGGACAGACGCGATGGAGGGCATTGAGAGATACGGTGGCGAAGAAAGCTAAAAAAGAGGAGGCTGAGATGGAGAGACGGTCGGGCAACGGGCGAGTTGGAGAGGCTGGATGGGGAGAGGTTACATGGCCGGTCGTGTTTCATCGCCCGAACTTGGACATATCGCCCGAACATGGTCACATATATACCTATATCTCGTCGAGATAAGCCCGGGTCACCGTCGTCGCGCATCGCCGCCGCCGACGAGTCGATCGACGACGACGACGAAGCCTTCTTCCCTCTCGCATGGCGTGAGAAGGGCTGAGCGAGGCGTGTCAGAGCAAAAAAAAGGCCACAATGCCATGGAAACACCGACTCATAGGTCAACCCAAGTATAAGCAACCCAATGAAGCCCATGTTGACACCCGAAACGCAAAAGGCCATACGCCCACAAGACGCCTTTTTTTTCCTTCTTTTTTTTTTCAAGGGCATACATGGCCTGGTTTGTGTATATGTGTGTGTGTGTATGTATGTATGTGTGTACATAGTATGCATGTGTGCGTGGTGCAGAAGCAAGAGGCCAACGACCTCTGACAGGGTAGGGTTCCCTCCGCCATGGCAACGACACGAACAGCTGAAATGACGGAAAACAGCTGAAATGGCAAAAGAGACTGCTTACTCCAGCTACCCAGTGTAAACCGTGGTACTCTGTAGGAGATTGGGCAGAGATCAGCGCGGAGCACATGCCCGCCTCGTCGAGCCGTGCCTGGATGTGCAACCTTGAGATGGGGGGGGGGCACCGCCTTGGCTGAGCTGCTCCATCTCAGCAGGAATGCGTGGATGTAACCATCCCTACCCTCTCCCCCCTGTTCCGGTAGGGTGCCCTCGCGGCGCAATCCTTAGTAGTAGGGTATTAGGGTATATGGAGCTCCTTGACTCGCACTTCTTAAATTCTGGAGAAAGAAGATGAAGAAAAAAAACACGCTATCTCCGGGTACCTGTTTGGGATTGATTAGGCGACAGATCGACGTTCCTAACGACTGGCTTCTGTCCGTTATGGTCGGGGGTCTTGTTTGCCGGGGCTCTCCGGGGGGACGACGCGCGCGCGTGCGGCCCAATGGGAATTCGACGAGAAAAGAAGCAGAAGGGGGCAGGCAGAGCTCGGGAAGGATTGTTGGAGAAGAAGAAGAAGGGCTGCATAGCACCATGTAGATGGTGTTGCTAAAATTGGTTGACGTTTTTCCGTCTTCGACGAGCTGCAATCGCGCTTTTTGCGTCACACTCCAGAGGAACGAACCGGAGACTCAACTCTCCTCTCCGTTGTCCCCCTTTCCGACTTCTGATACCGACTCTGACTCTGACTCTGACTCTGACTCTGACTCTGGCTCTGGCTCTGGCTCTGTCCTCCAATCCCATCCCGTCTTTGGATGATCCATCCGCCAAGCGCTTTAGCGGATTCACGACCTGCGTCGCCCTTGGCGTCCTCATAAGACTCCCAAGAAACAACGTTTGCAACAACCTCTGCGATAAGAGGGGGGAAGGAGAGAACAATCTCCAATGTCGCCGATACAGGGTGCGCGCGGGGGGCTTTGCACGCGGGATTTTGTGTGCGCGCGCTAGTACCTGTTATGTAGCGCATTCGTATAGTATACTACGGCGTTTATGACTGGCATACCTCACAAGAGACAGGCTATGTCGAGTTTGGTGATGGGCTCTCTCGCGGCAAAGTCGGGCGAATAGCCTACCGTGTCCATGTACCATGGAAGATGTTCTACTATGTAGGGTGCGCGCTCTCTTTGCCGAGCGTGCGCGAGTGGGCCTCCCATGTCTACCTCGTCCTCACTCTTCCCAAAAGGGTCAACTTTGTGCAAGAAGTGGCCAAAGTGGTGGTGATGGACAGATGGACAGGGCAGTCCGGTTCATCTCGCCCTCTCCACCTCGGGAGCACCGGCGACTCGTGCGACCGCGCTAGCCTGTCAGGGAGGGAAGGGGGGGAGAGACGCGACGACCCTTGCGGCTGTTCTACGGTGTTGTGTTTGTAATATTGGCACCACGAGGAGCAAATGGTGAGGCCGTCGACGGGGGGCAGCCTCGCACATCCCCAAGACACGCAGATGGACGCAGGGCCGCCGCCGCCGCCGCCGAGGGACGACTGGCTGGAGGAACGCGTGAGGCGTCGCTGGGCTGGCGGTGGGCGTTTTTGGCTTTTCCGATACCTCCCTCCCCTACGTAACTTTGCGAGACTTTGCGAAACCGTACGAGAGTGGGACGAGGGGGCTGTCCGGTGTGTGCGCCTCTTTCTCTCTCTCTCGTCAACGTCGCCGATGTGTCTGGCTGTTCACCGATGAATGATGAATCGAACCCCAGACTTGCTGGTATATCCGGGTCTTGCGGATGTCGTACTGCGTGGTGGCTTCTTCTGGGAGGGGGCGGGGATGGTCAGCTAAGAGGCTATCGAGACATGCTATTCCGGGGACGCGATGAGAACTGTCTAGCTGCTTCGCCCCAACTAGTTATTTTCGTTCCTGTGTTCCGCATGCGGCAGCAGGAGGAGCAGCAGCAGCGATCAAGGCACCAAGGCAGACGCGAGCCCCCGGTTGTCTTCCATACATGGTGAGGGATGCAGATGGCAGTCAGTCAGATCATGTTTCTCAGCGCGTCTGCCTGCCCAGTCCGTCAGTGTCAGTCGGTGTTCGTAACTTGCTCACCCGTTCACTCCGTCGCCGTCCCGGGCTCAACCCATCTCGTTCCTGACTCCAACTCCAACTACCCAAGCCAAGCCTGGCGACATGGCCAGCATCCCCCCCGCACGCGTTCCCGTGCCGTACTCCCCTCGCTTCTCCGGCGCTGCTCCCACACCCCCTCTGTAGCCCTGGCGGCGCCGTCACGGTACGGAGGGGCAGCTGGTGACGGAGCTTGGGCCACCGTACCGTTTCCGGCCCGGACGGCCACGAGCAGCACCACCGTACAAGACGAGAGGATGGGGTCGATATGAAGAGATGCAATTACCGAGAACACGGCGTGACGGGGGCGTTGATGGACACTCACTCACTCCATGCACCGTCGTCGAAACGGCCCTGTGACCGATTCCGTTCTCCGCAAAAGGCCGACGTCGAAAACACGGTCGTGCTCGGTACAGATGCTCTCAATAACGTCCCGTTTCCTTCGCCTTCGCGGTTTTATCCCCAACACGGTATCTTTTTTGGTAAGGGGACCCCCCCCCCCCCTTCCCTGGACAAGAGCAGCAAAAACCGTCAGTGCCGCGCTCATCTGATGTAACAACCCATCATCGCGTTTCAACGCTGCCGATAGATAGACGCTTCCCCAATGGCCTAGACCGGTTCAACGGCCAAAAGAGATGGTAGGAGAGTTCGCGAGGGTTTCCAACACCCGGCCGGAGCTGGATCGGAGCGGCGCGGCATCCACGGGGGCTCGACACCTGGCGTCTTCGACGTTGAGGGGTGTGTGTGTGTGTATGTGTGTGTACGCGTATGTCTGCGTGCCATACCCAGCCATCGCACACCATGTACCCGGTTCTGCGAGACTTGAACATCGCCATGTCGTCATTTCAACTGTGGGTTTTCTCTACTTTTTTTTCTTTTTCTTTTCTTATCTCCCGCTGAGATTACAGGTGGGTGCATCATAGTGTTTGACGTTGAAACTTTCCAGGACCCAAGGCAAGGGGACAAACTCAAGGGGTTCGACCAAGGAAGCGGGACGGGGCCCCGGGACGAAAGAGGAAATAAAAAAATTGGTGTTGGTGGCGAATCTGGCAATTCGTGGGGAGGTGGACACCAACGCAGGTCCTCTGCCTTGGCCGGTGATGGTGATGCTATTCGGAACCACGCCGGATACCCACTTGCCGCCTCCAACCATGGATTGGCACACACACACACACACACACACACACACTCACTCACACACACACGCAGCCGCATACGCACTTGTATATACAGATATACACGTCTGTATCCATCGCGGAACGCAAGTCCCGTTCCCACATGCCGCGCGAGCAACTCCCCTCGCAGAGTGGTATATCGCTCATGCGGTGGGGACTTAGACCCCGTCGCACGAGTCACGGCCGCCGAGTCGCGGCGCCGTGATGCACATCGCTGGCGGCAGTCGTCCCCGGCCAAGAGAACGCGGTCCCTCCATCTCTCAGCCCCCGGCCGACGGCTCCCGTCTTCCGCGAGGCTGATGCGCCGTGATGGGCAAAGCCAAGCTGTCATATCCCACACACACACCTCGACTCATGGCATTGCGGGCCATGCCACCCGGGTTCGTGGTTTTACCAAGATCCGCTGTGCATCTCGGACTCTGTCCCCCCCCCTCTCGGTCATGATTTCCACGCTGGGACGAAGGTGCCCACGGCTCCATCAGTCGACCAGGCTGGCCGTGACAGTGACAGCGGATGCGACGAGGTGTTGTAACCAAAAAGGTTTACGCCCTCCCCCCCCCAAAGGAGTTCCAGGTGCGGTCGGCGGAGACTTCTTCACGCAAGATGATGTCAGATTCGCGGTGGGCCAGATCTGTCCCGGGGCATTAACCTCGCTTTTTTCCCCCCTTCTTCTTTTTCCCGCCCTTCCTGCGTTAATCTCTTCCGCCAGTTGCAATCGTTCCCAGCCTTGGTTTCGTCTGCCTGCCCCTCCCCTCCCCCGGGGGGCCTTGGTCTAATGCTTCTAATTTAGAGTGTGGTTCTGCTGCCCACCTGTCAATGTCCATGTCCCCGTTCTGCCCAGCGTTTCGAGGACGAAGCCGGGATGGGGAGAGGGGTTCAAAGTGCCGTCGGTATCTGCATCCGTAAAACGAAACGCTACCGAAAGAAGCTCGAGAGCCTGACGGTCTAGACCGGTCTGGTCTGATCTTGGTGTCCCCTCCCCCAGCCTATGCAAGCTCGTGGGTTCGACGGACGCTGACTGGGTTGCCGAGTACGGTAACGTAACCGATCCGTGTTGCAAGAGACGGTTTCTGTGGGCGATGACAAACCTTGCGTAAGAGGCGTTGCTCGTCTTCGGCACCACACTCACTGCTTTCCAAGTTGGGCCTCATGTTGATGTTTGGGATCACCTACTTACCGGCACGGCAACCCAGGGGCCTCTGTCAACCGCGTCGAGAGTCCAGGCAGTGCCCTTTCTTTCTTTTTTTTTTTTTTTTTTTTTTTTTTTACCTTTTTTCTTTTTGCCACAAGGGAGACCGGACGGCGACGTCGTCACCACTGCTGGCTCGTCGCGACGACGGACGAAGTGGCAGTGGAAGGGTGTGCGGCGACGACCAGGTGCGCTTAGGACTGACTGCGCGAGTCGCGTTGCGAATAGCTTCACGTCTTGCGGTGCGCGCCTGCGACGATCCCGTGTGTGCGAGGCCGCGCGCGCCGCGCCGCGCCGGTCGAGGCCTGGACCGTCTCCTGTCGCCCCGGCCGAGGGAGAGGCATCGTCGCGCAAACATCGAGCCGGAGGGACCAACCAAACCTAACCGGTCGGGATCGTGACAAGCCCTGTTGTTCTCCGAGGAATGTCTTCCCATTCCCCTGCCTGCGCACTCGCATAGGAGAGAGTTTTGCAAATCAATCTTGGCGCCGCACCCCAAGCCTAGCCAAACAAACCTTGCTTGCTTGCTGGGAAGCCGCCCAACTAGTTGGGACTCAAAGACAGCTCTACGGTTCTCTCCGCCTTGCCCACTCGTTTGTGTGTATGTGTGTGTGTGTGTGTGTGTGTGTATGTGGCCCGGCACGTCTTAGACATGGTTTCAGTAAAGTGACGTGCGCTCGCTGTCATGAGCACAGCAGGATATGCCGCCATCCCCGACTGTTTCTCCCCATCCATCCCTGTCTCGTTGCGTTGCGCCTCGGCCTGTCAACCATGCCGTTTCGACAGGCGATCCAGGACACGAACCACCTAATAGGCTCTCGGCCTGCAGTGGGAAGAGTGTGGTTCGCTCCAAGACACACACCTCGCACTAGAGCGCAGCATTTCGTCACCCAGGGTCCGATCTGGCGTCATAGGGGCTACGACAGACGCGCAGACGACATCAATGGCGCTGGGCTGCCGCAGCGCCGCGGCTCTTCGCCGCCCTACCGTTCCTAAAACATCTCGTGCCTTGGTCTCCGAGGGCGTCCGTCAGCGGGCTGTCGCCGTTGATTGCGGGCGCCCGCAGAAAACAAGCATGCCTTGGCTCTCTGGGCCGTCGCAAGGGGGGGGGGGGGGGGAGGGGGGAGGGGTCTTGAGCTCAAGATATAGCTTAGCTTCTGGGGTGGGAGTGTGCATCTTGTCGAGACAGGTGTTTACTCGGAAAGGAACCGTCTCTCGCTACGTATTCGCACACTAGACTGGGCAGCAAGAAAATTAACACCAGAACCCCTATTGTCGCTCGGTGGCAGGGTCTCACGGAGGGGACGAAGGGGGGAGACCCTGATGTTCTCGTTAGATCCTTGGTTTTTCAGACATGTTGAGGATTGTAGGGCCTTCGTCCAAAACCACAGCTTAGCCGACTTGGCGTAAGTCGTCCCCTAGCGCAGTGCAAATCCTTCGCAAACCGGACAAGCTTGACTCGAGAGGCCATACTCCGTACTCTGATAGTACCGGTAGATCAGGCCAGACCCGAGGGACGGTAGAGGAGGGTGTGGTTGTTGACGGGCCACTGGGTGAGGTGAGTCTGCACCAAACCAAGCAGATGCAGGCGCGGATACTGACCTCATTGTGCATCAGCCCGAACCAACCGTTTCGCTCGTCCGTTTCCTGCCTCCCCCTCTTCCACTGCTGGCCAGGTTTCTTGTCCTTGTGCAGCACAAATGCGCACACTCACACACACACACACACACACCCCTCCCCCAATCTTGTTTTCCGCCAGCTGAAAAAAACAGGAGCTTGGGGTAAAACGGAGGACCACAAAAACGCCAAAATCAGCCGGCGGGTGGGGAGACGGGGGGGGGGGGGGATGGAGGCGTGTCGTGGGTTATTGCATACACCGCCATGCAGTAGACGGGATACACGAGCGCGCCCCGGGTTTGCAAAGTTTCGCAAATGCCCTCTAGGGGTACACCACCAGGTTCTAGACCCAGGTCCACGACGGGGGGGGGAGGGGGAGGGGAGTGCGGTGACAGTTGCAAGGAGGACAGGATCACAAACGCATGCTTGACCTCGGCCAGAGCCCTTTCCAATCCGGTTCAACTCTTCCGCTCCCCCATCGGTGTAGGGGACTCTGGATGGATGACTGCGGTAGCGACGGGGGCTCTAAGGATCGCGAGCTACTGGGTTTCGCCCGTCGACGCGTCGACACCCTTCCCGGCCTCCGGTCGATCCTACGGGATGAGAAACACTTTTGAGAGACCTACCCCTCCGGGACGGTGAGCAATGGACCTATTGCGTGCGCACCCGCCGGCGTCGCCCTCTGCAGGGCTTCCTCGCTTGACGACAGGCGCAGCCGGTGGCATAACTCAAGCGTGAATAGGCAGAAGGCCGGGAGGCCGGGAGGCGCCGGGGCAACTCATCCTCCTCCTCCTCCTCCTCCTCCTCCTCCTCCTCCTCCCGTGGCTGTTTCCAAATTCCAACCCTCGACTCTTGGCACGACACCGGGGGAAGCAGATGAGCAAGGCAAGGGAGAAGGGTCTAGACCTGTCCATCGATCACCGGGGGCTCAAAACCAGGGCACAAGGTTCCAGACCGGTCGACGCCAGCCAGCTGCGTTCGCAATAAGGTTGGTTGTTCTACAGCGTCTGTTCCCGGGGGGGTGCGGGAAACCAAGGGAACTTTGCACCCATGATCGACTTTGATCAACTTACATGTCCGAATCGCAGACACGCGCACAAACATGCCATATGTACGCACGCACGTCACATGCATGCTGGTGGACGTCGTCCTAGTGGACACACATACGCATTTCGAGCAGATTCCATCGACTTTTTTCTCTTTTTTTTCTTCTTTTTTTTCCCCCCTTCCTTCTCGATAGCCATGGGGAGTCTTGGTTGGGTCCCTGCCGCCTCGCCGAGAATGCGTGCGGCGCTGCTGGCGCGTTGTTCCTGACACGGAGGAGGAGGAGGAGGGCCTGGACCTGGTGGAACGTGACGATGGGCCGGATCATGACACGGCCAACGAGACGATCGACCGACGCCGCGTGGGGATCTCTTCTCTGTCTTCCCACCCCTCTCTGGTCCGGAACCTACGGCCGCATCGGTGAGTCAACGGCACGCGCAAGCCGGGCGATTATGGTCCCGCCGCCCATCACCCCCCTCCACCCTTCACCGCCGCATCTCATCTTCAAACGCTCATCGAAAGGCGTGCTTCTCTCGTGAGTGAGGGCATCGACGGGAGATGGGACGAAAGTGCGAGAAAAAGGGGTTCCAGCGTGTGCAGGGGAGCGCGAGCGGGAGGGGGGGGGTGCGAAAAGTCATCACACGTCTCTTATTCCAGGCATAAAAAAGAAAAGAAAAGAAAAGAAAAGAAAAGAAAACCACATCGTGGTCGCAGACGCCTTTCCTTTGGGCATCAGAAACGGCTGTGCCCGCCGCCCGCCTTGATGACACACGGAGGAGATTTAGGCAGAAGATGAACCACCTCGTCTCGGGCTCACCTCCCGCCCTCTCTCGTGATCCCTCCCCTCCCCTTGCTGTTTCTCGCACATCAACAAACAGTCAATCACACAAGACTCACACGCCCCCACCTCCTGATATCCTCTGCCCTTACCCAGCGAGAAAGCACCACGAACGGGATAAAGCCTATATCCCCATCAAACTCAGCCCTGGGCCATCTCTCAGAAGAACCCAACACCACACGGGCTGCCGAGGGGTCTGGGCTCTCTCTCCTTGCCTTGTTCCCCCTCCCCCCCCCACAAAGAAACCCATCAAGTAACACACCCTCCTCTCCGAGGTCCAGACCGGTCTCGTCTTGTTTTCCCCGTCTGAGGATTGGAAACGAGGCGCAGAGGGCAGTAACAGGGGTACCAGAAAGTAGTAAGTAGTAAGTAGTAAGTAGTAAGCCATAGAAACGACAGGCAACCGTTGCCCAAGCTCCCCCCCCCCTCCAGGGCGAGATGGCCAGATCTTCGTGAATAAGCATCGCGGCTGAGCCCGCGCCAAGTCCCCGATCGTGAAACCCCGAGCCCGTCGTGACACATCACATGCCGGACTCTGAGTCTTTTTTTTTTTTTTTTTTCCATCCCGAGTTACCCATCCCGAGCTATCCATCCCGAAGGGGAAAGAAAGCGAAGGGGCGAAAGAAAGAGGTCGTGAAGGAGGGGCGGAGAGCCGGGAGGCCGAATCGCATCACGGGATGACGAAATGAAAATAACAGACGCCGGGAAACCCGAGGAAGAAGGGACAAAACAACTCTCGCGGATGCCTCGGAGACCGGAGACCGGGTAGTTCCATTTCCTCCTCCTCTCAAAAGTTCTGACGATTTGTTTTCTATTTTTTTGTAATTTTTGTCAGCTCACACCCCATCCTTTTCGCATGTCGTACCGACGGTGCCGACGGAGCCTCGGCGGCTATTCCACATTTTCCCGGGCTTCCGTGCGAAGAGAGAGAGAGAGAGAGAGAGAGAGACATAGGGAGAGGCAAGACAAGTCAGACGGACATGGCGGACGGGCGGGATGCTTCGGCCTCGGTCTCGGTCTCGGCATCTTGACGCAAAAAGTTCCCTCTTTCCGAAACAAAAGACACACATACACACTCTCACACGCACTCTCACACATGCACTCTCACACACACATACACACATACACACGAGGTAGAGACAGGGGGGGGGCACACGTGGGAGTGCCGGTGATACTTTGACAGAAGAAGTGACCAGACGAAAGGGGATATCCTGTATTGGGATGCCTTTCGATGAGAAACGAACACTAAGCACACGCGCACATATGCGCACACACACAGCCACGCATAACACTACTTCGGAATTCTCTCCGCCTAGAGAGGGAAAACAATTCAACTATGTCCGTCGCATCCCGTCCAACCCGAAAAGGGACAGTAGAATGGAAAAAAAAAGCAAACTCACAACGCCGATATATCTCCAATCGTCCGTGTCATTAAACAGTTTTCGCTCCCAGAGGGTGATTGATGCCCCTGTGAGAGACATATGCTTCCCGTTATCCAACGCCTCTTCCCATCCATCCCTCTTGTCCTCGTCCGTCCGCCCCCCCTCCCCTTGGCAGCGGGTCCAAACCGCGGTGGAACACAGTGCCTTTCGCCAAGCCAAGCATCATTAGTCAGGCGGCCCTCTCTCTTGTCCGCCTTTCCCTCGGTCCCTCACCGAGCTTACTGATACAGCCTCCGGGCTGAAAAGCTTGGCTTCCGTGGCCGGTTGCCCTACATCTTGTGCCAGAGCCAAGTCTAACTCTTCACGTTTCAACCACTCTCACAACTGTGGCTGCGGCTGCGGCTGTCGCTGCTTTTCCTTCAACCGCTACTCTTGGATGGCGGCTAGGGTCCTACCCGGCTCACTCTTCCATTTTGACATCCGTCCCCTTACCAAGGTTCTTGAGGAGATAACTGCGCTTGAAGTATTCGTTGGGATGGACAATGGTCTCGAGCTGTGCTGACGTGAACACGCCCTCGTCCTTTGCCTTTTTAAGTTCCTGCTTGTGGAGGTGCTCGAACACGCTGGAGAAATGTCAGTCAGTCTGAGTACAAGCCCCCAGAAACGGCCGGCCGCGGAATAGAGCTGGCCGGCTGGCTGGCCGTCCTAGACGCGACGGAGCCTGGGGACATACCGATTACAGGCCATGTGGAACTTTTGGTTATCCTTGTCCTCCTTGACCCCATGCAGCGTGGCTCGATCGCTGACCCCCATGCTCTGGACCAGGGTCGTCAGGTTCTCGAGGTTGAAGTGGCGGTAGGGGCAGCCGTGGGCCTCGCCGGGGCCGGGCGGGTGCTCCGTCAGGATCTTCTGGCAGCTGAAGGGGCTGTAGCCGCCGCCGCGACGGTTCGAGTCGCCTCCGACGTCGCCGTAGGTGTGGCGCACGTTGTAGCGGTACTCCTTGTTGAAGGTGTCGTCGGTGATGTTGCGGAACGCTTGCCTCCAGAAGACGAGGCACTCCTCGAGGTTCAAGCCGATGCCCTTGAGGAAGAGCGTGTACTGCAGGCGGCCAAAGTGCTTCAGGTGGGCGTCGCGGCGCAGCGAGCGGTGGAGGTGCGACATGCAGGCGGGGAAGTGCTGGGCGAGGTTGTCGATGTTGCGGGCCGTGATCTCGGCGCCGGGCGGCGCGGCCGTGTTGGAGCTGTAGGAGCTGTCGGGGGTGATGAAGTTCTTGGAGAGGTGGTCGAGGATCGGAGTGAGACGGTCGTCCTCGTCGAGCCGGGGCAGGGCGCGCGCCGTGAGCTGGAGGCCGGTCTGTCAGTGGCTGTGCATTGCCTCTCGTCAACGACGACGGACGGGGGGTCCGGTCCGTCCGGTCCTACCTCTAGTTGCCTCTCGAGCCGCGAGACGAATTCGCCAATGACCATGCTGGTCTGTTCTCTCCCCGGGACAAAAGCCTTGCCCGCCTTCAAAAACACCCTGCGCTGCTCGACCAGTTCGGGGACGCGGTCCCAGTCGACCTTGAACCATGTGTCGTCCTCGGTCGAGGCTGTCTTGCCCCAGCCGCGCGACATGGCGGCCAGCTCGGGCGCATATTCGCGCTTCTCGTCATCGGTCACGGCTTCCCACCAGTCAAGGTCGAGGCTGCCGATAAAGGCGGATCGTTCGTTGTGGTCGTCGCTGTTGAGGCGCACGCGGAAGAGCATGGTCTCGACGCGGGTGAAGCGGCGGCGGAGGTCCTCGGTCCGGGCAAAGGCCAGGCGCAAGATGAAGTGGCTGTAGTGGTCTTTCTGGCGCTGGGCAAAGAGCTTGGGCGAATGGGAGCTGTTGGACTCGAGGGGGAGGTACTTGTCGAGGAGGGGCTTCATGTGATTTGCGACCTCTTGCGGGGACTTGTTGCGGAACGCGCAGGCTTCCAGCTCGGCGAGGACTGGCAGAACGCGTTAGTGACGAGTGGGAGGGCAAGACGGCAGACGGCGGAGGAGGTGAGGCTTCGTGGACTTACTCCGCAGCCGGTCAATGGCCCACTGCTCAAACTGCTCGAGGGTGATGTCGGCGGTGGGCGCGTCGGTGTAGAAGTTGAGGCGGTGGGGGTATTCGGCCTCCTTGTAGAGCGGGGAGGCAAACTGCTTCTTGCGGTGGTCGACGACATTGCGCCGTTTGGGGTCGATGCGGTTGTAGTCGTGCCGCAACATGTTACCGTTCTGTATGTGTGTGCGTGTGTCGTTGGCGATGTATGTGTCGGTGGGCCAGGAGTGCGTGTTGGACGTAGATGCAAAATGTATGTCTCTACGGAGTATAGACGGGGGGGTTGGCGGCGGGGAGACGCGTCCAGTCGCGTCGTGGGGGACTTTTCAATTAACGGGCGTTGACCAATGGCAGCGACCGGGGATCTGTGAGGTGGAGTCACAGTACATAAGCGACGATCAATCCCCGTCAACACTGTGCTTACATCATCAGGTAATCCTGTGCTTACCTCATCCACTTTGGCGATGCTATTGCCTGTCACTCATCTCACTAAATAGGTAGGTACACGTACGGAGTACGTACCTCAGGTAATATCGCCTTTTCGCGAACTCGCCATCACTTACACCTCCCTCTCTCTCTCTCTCCATCTTTCTTACCTACTTTTCACTCTCGTATTCCGGCCCGTTCAATGCTCTTCTATTCCTAACAAGCCCCGGATCTCCGTCCGTTTTCAGCGCAAGTCCCGTGACCGAGTCCTACCGCATACCACAGAGCGGCCGTTCTTAAATATGCGCTGGGGTTCCTAAAATCGGTATGAACCATGTCGAGATGCCCGAGACCCCCAAGTCGACGTCGACATCGTCGTCACCACCACCCGAATGGAAAACATCGCCTCCAGCTCCGCAAGTTGTCGGCTGCCCTTCGTAGCTGCAGCATTCCTGCACGCCATCACGTTGCCCGTCGCGCATACCGTTGCATATCGACTACCCCAACACTGCCCAACCACATCGATACCGGCGTCCCCCGCCTGACCTGCTGCCGATTCCTAAATCTGGGACCCACACCACACGTCCAAACACACCTCGGCCGTTGCCTGTCAGCCTCACTCATGCCCGCATGGCAGCCTCCAGCTATCGATATCCCTTCATCAACCTCAGTCTTCCCGGCTTCACAGTTCTCGGGTTCTCTTACGTCTCTCGCTGGTCTCAAATGTTTCGCTTCTCCCCCTCTCTCACCCATCGATTTGGCGTGAGACCCATCCCGGCCGTCGAATACCCCTGCTTTCCCGGGCAATGACCGTGAACCGCCGAGATGGCCTCCTTGTCCTCCCTCGGCCTCAATCTACGCCTCGCAGATATCGACGAGGACCTCAAGTCCCACTCGGCCGCCCTATCGTGGCCCAACTCGAGTTTTTGCGCAAGTGCCGCGTCCGCCAGCTACGACTTCCTCGACGATGCACCCTGCTTTGCCTACACTGAAGTGTTTGAGAGGTACGCTGACCGTTCCTTCAGTCATTCTTACCCGAACGCTCTACATGCGATGGCACATTGTCAGCCCTGTCATCACATATACTCGTCTCATTTTTCTGGGCTAGCGCACCGAGTATATCCATCCACTTTACAATGATGAAAATCCACCGAGTTTGTCTTTTTGACAGCAGAAGGCTCGTGTTGGGGCGCGCGCCTCAGCAACTTGGCTAATAAACTCCTCAACCACAGCGGCGATGTTTTCCAAGCCATGTCGCCTGGCTCGGGCGTCTATCTACCCCTTCACTCATCGCCTGGTCCTCTGCCGGCATTCGCCGTTTCCAAATGTCGCTGTTCCAAGACGATCGGGATCGAGATTCGGAGCTTGACCCTGTTACAGACGCTTGCCATTGCCATGCCCTCGCCTTTTGACTTTCCCTCCATCCTCTCCAACTACACGAAACTCAAGTCCCACCTACAGCACCTTGAGACCATCTCGCCGTCGCACTCCGCCACGGTCGAGCTGCGGCTGCTCGTCGGTGATCTCCTCCTCGATAGGGCCCTGTATGCAGGCATCGGCACCGAGACGTACCGGTCCAACGGCCACCTGTCCCTCACCCAGTTGCACGACATGCACCAACGGAGTGTCGATGCTGGCCTCGACGACCTGGACGCCTGCTTCTCCCTCGGTCTTCTCCCCGACGTGATGGACGACGCGTATCTCGAAGCCCTGGCTTCCAAGTTTACAGAGCTCGCTCTCGCCGGAGACATGACTGCCCTGTACAACCTCTGCGAGCCCATCGTTCGCTCCGGCGAGGTTGAGTGGGAGATGAACACTGACCTGCTCCTCGAACTCCTCGACCGGGGTCAGCTAGATATCTACCGCTACGTTCTCGACCTTGCTTCCCGAACGAGGGACAGGTCTTCGGTCCAGCCTGCGTCGTTCCTCCGTGACATCACGCATGATCCGCTCCACGTCGCCATCCGTCTCGGCCACGTCCAGCAAGTGGACAGTCTTCTCCAACAGGGAACGTCCTTCATTGGCGTTCACCACAGTGACTTGACGGAAGGCAGCGCAGAGCACGTTGTCCTCACGCCTCTTTCTGCTGCCGTCTATTGGCGGCAACCCCGTATTGTCCGGGTGATTCTCTCCAAAAACATCTTTGCAGACGGGATGAAGGAAGCAGTCGCCATGGCGGTCTCGGACGGAGACAATGACATGATGCAAATTCTGTTTTCTTTCGGAGTCATGGGCGTGTCTGGAACTCCAGTGCCAGACAACCCATTCGAGTCCTTCTCGGAACTCAGCCCCCTGGTGGGAGCCGAAGAAGTGTCTTTGGCACCCCCGGGCGCGGAGAGTGACGTTCGCTTCGCGGGCCATCAGCACCCGCTCGACAACGGCAGGCCAGCCCCGTCGGCTGGCATTCAAGGAACTAACCGTCAGGAACGAGACCGAGCAGCCGAGATGCCCAAGGAGCCTGTTCGGCGCAAACCTTGGCGGCATCGGCGTCGGGTTTTGGGACAAGCACTAGTCTTGCACATGCGTGCGTTGTGTTCCCAGCTTCGCGACGTCTGCATCTGCTCAGACCACATCGAGGTGCGAGACGTCGCCAGCAAATACGCCTTTGCAGACAGTGTTTGGGGCCGTGGCATAAAGGCATTCCGTGGTTTGATGCAAGACAGCCCGCCTTCGACCCTGCCGGAGGTTGTCGACTGTCTCGTTGTGGCCAACGCCATCTGCCTAGCCCTTTTTACACACGACGAGACAATATCTTCGCAGTAAGTCTAGACTGGTCCCCGAGCAGATGGGGATACCACAAGGAGAACACGTTCTTGGCCTGGCCACGTTCACGAGTCTGACATTGGCACAGGTTCATCAACGACCTTGACCGCTGGCGCTCGGTCCTGCCAGCCTCATCCCAGTGCCTCTTTGATGATGTAGCGCTCCGAATGTGGGCCTATACTCCATCAAGCGCGGCGGCTTCGGAGCCGGATCCCGTCAACGTCTCTCACTTCCGAGACTTGGTTCAGAGCTTGACAAGCCTTGAAAAACGCAAGGAAACCGCGCCATCGAGGATGCCCAGCCCCGGGAGTAGTCTTGCAGCCTGCCAGAGAGCGTTCGAGGACCAGGACACTAGCCCGGGGATCAGCCAGGGGCAGGCGATCCCCGGCCGCTCACAGTCTTGTCAAAGCTCCTATGGGAGTTCGTCGGCCCAGCGGGGCGACCTTGTATGGGCCGACTTTCTGCACATGGAGCAATTTGAGGACACGGCTTCGGGACAGACGGGGCCATCGCTGGCAGATGTCGGAGGCTGGGATGACGTGATGCCCACGACGATGCTGCTGCTCGTTTCAGTAGCGTTTTCCGTCGTGCTGGCGCTGATTTTGCGTATGTGCAAGTCTGCTCAGATCTTGACACAGTCCATAGCTGACCCTTGGCCAGATCTACACTCTACGCCGGGGAGACCCGCGTTCGATGCCTTTGCGTTGACACCTGCGGGATATGCCCGGTGCTGCGCCCTCCTCGTAGCCTACCTCGCGATGCACGGCGTCTCGCTCCGTACTCCTCACGATGACGCCAACGTCGCGATGCCGTCGTTCACTCCACAATCGCCGGCGTACGGGTCAGACTCATGCATGACCCCGTCGAGCAGCTTCTCGTCCCTCAACACGTTGGGCGTGCGCCGCAACGAGTCCTTCTCCAGCATCAGGTAAGCCGATCGATGGCCCGAAACCTTGCACGCACGTACAACGTGCCCGTCCCGCCGCCTCCGGGAGAGCATTGGCTGAACTCTCGCCTGTAGCAGCACAGAGAATACCGGCGCAGCATCGGCGTCCTCGCGCGATCAGCACCACCGGAAGCAACAGAGCGGAGAGAGGCTGTCGTGCCTCACGCCGCGATGCGCCAAGACGTTCTCGAGCGTCAGCAACCGCAACAAGCACCTCCGCGAAGGGTGCGCATTCACGAGGGAGAGGAGGCAAGGGCACCAGTGCAGGAACGGGCCCTGCGCAAAGGTGCTGACGACCAAGTGGTACCGCGATACCCACGAGAGGGAGCGGTGCCGTTTCAGGCGGGGGGGATAGGGGCGATGGACGGATGGGTGGCGGAACAGTCGCGGGGGCCCGGGCAGTGCACGTGCACCGGGATGGCCTGGAGCCCCCCTGGCATGCCACCCACCCACCACTCGTGTGCCATATAGTAATGTGTATAGATTTTGTTCACGGATAGGTATCATTGTGTCCGGGTACGCCATGTTGCGCCCGTCAAGGCTGCTGAACCCAGGACGTCACATCTCTTTGTGCGCCTATGGTTGTCCGGCGTTATATCTACTAGTCATGAGCTCCAGCGCAACGACGACGACGGTACAACTGGGCACAAGGTCGGCCGGAGAGGGGGAAAGATGGGTATGACAAACAAGGCGAAGGAAATAGACGCAGTATCACAAAAAAGGGAAAATAACGAAATAGAAAAAACCCCAGTAAAAGAGATGAAAACAGTGGGGGATTGCAACACAGCGCCGGATGTTGTGCATTTCCCCCTTCCCCTGCCGGTCCCGAGCGCCCGCGTACCAGGTGGGCGGTACCGCGAAGCTTCGAGTGGCTACGTAGGTAGCTTGGGTACCTTAAAGCAAGGTATCTTTGGTAGGTGGGCAAGTACCAAGAGTACCTATCAGCACGTACCCCACCTGCAGATGCAAGTGGTCGTTCCTTGATAGTCTCGTGATGGGGATATCTGTTTGTCACCACCACAAAAGTAAATCAATCATATAGACCCTTCGTCAGACTGTTCTACGGGGGGTTAAATCGATTCGTTTCAATATCCAAGGCGTACTGTGATGGGCCTGGTTGTGGCCGCTACGGGGTGTCGGTGGCGCAGCCATGATACACAGGTGCAGCACCTCCTGGATGTCATTTTCGTTCCACCCCAAAGAACCCCCCGGAAAAGAAACGAAGGAGAAGGGAAGAAGAACAGTAAGGAGAGGCTCGGGAACCCCAACCGATCTCTCATCTGTTATCTTATCTTAGCCGCGCTGGCAAGGTGGTCGGGCGCTGCTCGGCGCATCGCTGTGCATGGCTCAGTGGCGCCAACAACAGAAATGGCTTAGTACGGCGTCGCAGGATGCGGTGGTTGGTGTGGCTTCGACCGTTCCGATCTTGTCTACTCGCAAGAGCCAAGGGGAGAAAGTGAGAGTGAGAGAGAGAGAGAGAGAGGAGAGAGAAGGAGAGAAGGAGAGAGGCAGCAAGGGCGATTCTGGCCTGGGGAACGCTTTTTCTTTTCTTTTCTTTTTTTCTCTCTAAAACTGAGAAAACTTCTCTTCCACCCCATGGACGACGCACGACACAGAGCCCACCACCTTCAGGTGACAAACGGAGTTGGTTTTGCGACGCGAGGACAAAGCCAGGTGAAGACGCACGCGCAAAGCACGCATGGCAGTTGACGGGCCCTTGGGATAAAGGTGGTTTAACATCATGCCGTCCCTCCTTCCCTCACCCTGCCAGCCGGACCCTCCCTTCACCATACCGCATCCCTATAATCGGGGGGTTTGACAGCCAGAGAGTCCAGGGTGGTGGTAGTAGTAGTAGCCCAGGGGTTCTCCCCCCCCCTCCCCTCTCCTTCACGAACGACGACGATGCACCTCCTCGCCGCCGTCCTCCTCCTGGGCGGCCTTCTCCCCTACCTCCCGGTGGGCGCCCGCGCCGAGGACAGCTTCCGCCGCCCGCCGGGCCCCGGCCTGACGGGGGACTACCGAGACAACCCGGTCTACGCCGTCGGCGACAGCATCGACCTGCAGTGGGAGACGACCCTCGAGTCGGCGGACCTGGCGCTGTGTCAGGAACAGCCGAGTGGGGGTGATGACGCGCGGCCGGCCTGCGCGACGCTTGTTGGTAAGTTTTTTTTTTTTTTCCTTTTCTGCCATGGTTTCGCGAGGGCTGACGAGGGGGGAGAAAAAGCAAACGCAAAGGCTAAGAGCCTGCTGTGGACCGTGGGCTACGCCGGACTACCCGCGCACCAATACCCGGGCCTGAGCCCGGTGTACTACCTCAAGCTGTCCAAGGCCGGGGAGACGGCGGCACAAGGGGGCATGAGGTCGCATTACTTCAACATCACGGGGACTAGGCCGGCGCCGGCGGCGCGGACGACGGAGACGATGAACACGAAGACGAAAACGAAAACGAAAACGGCCGGTCCGAGCGGGACAATGTCAGCGGCGACAGCGAGGACGCAGAGGACGACGGCGATGACGGCAGGCACGAACTCGTCGGCAACAGCGATGCCCACGTCCCCGACGCCGACGGTGACGCCGGCCGCAGACGACCCCGACGCCGACGCGCAGCCTCCGCCGCAGTCGCAGCCTCCGCCGCAGTCGCAGCCGCAGCCGCGGTCGGGCGGCGGTCTGTCGGGCGGGGCGGTGGCGGGGATCGCGGTCGGGGCGATCCTCGGCGGGCTCGCGCTGCTGGGCGGGGCGGCGTGGGCGGTGCGCAGGTGGAGGCGGCGGGCCGGGGGCGTGGCGCACACGCAGGGCGACATCGTCTTGTACGCGGAGCGGCAGCTGCGGGAGAAGGGGGCGGTGGCGTGGCGGACGCCGCCGTCGCCGCTGGGGCGCAAGGTGTGGCTGCCGGTGGAGGAGAGCCGGGAGGCGCTGCCGTTCGAGCTGGCGGGGACGGCGGCGGCGGCGGGGGCGCAGTGGGACTGGGCGGCGTGGGGGGCGGCGGCGGCGGTCGACAGGGCGATGATGGCGGGGTGCGGCAGCGGGAGCACGCGGTCGGGGTCGTCGGGCTGGACGGGGTGGCGGTCGGTGGAGGCGCGGACGTGGACTTGAAGGGGGATGTATTAGTTCTACTACGGATGTACGAAAACGATGCTGATGTACAAAGAGTGATGCTGATGTACGAAGATTACTACGGATGTACGAAGACGATTGTTGATGTACGAATACTGCTTGGGTAGGTGGGTATCACGGGGCAATGAGAGGCCCCGGGCAAATGAGAGGCAGCGCTGAGATAGAGAGATATTAGAATATACCCTTCCGTTCGCGAACAACCCTCCGTCAGGCAGTCGCGGGCATCAACGCCCCCCCCCTCCTCTCCTCATCCCGTGGCGGCACTTTTTCATCCCTTTCTGACGGCTTTACCCTTCTCCGCATGGGCAGATGTATGATTTTGAAGGCGGACAAGACAGACGACGAGCTAGTCGTGAACCGGGGAGGGGGCAATTGCCGAAGTGGCCGAAAGGCCGCTCAGGTAATCGCCGAACCACCGGGCCATGGGGCAGAAAGCAACAATACCAGCATCTCGATCCCGTTGCGGGAAATTGGTCTTGGCCGCCCCTCCATTGCTACCACCGCTACGGGCTTACCAGCAACACCAGCAGGGGGGGGGGAGACCCCCCTTGCCATTGGGAGGAGAAGACCGGGGGCCAGATTGCCTCGCTACCGGGGCAGAAGTCTAACGATGATCTCCACGATGATCGCACCGGCGCTTGAGAGCGCTTTGACACCGGCTCGGCAGCAACGGAGACAGAGACGGAAGGGGAAAGAGAAAGGGGAGAGATATGGGGGGAGAGAGGGCGCGGGAGTAGGAGAGGAAGGGAGAGAGAGAGAGAGAGACAGGGAGAGGGAGAAGGAAAAAAAAAGAAAAAAAAAGGGAAAAAAAGGAGAGATAAGAAAGAGAGGAGGCTTACCGGTAGTACCGTCTCCATGGATACGATTCCAGGCCCCCTCGCCCCCGAAGGGAAACGTGCATACGGCCGGCAGTGGAAGAACCCATGTAATGCATGCAAACGGCGCCCAATCAATCACGCACCCGGAACCACAGGGCCCTCTTCTTCTTTTTTTGTTTTCTTTCTTTTTTTCCCTTTTTTTTCTTTTTTCTTTCTTGAACTTTTGTTGCCTCGTTCTTTTCTTTTCTTCTATTTCTACACTTTCTCTTTCTAATAAAGAATTTGTTCCGGTACTGCAAATAGCTCCAACTAACGGATCCCGTCAGACTTCGGTTCCATAAGGGTTCCAGGCCGACCCACAGACGCTGGAAAGGAACCTTGCTTAGGATGCAAGTACTTTGCATACGCAATTTGGTGTGCGAGTACCTTGAACCCTGCCTAGATACCTTGCTCACTTAGCACATGGCACCTACAGTATTACCGTGTGTAGGGGACAAATGGGAACAACCCCCCCGGGAGCGTCCCATGTGCCCGGGACCGCTTAGAGCCCAAGCTCCCCCCCACCCCACATAGAGAGCCACACACACACACACACACACCCCCACCACCCCCCAAATCGACGAGACTCACTTTTCGTCGCCAGATCTTCATCTCACCTCGCCATTTCAACATCCTCCATATCCTCGCTTGTATTCGACTGACCAAACTCTTCCACCCTCCCCTCTTCGGTTGACGGCGCGGGGAGCGCTCTTCTTCACCATGTCTAACGACGGACCCGAAGACGGAGACGCCGTCACCTTGCGTGCGAACCAAACCCACCACCATCACCAATACCAGCATTACCAACATTACCAACACCCATCCGATCCTCCCATCTTGCCCCCGAACCCCCCTGCTGTGCAGCTGCCTGCCGCCTCGCATCCCACGGACGACGCCCTCTTCCCCTTCCGCCTTTCAGACCTCCGATTGTTGGCCGAGCCGCGCCCGGGTGACGTCGAGGACGACGTCGAGGACCCCGGCAGGGAATTGTTGCACCGCGACAACCACGCCGCCGAGACCGACGCCGAGCCCGACGACGCAGCCGATGATGCCAATGCCATTGCCGCCGCCGATGCCCGATCCGACGCCCAATCCGACCGCCCCTCGCTCGATGCCACCGAGGCCGGCGTGACCCTCGACCGCGTCGCCGGAAACGACGCCGCATCCCTTGTTTCAATCGACGACGCTGTACGCCTCACCCTCCCATCCCTCTTCCCTGCCATCTTCTGTGCTCTAGTCTAATAGCAGGATTTTTTCTTGTCTCCTTTTAGTCCATTGCAGGAGGTCAAGCGCCTTCGTTGTGGTCGCTCGAGACCAGCGACTATGAAAATGGCTTCCAGGAGAGACACGGGAGGACATATCACCCGATAGGTGCGTCGATGATAAAAAACCTTGCACGCTTGTGCACTTCGCCGCGCCCCCCGTGCTGACTTTGGCCTGCGTTTTTCTTTCGCATTAGAAGAGTACATTCTCCCCAACGACACTGTACGTTTCTCCTCGTCGACCACCCACCCTCGTGGGGGTTTTTTTCTTGTTTTTTTTTTCCTGCTTACAGCGCGCTGACGGGCTTTCCTTTTTATTCTCCCGCGCCAACAGACTGAGCAGTTCCGCCTTGGTAGGTTCATTCCCCAGTGCGACGCCCCCCCCCCCCCCCCCCCGCAGAGATGTTGATTTTCTGACCGCTGCCGTCTTGCAGATATCCAACATCTTCTTTGGCTGGCCACCTGGGACGGTCGCCTCTGCATGTGTCCCAAGAAGGACGGCGCGTCGCGCGTTCTCGACGTCGGCACGGGGACCGGCGTTTGGGCCATGGCGTACGGTGAGAGAGCCCCTGCTGTCCTCCTGTCTCTTGTTCCCGCTGACTAAGCCTCCGTCGCAGCCGACGAACACCCAGAAGCAGTTGTATGAGAACGAGCCCTTCCGCGCACGCGCGCGCGCGCGTGTGTGTGTTCCCCACAATGCGGAAACTAACTTTGCAACCCAGGTCACCGGCGTCGATATCAGCCCCATCCAACCCCAGGTGTAAGTTGCCGAGATGCGCAAGGCGGTGCTTGGTGGAGGAGCTAACAATGCATCGTCGTCTAGGGTTGCGCCCAACTGCTTCTTTGAGATATATAACGTCGAGAGCGAGTGGCCGTGGAGGATCCCCCATGATTTCGTTTTCATACGGCACATGAACACGGCGTTTGCGAGCTGGCGCGACACCATCGAAAAGGTCTTTAGGTGAGCGGTGCCCTCGGATCACGAGCCCTCCGGATAAGGGGAGGGGCAGGAACACAAGACGTACTGACACCCTCCGCCAAGGAATCTCGCCCCCGGCGGCTACATCGAGCTGCAGGACAACACCTTCCCCATCATGAGCTACGAGGGCACCATGCCCCCAAACAGCGCCATCGCGAGGTGGTCGTCGATGCTGATGGAGAGCACCCGCCTCCTCGGGCGGCCCTGCGACGCGCCCTCGCAGTTCAAGCGCCTGCTCGAGGACGCCGGCTTCGAGGGCGTCGTCGAGATCAAGCGCGTCTGGCCCATCGGCGAGTGGGCCGCCGGCCGCCGCCACTTCATCACGGGCTCGCTGTGCCACGACACCTCCATCGCCGGCCTCGAGCCCTCCACCCTGCGCCTCTTCACCTCCGTCTTTGGCTGGAGCGTCGAGGAGACCAAGGACTTTTGCCGCGAGGTCGAGGCCGAGATCAGGAGCCAGCGGTACCACGCCTACTTTAACGTGTAAGTGCTCTTTCGCCCCCCTCCTGCACGCGTTGGTGATCAAGTTCTGAAACCTGACACCCTTTCTCTTCAGATACTGTGTCTATGGGAAGAAACCATACTGGGCTTGAGCTCGGTCCGGAAACGCAGGAGAAGGGAGAGGCCGGCGTTTTGGAAAAGCTTTTTTTTTTTTTTTTGGCATCGAAAAAAAAGGACATCATGATACCCCTGCAACTTGTTTGTTTCTTTCGCGATAATGGGCTGGTGGGAGGCTGCGTCTCGGCGTGGTTTTTGTCTTTTTTCTCTTCTTTTACACTAAAACACCCCCCCATTTGGTGAAAAGGTAGACGGCAAAACGGTGGTAAACGAAGGTGGAAGAAAAGGAAAACTCGAAAATCACAGAACCAAAACAACAAGGAGAAGAGGAGATTTTTTATTTATTTATGTATCATCTCCATCTCGTCTATAACTCTGATGCCGTCAGGCAAACGCGCAACCCCTCCCTCAATGACCTTGCCGATTGTTTTGCGACCCAGGTGACTCATATTGATTAGCGCGGTGGCCGTGAGTCCTACTTGGGAACCTGGTTCAGAATGCCCTTGGACCCGGTAGTAAATGGGCCGGTCACCTAAGTATCTCGAACTGAAGGGGGGGAAAATGAGACGACGCTTTCAAGTAGCGTGCCCGGGGACGCCGTGATCGAGCAAGAGCCGCGGGCACACTGGTTTCCTCTTGACGGCTTTCTGCAGAGCACACATTGTCAATTAGTCCTGGCGCCGGCCGATGTTCAGGACTCTGCACTACCTCAGTGTTCCCCTTTTGATGTTACTGCGAGGGTGACGATTCCTGTCCTGTAACACATCTAGGAGTCTGACTGGAGCCCCCCCTCCCCTGCGGACACTTCGACGCTGGTATTTTTTGGCCGCCGCGGAAAACCAGCTGACGAGGTTGCGATGTTCCTCAAGGGTAAGGTGTTCTAAAACCAGACCGAGTGCTATGTCCGCGCCGATGGACAGTTCTCTTCTTCCGGGCTATAAGGTGTCGATTTTCCTGTTTCGGCTCGCAATGTAGCCCAGAAGCGCGTTGGCGAGACCGTCTTGGCCGCTCAGGCACTATTTGACGATGTCTTCGTGGCCCGACGTAGTAGCGGCCATCAAGGGGCCGTCTCTGTGAGAGATACTTAAAGCCGGAGATGAAGCTGCTGTGTAGACATTGCCATCCTTAACGCCAAGAATTGCCTACATGTCCGCCAAGGGCCTCGGTATTTCGAGAGGTGTTATCATCCACGATATGGAAGCGTATGCTATCCAGCTCAGGCCTATATTGGCGACGGCCGCGAGATGCAGCCCTGAAAGACGGCAAGCGACAAGCCGGGCTTGGCAAGAGTCGCTCATCTTCCGGGAACAATGAAAATTCCTTCTCATAATCAGCGTGATGACGTCTCGATGCTCACTCGCAGCAGCGGCTTGGAGTGTACTGTTCAAATAGCCTCTTGCGTTGATACTAGCTTTCGAATCTAAGAGGAGTTCGACCATGTCGAGGTGGCCGTGGTAAGTAGGGGCATGTAACACTGCTCCATAGAATCCGGCTCGTTGATTGATGTTGGCTCCCTCCCGTAGGAGTCTTGCGACGAAAATGTGCCCATTTGAGGCTGCGGCTTGGAGGGCGTCTCCGTAGGGTCCGCAAACGTTTACATCCGCCCCCCTATCTGGGAGCAGTCGAACAATGGAGTGGAAGTTGAGGAGCGAGGCCGTTCTTAGGAGAGTACTGAGATCCCCGTTCGATTCCAGGTTCATGCCCTGGTTGAGGAGGAAGCTTACTATATCTTTGTAGTTATGTAGAGTCGCTAGCGACACAGCATCTGAGGGGGGGGGTTCCAAATCATATGCATTGCGGCTAAGAAACTAGCGGAGGACCCTGACTTGGCTGCCTTGGATCGCTTTTACTATCTTTCTTCTAACAATACGGGACTCGTCTTTCTTAGGCAACGGAAGGGTAAGAGATGGAGGGTCTGGATCTCTTTAACAAAGCCTATAAGAGAAGCATCCCCTAGCGCTTTATGGTAGGCCTCTTCACTCTCGAATGTAGGTTGGAGTTCAACGAGGAGGAGTACTACATCTTGCTGGCCGCCCCTGAAAGCAGCCTTTAAGATATTCTTGAGGACTGAGCCGCAATTGGCGTTGGCCCTGAATTGGAGGAGTCTCTCAACTACTTACCTCTAAGTGGCCCGAGAAAAAAGCAACCTGGAGCGGGCTACTGACAAAAACCGCCTTCAGGGGTTATTAATGCACGATTTTGCGCCTATATATAACATACCTCTACTACTATACATCTAGCTGTCAACGAACCAATGATAAGCATGTACTAATGATAGTATTTCAATTGTATTATTCGTTAGCATGCTATTCGAAACTATGTTTATAACATTCGCTTTGGAGCGTGTCGACCTATGTTATACCCAGCTTTGGTTTATGGTATAAACATTTTGGACCCTGAAGCAAAACCAGATGTTTCGATCTACAAGCTACATATAGCTGCTCGGATAGCTCTTCGCGGCAAGATGAAGAACCCCATGGCTTGTGATTATCTTCACCAGGATAAACCATCTGACAACGAGGTTTGGCGTCACTACCAAAACGAAATATGGTTCAAGCTCTCACGGGCAGTGCGCCGAGATCTCGGACGCTAAGTAGCGTTGACGAACCCACCGCCAACCTCCTTCAAGAACGGTTGGCGGTAAAAGGTGCTATCGTCAGTGCCGGCGAGAACATCTCGAAACACGTACTTGCGGCCTTCGCCGCGCTCAAAGATGTCTCGGAAGGCTTCGAGCAGGCAGTAGTATCCTGAATTGCGGCCGTCGCTCTCGTCCCCTCGAAGCACGGCTGCCCATTGAACATCCGTCATGGTTGATGTTCTCGAGTCTGAGAGAAAGTCACAGGTAAGAAATGCGGCCGGAAATGCGAATACGTTGTACTCAACAGATCGCGGGACCTCTTGTCTCTCTTGACAGGTGACGGGGATGTGGGGACGCACCACGAGAACGTTATGAGATGGTGGGATAAGTTGAGCCATGATGGGCTCTAAGACAATGGATACAACGTCCAAAGATATAATCTGCGGTAGAAGAAAAGTGTGTTGCTGGATTCAATGAAGGCAGCTTGCCGTGAGTGAAGAGAACGGGTGACAGACCTCTCATCAATACTGGGATTTAACACTAGGAGCATCATCAATCTGCACTCCATTTCAATATTTCGATGTAATTACGTCTCGAAACTGAACGGATAGTGTAGTCGCCAGGTATCTGGTTGTAGGTCAGGTTGTTGCCAAGAGCTAGGAATGAGGCGGGGACTTCTGTACGATTCGTGGATGACTATTAGCCCTGGATCGATACCAAAGTTTTGGCTCTTACCAACTTCCTTTTTAGTGCAGCTGGTGTAAATTTCAACTAAAGGCTACAGCGATAGGTTGAGCGAAAGGTGATCATCGTCGGCCTGCATAAACGACAGTAGCGCCGCTGGGTCTAATATGATATAGATGATGATAATGATGATGATATTATTTAACACCGTGGGATTGATTCTAGTGGCAAAAGACACCCGCACGGTATGTCTCGATAGTCTACACGGAATCCCTAGATTTTATGTTCTGAGGCATCTCATGATGCTTCTGAGCCCTTATTCTTTAACCCTAGTTACAGTGAGAATACAGGGGTCCAATCAGTAGTTTCCAGCCAAGGTACTTCAACTGACATGCTGTGTATACAGCATAGATGTACATGATAGTTGACGAGAGGTTATCAAGGTAGTAATGTCAGCATTAGCACAGCATCAGTGCTAGCTAATTTGCAGGAGGTGGTGTGGTGATGTCTATGCGTGACTGCGGTGGTGTGTGTATGTATGTGAAAGTGTGTAAGTGGTTAAGTGGTTGAAGGGGTAAAAGGCACCCTGCCAACCCTTGCTGGCACATCCAATGACCAGCCGGGGGAAATCGAATTCCCGCAAAATACGATGTAGATGCAATGTCAGCGATCGACTTTTCAGTAGGACATGTTTTCTGATACCATAAGAAATAACCCACCATTTCTATGGCTCCTAGTTGATGTGAACATTTTGTCTTTAGTCTAGATAACCTTAATCAGATGTCACAGTCTACTACCTCTACCTAATCAATTCATCAGACACCCCCAAGATAGGAAGATTAGACTAGACACAGCGTCGGAAGATTTCTATATGGCCCTCGAGCGGAGCCCTCTAGCGGAATTCTCAGACCGAGCGACGGCTGGCATCTCAGCTGCCCGTTGCGAGGGGCTTGGCCAGCTTAGCATCTCGGGTGACTGTTTAACCTAATAGGCAACAGGAATGAACATAGTCAGTGAAGGACTATGCTCGCATACTGATGCAGGTTATCCAAGTTCTCATTCTGGCGTGAAGCCATCATCCCATGACGGGATGTCTCGGCCCGTCCCATGCATCGACAGCAACAGCAAAGGCAAACTCCCCAAACTGGGTAGCCGGAGTCCCAGTTGACGGGAGTGGATGTAGGCGATCACGATTGACCGGGAAATGGCCCAATGGAATGCCGCCACCATCGTTCGTTTTGAAGAATTCAACAGGGGCTAGGGCGCCTATCGAATTGATCCGTCGAATCGGGTAGGCCGGATCAATCACCCAGAAACCTCGCCTCCTCGGCGCAGTAGCACAGCTGCGCACACCGTCGTATGTCTGCAGCCCGCGCCGGGCCCAATCACAGAGGTTGGGTTGGAACACTTCCGGAAACCAGTCCGAAAGAGGCGGGTGAGCCAGCGAGCGGGGTGAGAGATACCACCGTAGCATGTAGGTAGGGTGAGCATATTTGCCAGGGGTCTTAAGGACGCCTCTCCATCGTCCTCCTTCCCCTCTCTCTCCGTCACATTGTCGCACTGTCAGACCATCTCCTCAACCACACTTTCGAGTCCTCTCGAGACGAGATGGCGGACGTGCTGCAAGCCCAGCACCAGCAACAGCAGCCGGAGCCTGTGGAGGCGCCCGTGGGTCGACCCAGCTTTCTAGCGCTGCTTAGATCCTTACTCACTATCATGCCAGGAGCCCCAGGATATCGAGGATGAGAGCGATGCGGTTTCACTGAGTGGTACTGTAAGTCTAGCTAGGGCAGGCCTTGGCCCATTTGGTCATCATCTTCGTCGTAGCGTGACTGACGTCGCCTTCTTTGTCTTAGTCTGTCCAGACGGATACAGACTCCCTGAGGTCGAGCATTCGCGACTACCGCAGAGAAAACGGCCGGACGTACCACAGTGTCAGCGATGGAAGTGAGTAGTTCGAGGCGGCGGTCGGCAGTCTATGGGCCCAATGAACTAACTGCGCGTCTCCTCCATGTAGCTTACATCTTGCCAAATGACGTAGTATGTTGCCAGGCATTCGCGTGACGAGAGTGTGAGCCGCTGGCTAACCTATTCGCCGAAAAAAAAAAAGAGGGAACAGGAACGTTTAGGTGAGTCTTCGACCTCGTTTCTGATACGATCTCATCGGGACAAGCAACGGGCTAACATGGTCCAGACTTTCAGCATCACTGTTGGCAGTTGACCTGGGACGGCAAGCTCTGCATGTGCCCAAAGAAAGACGGTGCCAACCGCGTTCTGGACATCGGAACGGGGACTGGAATCTGGGCAATGGACTACGGTGAGCCCTAAATCACCTGAAAGGACGAAATCTTTGACGCAGTCTCTTTGCTGACGCCGTACAGCGGACGCCCACCCCGAAGCAGTGGTATGGCTTCCCCGCCTATCCGGGCTTTCTTGTGCGAATGTTTAACTTACCCCAGATCAGGTGGTCGGAGTCGACCTAAGCCCTATCCAACCGGAGTAGTCAGTGCCCCCGATAACTGATGCGTGAAGACCTGCTCACCAGTCCGACAGCGTCCCGCCCAACTGCCGGTTCGAGATCGACGACGTTGAGAAAGAGTGGACCTGGCAGGAGCCTTTCGACTTCATTTTCGCGAGGCACATGAACGCATGCTTCGCCAGCTGGGAAAAGTTTCTCAAGCAGGCCTACGAGTACGTCTTGAGCCGCCGGACCTGTTTACACACATACACACACATGCACACGCAAGGCTAATAAGAGACACAGCAACCTGGAACCCGGCGGCTACATCGAGCTGCAGGACAACGCATTCCCCATCCTCTGCGGCGATGGGACTCTGAAGCCGGACGACCCGATGGCCCGCTGGTCGACGCTGATGATGGAGGGCACGGAGCTCATCGGGCGCCCGATCACGGTTCCCGGAGCCTTCCGGCGCCTGCTCCAGGAAGCCGGCTTCGAGGACGTCGTCGAGCACAAGCGCGTCTGGCCCACGAGCCCGTGGCCAAAGGACGAGGCCCTCCGCGAGCTCGGCCTCTGGACCCAGGCCTGCAGCCTCGAAGGCGTCGAGCCCGGCGCCCTCGCCCTCTTCACGCGCGTGCTCGGCTGGACGAGGGAAGAGGTGCTCGTTTTCATCGCCAGCGTCCGCAAGGATTTCAAGAACAAGAACATCCACGCCTACTGGAACGCGTGAGTGACACCCTCCGCACACGTGTTGACGGGGTGTTCTCGGAAAACTGACTTCTCACCAGATACTCCGTCTACGGAAGGAAGCCTTTGAAGGATGCCACCTCCTAAGAAATAGGCTGGAAAGGATGGATGGGTAGCGTTTGATAGGGTTTGGCGGGCAGAACAACGGGGTTGCTCCTTCAGAACTCTCGTTGCATGAAACGCCTCCCAGCCTTGATGTACCTTACATGGAGAAGACACAATAATACACCTATTCTTACTTCCACAAAAAGACATTCAATCCTGGGGCCGATTTTCAAACCAGGTGGTCGTGTACGCGGGCAGCCATGGCAAAGTGCCAATGTCCATGTTGTAATGATTCATTACCAGGACAGTTGGACATGTGATAAACCAAAGCGTCTAGTTATTTAAGAGAGAAGTTGTTGTTCCTCCTAAGTCTACATACAAGAAGATTTCCAAGTAGAAATACCATTAGTTACATAGGTCTATCTTGTAGTAATCTACATGTGTAGCGCTTACTACTATACTAGTACAAGCTACATAAAGTTGTACTAGCTTTACAACACTACTCTACTAGTTTTAAGCGTATTCTTCATCAGACAGATTTGTTCTTCCCTAAAAGTCTCCTATTAATAGCTATTAAAGACAAAGGGCTTGACTCTGTAGTTGGGGCATCCACTCCCGAAGTAATTTATAAAATGGCTTATCTGACCACCTGGAAAGAAGATTACTTGCGTTTACGTATCTTATGTTGATACTGAGCAAGAAGCGGAAGTTCCACGCTTCGCTGCGTGATGATTGTGGTAGTATCAATAAGTTTTATAGAGAGAAAAGCGAACTAGGAAACCACATTCTGGCACACTGTCAACATTACCATCTTAGACTACACACATTTGTCGACCTGTGTGCCAAAATCAAAGCTTGTCGATCGAACCTCGAGTCTGTGCTTCTGCGACGGCGTGTGTCGAACGAATGAGACCCCGCACCGCCGCCGGTGCCGAAGCGGCATTTCACACTGATCGATCGTCATCCACCGGAACCCGCCATCTCTGAACATCGCTCACGCAGCTACGTGGTGGTTAATCATAACCACTCAACACGGGACACACGAGGCGTACATCTCACCCGACAGAATGACCGAGACCGCATCCGCCAAGCCAGAGTTCCTCGCCCAGCCCCCGGGGCCGTGCTGCTGGGCCGGCACCCTGCACGAGGGTAGCCCCCGCGGCGGCGTCGAGGATATCCTCGGCGCACCGACTTACGTAGTCCGTCCCTCGGACGTGAAGAATGCGCCGGCGGCCAACGGCCATGTCGTGCTTTATTTCCCCGACGTCTGGGGCCTCTCGGTCAACGCGCAGTGCCTCCTCGACGGCTTCGCCGCCGCCGGCTACACGGCGCTCGGCATGGACTACTTCCGCGGCGACCCCATCTCCCTGTACCGCGCCACCAAGGACGACCCGCTGCCGCCGGGTTTCGACTTCGCCGCCTGGCGTGCCAAGCACTCCGCCTTCGCCGCCGAGACCGTGCCGCGCTGGACCGCGGCCGTCCGCGCGCGCTTCGGCGCCGAGTTGCACGCCGCGACGGGGACCGAGACCCGCTTCGCCTGCGTTGGGTACTGCTTTGGCGCGCCGTACGTGTGCGATCTACTTGCCGGGGTCGGCGGCGACGGCGAGCCGGCGGTGTCGGCCGGGGCGTTCGCGCACCCGACCGCGCTGAAGGAGGAGCATTTCGCGGGGGTGAAAAGTGAGTTATATCAGCGGCGGCGAGAGGGCTCGTCTGCATCTCATCTTCCCCCTCCTCCCCTTATAATGCGGCGAGTTTTGCTCTCCGGGCGTCGATGTGGAATGAGCCCGGAGGAGCGACAAGACGTCAACCGTGGCGGGCGCGAGCTTACAGCGCACTCCAGGACCCCTGCTGCTCTCCTGTGCCGAGAACGATCACGCGTTTCCCACTGAGTCGCGGAGGAAGGCGATCGATGTCCTCCAGAAGGAGGGCAAGGTTTACCACCTGCAGCTCTTCCAAGGCGTAGGCCACGGCTTCGCGGTGAAGGGCGACCCGTCGGATCCGTACCAACGTGAGTGTCTTATTGAACCAGTCCGAGCTCAGCGGTGAGCATGGGATTTACTAACAGGCTGGTCTGTCTAGGCTGGTGCAAGGAGCAAAGCCTCAAGGCCACAATCGACTGGTTCGACATGTGGCTAATTCGCAGCTCCTGACGTTAAGGTGAGGATGGCAAGGTTGTCGAATTGATTTGTACCACATGGCTGCGGATCAACTCAGTGAAAACTAGGCCAAAACTACTAGCACTCCAACCTTTCGGTGTCAAATATTTAGTAATTCTACGCCATCCCCCACTACCATGTGACTTGGCCTACGCATCTGTCTTGGCTGGTTATCCGGACATGGCGGGATCCTAGACGGCGGTCCGAGGCCGGGGCGTAGATTGGGAAAACTTCGAACATCGTTTACCTTTATTCAGGTATGTTTCTTGGCAGGGGGAAGGAGTTCCTGCACATGTCATATATGTTCGCGTTGTACATAAGTACGTTAGTGGTTTGCATAGTCTCTGGATGACACTTGGTAAGGTGAGATGTAATACATCGGCTATGAAACTCTGATGTATGTGCGTAAGTTTCACAGAGCACGTAGGTCAAATCCCGTTGACGGTGGCCGCACCAGCTGCTAGTGTCCAGTGTTAGTGTACAAAACAAAACAGCATTCCCTGCGCAATGTCCTCTCAGTCCAAGATACGTCCGTGGAATTCAACTTCGTGTTTCCCAGTTGATGGGAGGGGGGAAAGAAAAAAAGAAAGAATAAAAGCAATGTGTCTTACGCTATGCGTGCCTTCGAAGGGGGGGGGCAGATCACTCCCCTCACTCCTCGGCTGACCCCATTCGTACGAGTACAGGGCGAGTACATGGACCAGTAGTATTGCAATTATTTTAACTTGTTGCAAACGTTTTCGTCTCACTAGGAATGAAGGAGTGAGTTATCGCTCCGGCCTCATTGGACTAAGAGGACGGAGAGACAGGACCCTGACGCCTCGCCCCGCGCTTAATGAGCATCTAATGACTAATAAGTACGATTACCACTCATAATTAGTACGCACGCACGCTCGCACGGCAACGGAACGCTGTAGGACCCCTGTGTTTAACCCTGGGCCGGGTGGTGCCGCTCCCTTTCACCCTAAGCTTGATACGCTGGCCCCTCCTCAATGCACATCCAGGCTTCCACCTGCGTCTAGCTGATCTTTCCCATCTATCCTCAAAACTCAACTCGGGAGACACGGAAAGGTCACCATGTCGACGGCCTTACGCTCCATCCGCCCCCTAGGACAGGTGCCCGATGACAAGTCGGCGTCGGAATCCGGCGCGGCAAAGGGCCCCAAGGGACGAGTGGCATGCGGACAGTGCAGAAAACTGCGTCAAAAGGTACAAGATAACGGGCCTTTTGCGTCGGTTGTTGTAGATGCAGATGAGAGCTAACACTGTTTTCTTCCCCACCAACCCAGTGTGACACACAACGGCCCTCTTGCAGCCGGTGCCTGTTGACGAAACATGACTGCCTCTACGAGGCGGACCTGGGCGAGACGCGTATGCAGGGCATCCGGAAGGCCAACCGCCAATTGAAGGGGGAGGTCGACACACTCAAGTCCCTGCTCGAGCGCCTCAAATCGGCGAGCGATGAGGCCAGGGCGAGCATCATGGCGCAACTGACCGCCGGTGAGTCGCCCGAAGCCATCCTCCAACGGCTGAGAACCGACCAAGGGGCGGCGCGGGAACGCACAGTTGAGCCCTCTCGTGAGGCCGCCTCTGAGACGGAGCAATCCCGGCAGACCACCACCACAGCCGGCATCGCCGCCTTCGTCAAGCCGGAGGAGGACGACGAGCCTCCGCTCCCGTCCGGGATAGTCCCCTGGAAAATCGACAAGATGCACTACCTCCTTAGCGGTGTCGACAGCATCGACATCAATACTAAATCATCCGATGCTCAAGTTTGTGTCTCCCCCACCACCCTCCAAAGTGATTCTCATCGTCGTAATACTCACATCAGCCGCCAAGTCGTCCGCACGTCCGGCAGACGCGCAAGCCCCCGAGTCAGAAGAAGAAGAAGAAGAAGAAGAAGAAGATCGTGAGCGGGAGAGCACGGAGCTCGTCCATGCTCTCCGCCGAGCCGACCAGGCGGCACGCCGCCGGTCGCAATCTTCGTCTTCCGCCGAGCCCCTGCCCCCCGGCGCCGTCGGGGCCTTCGGCAATCTCCCGCTGTCGTGCGCCGTGCGGGCAAACTACTACCCGCCGGCGGTTCAGGCGCGGCAGCTGCTGAACCTGCAGACCGAGGAGTACCGCCTGCCGTCTTTCATAAACTCCGACGGGAGCCCGCTCTCGAGCCTGTTCTACACCTACCGAGACGCCGCCCTGGAAATGCTCTCCGACGGCGTCCCGGCGTTCCAGGTCCTCGGGCCCTCGGACCGCATCGACATCGAGCTCTTCTTCCGGGACCGCGAGCCCCACGACGCCTACGATGTTCACTCGTGGGCCTGCGAGCTGATGAAGAACATCGAGGGCTATGACGTGTTCGTGCAGCTCGCGAGCATCGCCCTTTCCGCGACTTACATGCGGGTGAGTATCTCGAGGTGGGGGACTGACGATGCGTTTCTCTCTCTCTCTCTCCCTCCCTCTCTCCCCCCCCCCCCTCTCTCTCTCTTTCTCTCTCCGAGTCATCACGACTCTGGATACACGTTCGCTGACACGCGGCATAGTGGAACATACTGCCCACCGCCACAAACTACGCCCTCATGCCCGAGATGATCCGTCCGACCCACCGGCAACGATTCATACCCCATCGCATGACCATCGACCTCGTACCACAGTGAGCAAACCAACCCCCACCACCCACCCACAAACGCTGTTCCGGATTCACCTAACTGCGTGACCGCCAGCCCTGCCATCCGCGACGCGCTGATCAACAGGTTCCGCGACTGGCTCTCGCCGGGCACGACGGACACGGGGGGCACCAGCGTCGGCTGGCCCTACAGCCTCGAAGCCGCCGTCGACGTGTGCCCCATAACGGGACGCAGGATGCTGAGCCGTGCCTTCTTCGAGCACGCTACCAACAGGTCCAACTGGAGTCTGGACAAGTCTATCCGTGCCGTATTCCCGGAGATCGAAGCCATGGGGTTCACGATCAGAGACTGAAGTTTTTTCAGAAAAAACGAAAAGGTATGCTTTAGTGTTGTCGCTGGACGATTTTCGAAAGAAGAAAAAAAGTGAACGGATTACGGCGTCAGGAAGGCGTTTGCAGACGGCGGGGCAACTTGTCATGCTCCTTGCTTCGTAGTATAGAAAGGGTGAATCCGACGACAATCGTCCACAGGAAGCCGGATGTCCATGTCAGCTAACCAGAGCATCAGATGGCACCAGGCTTGCTTACAGATTGGTCGTCCAATGTAATATCAGCTGAATCACGTATTATTGGGCCTTATTCATGTGATTTCGACACTATTACCGATTGTGACTATGCTCAACCATGACATACCCCCATGGTCTCTACTAATCGTACATTTCGATGCTGTTGCGTTAAAGAGTTGAAGGATGTAACGTAGCTGACAATGACCAGAGGACACAGGGTAGGGCTTTTCTTTGAAGAGGAATTGACCGCCCTTGGAAATCACTGGACTGTTGCCCACCTTACATGGTCAGTAAATGCTGCGTATTATCTCGAACTAGATCCGCGCCAGCGTTCACGAAGATGTAATGTTTTGGGGCGGAAATCACTCTCTACTACTTGATCTAATAGCCCGACAAGGAAATGCCTTTTTCCGAACCATCTTCCACTCAGTTCTACGACATATCCACACAACCTGCTGTTAGACTTGGCTCAGCGGAAACCTTATAGCGAAAAGGTAGAACGTCGACGTTACACTTCGTTTTAGACTCGTATCCCAACTACTACGACCTGAACCTAGGGACAATGAACCTTGACCATCATCCTGCGAGGTAACCCTGCTCATTTCCGCGCAAGAGCTTGCGGCACCGTGCTTCATCATCTCTCTCAACGACGGCCTCAAGGAAGGCTTCTCTAGCCCTTGTGTTTTGGGAGTCCTATTGGCTTGTATGTAGTTACACATTCCTACAATGCAATTGCTGCAAACCAAATCACATTGACTTGATAGGAGACAGACCACTGGGCACAATGCCAAGGATCAAGGGATGTACGCGCTCGGCGGCGGCCCCAGGTAGCTCTCCTTCACTCCACCAAGGTCAACCACCAACTTCTCCAAAATCAAATTCGAATGTCTCAGCCTGACCCTGACGCTGTGCTCACCGGGTTCGAGTCCGGATCCGCCAAGGTCGTGGTCCCGCAGCCAAGTGCAGTCTTGCACGGCGTGGAACCATCCGTCAGGTAGATCAAGTGTCGTTGGGAGCAACCGATGCGTCTGGCCAGGCCCGTCGTCCACTTGGATCTCGTAGGTCATCGGGTCAGCCGGGTCGAGATCGAGAGTCATGTTGAAGTACAGCAACAAGACTGGTCTCGCGACTTGCGAAAATGTGTAAAACTTGTAAGCCAGCTGCGGTGAGGTTTCAATCTCGCTTGGTACAACGGCGATTGCGCCCGCCGGCGTCCTACCGCACTCAGGAAAGACTCTGAACCCTGGCTGAGGTTGATGGGCCGCAGAAATCGAGACACATGCGTCCGTCTCAACGAAACCTCCTCGGAACGATTCGGGAACGCGTCTTGCCGTGATTGGAAGGTGGACCTGTTCAAAATCACCCTCTTCAGAGCGGATGTCGACCAAAACTTCCTCGTCAAAAGTATCAGGGACCTGATCCCAGTCGACCGTGACCTCGATTCGGACGTCATCTCCATCGGGATCGAGGGTGCCAGCCGCGGTTGATAACCGGAGCCAAGCATGCGGAACAGATGCCTGCCATTGGATGGCTTGGGGTCCCCTGGTGTAAATATCAAGCCATCTTTTCGAAGGTCCGTAACGGCTCATCTGTCCCAACGTGACTCCCGGAACCAAGTCACGCCGGCTAGGATGCGTCCGATCCGACTCCTCGTTCGTTCTCCCAGGCCGAACACCTTCGTGGCCCTCCACCGCTATCCCCATCTGCCCCATGATGGGGTTGGAATACTGTCTGCGCTGAACATAGGACAAGCCACTGATCATGTCCCGATACGGAGCATGCCAGGTGTCCTCGTAGCCGTAGTGCGTCTGTCGCATTATCTGGTCCCATTTCCCGCCCAGAAGCCCGTGAAACTCCTCAGATAGGTCGTAGTCGGCATCAAAGAGATCAAGGACTTTCTGGGCGAGCCTGTTGGCTGTGTTTCTTCGCTGTCGGGCGTAGAGCCGATTCCGGCCCAGGGTGATCTGGAGCTTCGTGAAGATGGTGGAGGCTGCGACCGGGTGCAGGACGGTTTCGAATATCGCGGCCTTTTGCTCTTCCGGCGCCTCCCGGTGGATATCCTCGGCGAGCGCGAGCAGAGCATCCCAACGGCTGAGGACGTCGTCTGCCTCGTTGTAGTTGACAAGGGAGAAAGTTGTCGACTCGATGTGCTCGTGTCTCCGCAGAGCGGCTAGGCGGTCGTACTTTTGCCAAATTGTTGCAATCTCCTCTGATTTCTGTTTTCCAAAGTTGACTTCTGCCATTGTCCGATAGAATTTGGCGAAATCAGTCGCCTCGATGGAATCGATGTCCCAGGCCATCGTCATTGCGAATGTGAGCGGAACTTCCATTGGCTTGATGTCGCCTACATTGAAGACCCAGATTTGCTTTGCATTGCGTCTGTGTGCTTCTTGCAGCTGATGCCAGACTTTCCCCTGTGGAATATGTTAGTATCATGAGACTAGAGGAGCCGGGTGTAAATCAGGCCATACCTGAGAGTTGCTGTTGATCCATTTGTAGCTGCGAGGTACTCCCACGTACTCGAAATGATAGTATACCTTCCAGTCGGTCAGCCTGGAACGTCTTTGGCGAATGGAAATTCAACAATGATCACTTACTCCTGCTCCTCCTTTTCTGTCACTTTCTGCCCCGGACGGGAGGCGTCTGATGCTACCAAAGTTGTCGTCGGAAAAGAGCAGAGTAACATCGTCTGGGACATCGAGGTTGCCCCCTTCGTATTGCTCCTGCACTTCCTTATACAGCGCCAAGAGCTCTTTGCACAACATTAGTTACAAACTAACCTCGCTTTCACGACAGTAGCGGACACATACGTGGCACGGCGTCCTCGCTTCCGTGAACCTGCTTGATAAGGGCCCGTTGGGTTCTGATCACGTCGCGCACTACTGCAGCCGGATCATCCGTCTTCATCTTCCGGTCGTATTCTCCGCGCATGCCCAGTGTGAAGTAGGACTCGCGGCCCTTGGCTCTCTTCACGCCTTCCTCGAAGAACTTGGCAATGTTCTCCTTGTTCGTGAGCCAGTTCCAGCTGCCGTCCGGGTTGTTCATGAACCACTCGTTTGACAACCGCTGCATGGGCTCGTGGTGCGATGTGGACACGGCGATGCCATAGTCCTCGGCGGCTTGGGCGGTCTCGGGGTCGTCGGTGAAGAAGGACGCGCCCGGGTTTGGGTAGCCAGGCCACATGGCTGGCCACAGGAAGTTTGCCTGGAGAAAGACTGAGCATTCACGAGATGTGTGTTTACGTTGCAGAGATAGCAAACCTTGAGACGCAGCAACAATTCGAATACTTTCTTGTAGAATTCCGAATTGTAGCACCCAAAGGTTGCCCTGGCCCAGCCGGTCAGAGCGGGGGCTTCATCATTGATGAAGAGACCGCGGAAGCGAACGCTTGGTTCGCCATGATAAGTCGGTTCTCTCAATGCAAATATGTCCTTGTGAAGCTTTGGCGGAACGTCCGCCCAGTAATACCAACTGGTCCCAGTTCAGCTCATGAGCGCTTTACAGACGATCGAGAGTGAGTCCCTACGGTGAAACCCCAATCTGCTCAGACAACGTGTAAGCGCCGAATATCGCGCCCCTCTTGTCACTTCCGGCGATCACAAGCGCTATCTCAACGCCTGGTAGAGGTTGTTCGACCAGGGCAGTGGTAAATGATTCCCATTTCCCGCGGACCTTTCCAGAGTCGAGCTTACCCTCTTTCTCCAATTGCTGGATGAGTTGACTTGATCGAACGCATCCAATAATGATGGCCGTACTCGTATCCAAGGATACATTGCACTGGTTGCTGTTGATGACGGTGACTTCGCTAGCATCAGACTGGGTCACGCGGCCGAAGTCCTCTGCAAGATTCCGTGCCGCAATATGAATACCTACCGGATCCGACTCGTCGACCAGGATGGCTGCCCTGACCAAGTTGAAGGTCGCTACCCCCTCCCCCGGCGAGAATGTCACTATGGCTTTCTCGAACATGGCGTCCAAGATTTCGAAGCCTAGTATTACCTGATTTGTGACAGCTTCAGCTGGAGTTATGATGGGAGACAGCTGACATCTTTTTGAACCCCCCGCTGCCGTTCCCCCTCTCCAAGCATCCGAGGCCCGGACCAAAACAAGCCGACGTCGGCTTCCTGAAGGGCGAATATGACGACTACCAATCGAACCGAATCAAAATCGGGTCTTTGGCTTAGAGGGTCTTAAGGTGGAGCTCGTACAACGCGTCCAGTCCAGAGAGAGTGACAACCTCTCCGCACGAAGTGACCATGTTCGCTGGTTGGCCAAGTCGTCGTGAATCCTAGACCCGGCGACCGGGCCGGACTCGTCTCCCCCGCACGCCACCCCGGTCCTCGTCCCCGCCTCCACATCTCCAGGTTATTGATGGGCAGGGCTTACCCTAGGAGAAGGAGGATGGGTTTTGACCTGACAATGTGACGCCAGCAGCGGGCATCGTTCCCATCCTGGCTAGGCGTGGAAATTTGTCTGTGATCACACGTATCAGTGATTGGAAGAGTACCGCGTGTGGTTGGGCCGTTGCCATGGCCTCGGTTCGTAAGGTGGATGGTATCCAAGCAGTCATTTGGTTAGCCGACTCATGCTGGTCTTCGTAGGGAATTATTACGGCTGGTTCAACTCCCTCAATAAGAAAAGCCCGCTCCCCTCTCTGGCACAAGATTTCTATGCCATCCCAGTAGCCCTTCGCAAACACTTGTTTCGTGGAGTGTTCGTCGCTTCAGTCGCCTGGTCCAACTCTTTGAATCCCTGAAGCTGGTATCGTCGACATTCCGAACCACGCACTCGATAACAGCCGCGACAAACTGATCAACATGGATAAGAGTCAGGCCATCGAAGCACCCGAGCTCGTCGAGTACCTCACCGATGCGAAGGAGCGGACCAACTATGATAAGGTTGACAATGAGGTTGCCAAGTATGCTGGCGAAACCATCGTCGAGATCGACGAAACGACGAATAAGAGGCTGAAGAGGGCGATTGACAAGCGGATATTGAGTGTCATGGTCTTCACATACTTCATGCAGTCTCTTGACAAGGGAACGATGTCTTTTGCCTCCATCATGGGCATCGTCAAAGACACAGGCCTCAAGGGCCAAGAGGTACCAACATCGTCATGGCATTTCTGCGTCTCATGCTGATCAAACAGTACTCTTGGTTGACGACCGTCATTTACCTTGTCATTCTTTGTGTTGAGTACCCGGTAAGCTCGTGCTCCTCATCACAGACCTGGGCGCGTGGCGCGTTGGTGATGAACACCGAGCTGACCACACCTTCTGCTCAGGAAAACTACATTATTCAGAAGATCCCGATCGCGAAATGGCTTTCATTCAACATCATAATGTGGGGCATCACGCTGAGTCTCCACGCCGCGTGCAACAACTTTACTGGGCTGGTCATCGTCCGCGGCTTCCTGGGCGCTTTCGAGGCCGTCTGCCAACCGACCTTCGTCCTCTTGACCTCCATGTGGTATAAGCGAGACGAGCAAGCGTCGACGGCCATTTACTGGTGAGATGCTCTTTGAAAGGTTCGAAAGGACAAAATGAAGCTGATGTTGGGAACCAGGTACATGATGAACGGGCTCCAGCAGGTCTTAGGCGGGCTTCTGGCCTTCGCGTTCTCCTTCATCCCTGACTCGTCTCACATCAAGTCTTGGCAAGCCCTGTTTATGAGTTACGGAATCATCACAGTCTTTTGGGGTTTCTTCGTGCTCTGGTGGATGCCCGACTCGCCGATGAAGGCGCACTGCTTCAGCGAAGAGGACAAGAAACTCCTGGTGGAGCGTGTCCGATCCAACCGCACTGGTCTGCAGAACCGCAAGTTCCGCAAGGAGCAGGTCTGGGCAGCCTTCAGAGACCCTCAAGGCATGTCATGTATCTTTTCCGTCCCTATACGACACTCACTGACTGATTGATGCTGGTTGAAGTCTACGGGTTCGCCTTGATTCAACTACTGACTACACTGCCTTCTGGAGGTCTTGGCGCATTCGCGAATATTATCATCAAGGTACTTTCCGGTTTCTTCCATCTGTCGCCTTAAGGGGAAGGTTTAAGCTGATCGAGTTAGTCGTTTGGGTTCACTACATGGCAAACTCAGCTGCTACAAAGCGTGACAGGTGTTTTGCAAATTATCACCATGCTCACGGCCTCCTGGATCGACAGACGCTACAAGCAGACAATCCTAGCCATGATAGGGGCTGTCATCCCGACCATCGCGGGCACCATCGTTCTTCTCACCGTCCCGTTCGAGCCTAGCAAGAAGGTCGGCCTGCTATTCGCGTACTACATCATGATCTCCTTCTGGGCCTGCAGCGGTCTCGCTCTGTCTCTCGTCACACGCAACGTGGCTGGCCAGACCAAGAAGGGCGTGGTGATCACCAGCAACTTCGTCTTCTGGGCTGTGGGGAATTCCATCGGGCCCCAGGTCTTCCGCTCAAAGGATGCGCCGCGCTACTTCCTTGCGCTGGCCATCATCATTGGATGCTTCTCGTTGCTGGCGATTGTCCTTTTACTCCTGCGGACATACTACGTATGGCAGAATAAACTGCGTGACGACAAGATCGCGCGTGGTGAGGGCGTCGCCGACACGACGCACACTCATGCTTTCGAGGACATGACCGACAAGGTGGGTTCAACATTTGTTGCTGATTTTTTCTAAAAACAAAGCTTGCTAACTATTGATTAGGAGGATGTGAACTTCAGGTACGTCTACTAGTCGGGTGTTTAGGGATATATGCCAAACAGGAGCGGATACCTGATAGGATACGGCGTTCTGCTTGTTCTCCTGAGCGCAGGCGTGTGGCCCAAATGCCCAAGTTATATAATTGCACGTAGAATTAAGCATTGCCTCGTAATTCCATCAACGTCCTGAGACATTGAAGTAAGCATCGCCAAGGAACCAGCAATAATTTCGGAGAACTGGGCACGGGATCAAGAGATGTCACGCGAGATGGGAGAAAGCTTGTTGCGTCTTGGAACTTCTCCGTCAGACCTCTCTATCACAAGTGTGTGTATGTGGACCCCGATATTAGCCATACACACCTTTGCAATCCCTTTGTGGTTTGGGAGTGTCGAGTCGAGTCAAGTCTGATTTCTTCCGCCCCCGGATTCGACTTGCTTCTCTAGCCGCCCTTCCCCCCCCGCGCCATCCACTTTATTGGACGTAGAACAAATATCAAGACGAGCCCATGTCGTATTCTAAGCGGGGCAAAGCAATAGCAACATAGTATCCGTATGTGCTAGTAAGTAATCAGAGCGATTGTCGGCCCATTTTCGCTTATGCGCAGCGGCCGTAGGACCAACTTGAGATGGATGGATGGCCTCTAAACCCCACCCTCGCAGGTTGAAAACACCGCGAAACTCCGGCGAAGATTGCCGGTAGGACCCTGCTCGGAGGCGATGCCAAGGGCTCCCCAACTTGACACTAAATACGTGAGGGGGTCACCTCGGCACCAGTTCCCCCTGCCAGTCGTGGTACATAGACAAACAAACCAACATGGGGATGATGTTCGGCCGACCAGTGACAGTTGGCCATCCATGCGGAGAGATAGCCAAAGTGCGAACCTCGATGGACCTGTGGGAAGCCCACGCATCGCAAAACAGAGCGTAACTCTTCCGGTACAACCATTCAGAGTCGGTAGGTCGCGGTTCGTCGAATTCTAGCTATCGACCAGGCCCGCTTCATCGCCTCAGCCAACAGTGCCATATTCGAAAGAAGCCCGTCGAAGACTCCGTGAGGATGTGCGGACATGACGCCTCTTGTGCCAACAGCTCGTCCTCGGTGACGACGCCGTACCCGTTACGCGCACCAGTCCCCGTGGGGAAGAGAGCAAACAAGCTCTACAGAGATCGTACGGCCAACTTCTACTCGCCAGGGCAATGGGAGAAAGTCAACCTGCTTTCGTACGATGCCAAGTCTCACGCTCGTACTATGTAAGCATACTGACACGTCATATGTAGAATGATGCACCTTGCAGTGCGCTCCCAGCCTCCGGATCTCAGGCTTTCAGTCTGGAGTAGCCCCGGACTGAGCCGTCCTGCCTTCTCCGAGGCCACGATCGAGGCGAATGGGTACCGCCCGGCCCAGGTCGGCGAGTCCTTCGGCCCTTCTTGGTCGACTCACTGGTTCAAGGTGCAGATCAGGATCGCCGAGGAGATGCGCCAGATGGAGCATCTCGAGCTACACTGGGACTGCAGCAATGAAGCAACGGTCTGGAACGCCCGAGGCGAGCCCCTCCAGGGTCTGACGGGTCGTGGTGAACGGGTCGAGTGGATCATTCCAGCGTCTTTCAAAGACGGGGCCGAACACGCCATCTTCATCGAGATGGCCTGTAACGGCATGTTTGGAAACGCTGCGGGGGACCCCATCTTCAAGAACAACGCCAACGGGGACGCCATCCAGCCGCCGGACCCTGACAAGCACTTTGTCCTCGCAAAGGCCGAGATCGTCGCGGTGGACCTGCAGGCCCGGATGCTGCACACGGACATCCACGTCATCCACCAGGCGGCGCAGGAGTTCCCCGAGGACTCGTGGGAGCAGCACGAGGCGCTGAACATTGCGACCCGGATCATCAACACCTTCAGGGTCGGGGATAGGGAGTCGATTGTCCGCAGCCGGAAGATTGCCGAGGAGTACCTGGGCCCAGACGTCAACTCGGAAGAGGTGTTCCGCGTCAACGGCGAGAAGAATGCCAGCGTGTTCGCCATCGGCCATTGCCACATTGATACTTGCTGGCTATGGCCCTGGGAGGAGACGAAACGCAAGGTGGTGCGCTCGTGGTCGAACCAGTGTGACTTGATGGACAGATACCCAGAGCTCAACTTTGCCTGCTCGCAGGCTCAGCAGGTGCATTTTTCTTTTCAGGTATTCACAGCGGCTTGGGATAATACTGACACAATCTCGTGCAGTTCAAATGGCTCAAGGAGGGCTACCCCTTCGCTTGGGAAAGGATCAAGGCCAAGGTCAAGGCTGGCCAGTTCCATCCCATTGGCGGCTGCTGGATAGAGCACGACACCAACATGCCCAGCGGCGAGTCCCTCGTTCGCCAATTCCTCTTCGGCCAGCGGTTCTTCGAGAGTAACTTTGGGCGTCGTTCTACCACGTGCTGGCTGCCGGATACCTTTGGCCAGTCAAGCCAGATCCCGCAGCTCTGCCGCCAAGCCGGAATGAACAGGTTTCTCACTCAAAAGATTTGCTTTAACAACATGAACGAGTTTCCTCACACCACGTTCAACTGGTAAGTGAAAATGACATGTTGCGTTTCCTCACCAGCCTGGGTGCTCATCCATGGCAGGGTTGCTCTCGACGGAAGCCAAGTGATCTGTCACATGCCACCCGCAAAGACATATTGCGCAGATGCTACTTTCGGAGACGTGAAGCGCAGTATGACGCAGCACAGATCACTCGACCAAGACCATACATCCCTCCTCGTTGTAAGTGCTCGCCTTGTCCGAGGCCGCCATCATCGCGCAGCTCTGCTTACTTACACACACTAGTTCGGTAAGGGAGACGGCGGCGGCGGCCCTACCTGGCAACAGATCGAGAGACTGCGCCGACTCAGAGGCCTCTCGGACACCACGGGTTTGCTTCCCCGCGTCCACTCTGGCGGAACTCCTGACGATTTCTTTGACAAGCTTGAAAAGAAGGCACATACCTTTCCCACGTGGCACGGCGAGCTTTACTTCGAGCTCCATCGCGGGGTCTACACCACTCAAGCCCAGACCAAACTCAACAACAGGAAAGCAGAGATCCTCCTCAGAGACATCGAGCTTCTGGCAACCATCGCATCCGTTTCAGACGTTTCGTATCGCTATCCAAAGAAAGACCTAGATGAAATGTGGGAGGGCGTGCTCCTCTGTCAGTTCCACGACTGTCTTCCAGGCACCGCTATCGGGATGTGCTACGATGACTCTGACAAGGTGCGTTAATGTTTGCCAAGTCCCCAAAGCATAATCATTTCACTTATGCGAATGACTAGGTTTATGCGAACGTGTACCGTATTGGCAGCGACCTGCTCGAGGGCATCTACAAAGCACTCAGCATCAGCAAGATTGACGGCGAGATTTCAAGCACCGATAATTTGGCGGCATTGAATACGCTAGGGTGGCCCCGAAAAGAGTTCATAACCACAGAAGACGGCAAACGCGTGATTGCATGTGGCACCGGGAATGCGATCTCCATTGTGGAACCTTCTCCTGCCTCCGAGAAAGCGGTGTCCGTCAACGAGGCTTCCGAGGGCGTGTTCGAGCTACAGAACAGCCGTTTCACGGTGACAGTCGAGAGGGGCTGCATCACCTCCCTCTACGACCGTCGAGCCAGGCGTCAAGTCCTGTCGGGCAAGGCTAACAATTTTGTCATCTTTGACGACAAGCCCATCTACTGGCAGGCCTGGGACGTCGAGGTCTTCCACCTGGAGACGCGCGAGGAACTCCAGGGCTCAGCGACGTCCGTCGCCGAGGACACACCACTTCGGGTCAGCGTCGTGACGGAGACCAGGATCAGTGACGTGAGCTCTATCAAGACAACGATAAGCCTCTCGGCCGCATTCGACGACGACGATGATGCAAGCCATTCGTACGTGGAATGCACGGCAGAGGTTGACTGGCACGAGACGATGAGGTTTCTCAAGGTCGAGTTTCCTGTCGACGTTCGTCACCATGAAGCTTCCTATGACACCCAGTTTGGCGTTATCCGTCGGCCAACACACTACAACACTTCGTAAGTCGTCATGGTTCCATGTCAATTATGACGAACTCTTTGTCGTTTGCTAACTCTGACTCGACAGCTGGGATATGGCCAAGTTCGAAGTATGCTGTCACAAATACGCCGACCTGTCCGAGTACGGATATGGCGTGTCCATCTTGAACGATAGCAAATATGGGTTTGCTACGGTAGGCAACACAATGCGCTTGTCGCTGCTTCGGTCCCCCAAAGCCCCCGATGATATGGCGGACATGGGCAAGCACACCATCAGATGGGCCATACTGCCTCATCAAGGCTCTCTCGGCCCCGAGACTGTGCGGGCAGCGTTCAACTTCAACAACCCCCTCAAGTTGGTCTCGGTTTCCCCCAAATCTCCGCTCAGTACCTTTCCCATCGCTCTCACGGGCGATCGAAACCTGGTTCTGGACGCGGTCAAGCGTGGCGAGGACGACGAGGACGTAAGTCTAGGTGAGTTGCCTACTCGCCCTGGCAAGAGCGTTATTGTCCGGATATATGAGAGCCTTGGTGGGCGCGGTAGGGGAAGGTTGGAGACCAAGTGGAAACTCAGGAGCGTCCACAAGAGTAATATTCTCGAGGATGACGAAGAGGCAATTCCTATTGTAGACCATGGCTTTGACGTCGACCTTGGTCCGTTTCAGCTACAGAGCTATCGGCTCGTTCTCGATATATGAGTTTGATAGCGGCATTGGCATAGAATCAAAGACTAGAGCTTGCGCGGATTTGATCATTTTACTATTTGAGTATAGCTCTCAGTTTCCTGTCGACAACTCCAAACTCACCACTATAAACACAATTCTGTATTCTGTCTTGATGAATTGTGTTTATGCAATGTAGTCAATGTTGCATGGTCCAAAGGTTCTTTCTGGTTCTTTGCGTAAAAGCAGCCTTATTTCTTATTATTCCCTGCCAGTGACCTCCCAGCAGGCCTCTATAAACCACGCTTTCTATGATTAGATGTTGTGTGGATCCAATCGGAATTTGAAGGGACTAGGTCGTTGTGTAGGTATGAGTACAAGTAGAATTCAAAAAGGACGCTCATCGATATGCCTACCACTCACGCAGTATCCGCACTCTCAAGACTCTGTCGTCTGGGTTGGATAAATGTTGCGCATACATGTCAAAAGGCAGATTACTTTCATACTCTCTGGTTTTCTTCCATGTATCAAGCACATTTCTCTGGCCAAAACGGTACTGGAACTGGTGGCCATCATTTTAACTACACAGCTCGTCGTCAAGTCGTTTGAGCCACGATAGTGGCCGACTAAGACACAGTGATGAATAGATATAGTCGATTTTGGTTACTCTTCGACAAAGTATTCCGGGGTGGGCAACCCGTTCTTCAAACGCAACGAGCAATGCAGGCTCCCATAAGGGTTGAGGTTTTGATGGGCGCTCTCAATGGTGTGTTCATTTCATTCGTGTCTATTTTCACTTTTTCCCAAGGCTCTAATCTAAGGGTCTATGTGTAAATGCCATTTCCGCCAAAAAAGAAAAGGGAACATAGCTCATGTCGTCCGACAGGAGTGGTGGGGGGGTATCTATGAGCTCTCGTACTTGGCCAAGATGCTCTCAAAGTCCTTCCAGTTGTGCATCACGTCGAAAGCGCCGAGCTCCTCGCTGAAGAGCTTGACCATGGAGTCGAGCTTCTCTTGGCCCTCCTCGTAGTAGGGGCCGACATAGCCGAGGAGGGGGATGCCGGCATTCTTGGCGGCGGTGGCGCCGCTCCTGCTGTCCTCGATGGCGATGCACTCGCTGGGCTTGAAGCCGAGCTTCTCGCAGGCGTGGAGGTAGATGGCGGGGTTGGGCTTGGAGACGGGGGGGTTGATGCTGCTGGCGGCGGAGAAGATGCCCTCGTCGGGCTTGCCGAAGAACTGGTCCATCTTGGTCTTCTCGATGGAGGCGACGACGCGGGGCATGGCCGACGAGGAGACGATGGCCATGTGGTACTTGCCGTCCTTTTTGAGCTTCTCGAGGACCTCGATGACGTTCTCGCAGGGCTCGGCCTTGGCGCGCAGGTTGGCGATGGTGGTGTCGAGCTCCTTGGCCACCCACTCGTCGAACTCGTCAGCGGGGATGGTGAAGCCGTGGCGGGAGCAGAGGCCGGTCATCATGCTGCGGAAGTTCTGGCCGACGAACTGGTGCATGAGCTCGGTGCCGCCATAGCGCTTCTCGAAGCCGAACTTCTCGAGGATCTGGTTGGCGAGCTGGGCGCAGGCCTCAAAGGCCGCGTTCTCGGAGAGAACGAGCGTGTTGTCGCAGTCGAACAGGATGCACTTGATCTGTTGTTTTGGGGGAACTGTTAGACGGCCGGTCATATGGCTGGCCGCTGGGAAGCTTTGCGTGCCGTTCTCGGCGCTCGAGAACCGACTTACCTGAGGCATGTTTGCGGATTTGGGGACGTGATGTAACGGTGTTTGAGGAGACGGATGTGAAAGGTAGCAAGGCAGAACAGGGGAAAGTGAAGTGAAGAGAATAAAAGAGGAAACTTGTCCATGTTGGTGACAGATTTTCTACTTGATCGGCAAGGCATGAAAGCCTGCCAAGGGTGGTGTGGAGTGGTGGATATCTTCAGGAACACGACGGTAGGTCCCCTGGGCGGATCATGGGTGGAGGGACAAGTGGGCGGCGAGAAAAAGAGCGCAGGCAGGTTTCAAGAAGACGGCATGCCATGTACTTGGAACTTGTTATTCGTCAATTGACACTTGTCATGTCGTCTTATCTCGGGATTCCCATCTCGGACGATGTACGGCACAGTAGTTTATGTATGTACACTAGCCAAATGCCTTGGTGGACAAGTACGCCTCCAACAGCCTCGAAGAGTTGCCCTCAAACTATGAAGAGCATGGCGTAGTAGACCTATGACAACCAAACTCTCATAAACCTTTTTCCTCTTTTCCTGTGTATAGACCACACAACTTTGAGGTTTCGAAATGGCGTTCCGGTATGCGTTTCTTTCTGTCTTTCCGATGCCCGCATGGAGGGGTTGGAGGGGCAGATTTCATCAAGACAAGGGGACCCCCCTTCTCCCGCAGCCAACTATAGATAAAGAGAGGCCCTGGAACGGACCGAAACCTTTGGCCAACACCTTTCTGCGACGACATGATGTCATTCGGTGACGTATAGTGCTGCGAGTCCCCATCAAAGTGTGGATTCGGTGCAGAATGGACCCCCGTTCTGACTCGCGAGAACCGCCGCAGCCGTCCAGGACGCTGAAACCCCGCCAACCGTTGGTTCGTCCGACGCTGGATGCTGGATCCCGGATGCTGAGAGATATTAAGTAACAAAGTGCTGAAAGACGAGGCTTTTATTTCCGTTCTCCATGATTGACTGCCTGTCTTTTCGGTTGCGATGTGCAGTCGGAAGCTGGGAATTGAGAGCCTGTCTCGATAACTTCAAAGAGGATCCGTTTGGCCTTGGCTTTCTCGTCGACTTGTTTGATTGACTCCTCGTCCTCGTTGTCTTCTCTCGCGGGGCTCGGGGCCGGCGAACTGCGTTCTGCCCTGTTGCTTGACGAATCGTCGAACGAGGATTGGCAAGGACTTCTATCGTTTCCGTTAGCCAGTGCGACTGTTTTCTTAAACAAAAAATATACATATTCAAGACTTACAATGCTTGTTTTTTGCCCTTATCGTCGCTAACTGATGTGGAACCCATGGTCGATTGACGGAAGTGCAGCTGTTGATGAACACAAACAACCACCAGAGATTTTTGTAGATGGAATTTACCAAGAGAATTGATCTATTCACTTTCTTTGCGAATTATAGCTATGGAATTCTTTTTCCAGCTGTATCTCCGATATCCGAATCCCAACACGACCCGGAAAGGTTCATCCTGTCAAGCCTGTTGCCGATTAGTCGACCCGCCATTTCTAGAAGTTTAATCTGGATTACGATCTGTAAGAACCGCCAGAAGCCGCGAAAGATATCTTATCGCAAGGGGTCATAATACATATTTCGTGGGTCATACACCCAATCCCGCGCTTCAGAAGTAGAGGTCGCCGCAGTCGATGATACCTATCGATGTCGCCTCAGTATGCTGCCATATGGCTAAGCAAGTCTTCTTGACAGATGGCCAGGTCAACCAGAAACGGCTGGCAAAGGATATTGAGTGCGTATCCAGCGAATTTCGGGAATTTTGGGGTAAGTTGAAATGATGTACGGAATGACACCATCGCGTCAAGGTTGATGTTCATATCCTCGGTGATGTTGATGGTATTGGTGTAATCATCAAAAGACTTCGTGTCGACAGGGCGTCTCCATGATCAGATCGAAGATCACATCATTTCTATTCTCACGAGATTCCTTGACAATGAAGATCTCGGGCAATATTCGTACGGCAAACTCCGTATAGAGCTATGTATGTCTGGCGACAGAACAGGGGCGGCTGATATGGCAGTCCAAGGAGGGATAACGCCGGACAAGCTCTCCGGGTTTATCCATCGTTCAAGGGAAGTTAGGGAAACTAGATGCAGTAGGACACATCTTCAGGCCGATCAAGATTCATATACGGCACCCCATTGCTCATTATGGCTCAGAAGCGCAGGGTACTGGTGAAGAGAAACAGCAATCCATGAAGGCCGGCGGCTGAGGCAAAGATAAGTTCCGCACGGAACCTTATGTATCAGACGATGCAGAGGGTTGCAAGCTCTCGACTGAGGTCGTAAGGGACTGGCAGATAAGCCATCGTGGTTTGCATCTAGGGAAGAAAGGGCAAGAAAAAAAACATACAACACCAGGCATTCGCCGCTCGTTACCAACCAAACTATTCATCCGGCGGCTCTCAATGGCAGTATCTATATGGAGCGAAGAGGACCTCTTTGCAACGACTTTAATGGTTGAAGTATCTATATAGGTTATGATAACCTTTGTTTGATCGCCTCCTTATAGGGTTTTGAAGTAACTGTTCATCATTACTTTAATACTCTCTAAATGATTATCTCATATCCCTTTACGCCCTGCTTATACTACAAGGTTTATAAATTATAGAACAGACAGTATATATCCATACTATCCAACTCTACAACACTCTTTGAATTAGAGTAAGTTATGCGTTCAACTGGCCAAAGAACTGTTGCACATCCTTTACATAGAGCTCCGGATAGTGCTCAGCAGGGAAGTGACCGCCAAAGTCGCGAGTAACAATGAAAGTCAAGTTGCTAAGTCTTTCGATCCAGCTTGTGGGCTGCCCCAGGGTTTTTTTGTCAGCAAAAGAAGTTCAGAGATGCTGCAAACGGGAGCAGAATACAAACTCACCGCCAAGGGAACTTTGGCGAGTTCCGCAAACGGACCATTCACGTTGCCCCATTGAGCCACGCCTGTCGGCACATCTGATTGGGGAAAGTTCATACTCCCAGGCTTGTGTTCGGGATCGGATCGTTAGTTAATTGTTTTAGTTTTTGGAATTTCATCTGTTACATACCTTGAGCCATTCCAAGTAAGTCCTGACATTTCCATAGGCACCAGGTATCCATTCCAACAGCGTTCTTGTCACAACTTGCTTCAGGGTGAAAGGGTATCCGTCGCTCAAGGCATGAATCAGATGCCAGATCCATCCCGCATATCCGACGGGGCTGTCATTGAGAGCTTGGCTAAGCTTCAGAGGGCCCTGGCTTTGGATCGTCATGTACGCGTTAAATCCACTACTGAATGCCAGAACCCCCGCAATGTACTCTGACTCGGTTTGATCAGTCAGGTTGTTACTGAAGCGCTCAGTGTCGGCCGTGGTGGGCTGAGCGAAATAGAAGTCGGTAAAGTGCCCGACGAGGTTTTCCTTCTCGTCGTCTGCCATAAACATGGCAACCCACCAACCGGCATCGGTGGAGATGACTCCGTACTTTTCATATCCCAGCGTCTTCATTAGGTTGGCAAAGGCGGCGCCGGCTTGACGGGGACCGAATCCTCCGTGTGTTGGCGCCGGACTAAAGCCAAAGCCAGGCATGTCGGGAGCCACAACATGAAAAGCGGGCGCGTCTGCGTCCTCAGGCGACGTGAGGGGCTTCAGGATCTCATTCCACTCGGTGTGCGTAGATGGCCACCCATGGAGCATCAAGAGGGGAATCGCATCAGGTCTCTCAGACTGTTCGTGAACGAAGTGTAGAGGCAACGATTGGTTGTACCCGTGTCCTGCCGAGACGTTCACGATGTAGTGGTGGCCGTTGTCGTTAAGTTCTTTCTGAACTTCGAGCCAGTCGTATTCATTCGCCCAATATTGTGCAAGGGCCGTCATGTTGTCGGCTGGCGGACCTTCTCTCCAGGTGTCGCTGGTGCCATCTTCCAAGCCTAGAGACGGCCTATAAAATTCAGCTTTTGTAGCGGTCTGCTCGATCAGCTTTGGGTCGACGGAGATTTGGTATGGAATGGGCGTGTTGTCGGCTTTCGCCATGCTAAGGAGCACTACCGCAAATAGTGTTGCATAAAGCATCGTGTATTTGAGAACCTTGTTGAGTATTCAGTAAAGTGAAGAAGCTCAGTGATGCCGTGTGAATGAAATGATTCTACTAGCTGGTATATGATGATGTTTTTATATGCCCTGGCTTTTCTTAAAACGATCTTTATTCTCGCTCGATTGCTAATCACTACTTCTAGGCTGGCATCGTTGATACATCCTCAATAGACACCTGTTCCACTGGGTTACGGAGTTGACTTTACAAATTAGGAAGGCCAAAAGAGCCAATAATCCATCGACCATGAGTTATGATTGCTAAGCCACTGCTTATAATTCTTATTGATAAATAGGTTCTAGCGCTTACAGGGAGATACTTACTCTAATTATCTAGAATAAACGGAATACCCACTCTGTATGAATGCGTTAGCTTGTCTACCAAAATCTCCATTTATAAGCAGGGCCAGGCGTCAGCACCGATAAGTTTAGTTGATAACCTCAACGGCCGCGTCCTCAAGGGCAGGGATGCAAGATGTGGGTTACTTGGCTTATGTCCTGCGTTAGCCGCTGAGGTCCTGGCGGGTCATGACCCCTCAATAACGAGCGCCAGTGCCCTTGGCGACATTATGGATGACATTCGCTTCGATATAGAGTGCCCTATAGATCTCGAGCCTCTCATCAAATCTCCCTTCATCGGCCCTTCGAATCACGAGTCCGTCGAACAGCCATCGTCTTCTTCATCACTTACTCTACAACCATATATGGAACGTATCAGACAAAGATTTCCCCGCGCCAGACAGGATCTGGTCAACCGACTTGCCCGAGCCTGCTGGGACCGGTTCCGGAGACTTATGTCGGCTAAGCGCCAAAATGCGACACTTGGCGTGCGGGATGATTAGACTAAAGATGACGCACCCCATTTTGTTATATCAGAGGGAGCACCAACCTTCTTTGGCTCTGGGCTTAGAGCATCATTTGATACGACGACATATCACGCTACAATTTCTTACCTACCTACAAGACCCGGATAACTCCTTAATAACTAGCGTAGCTCCTCTATCTCGAAGAGTCGGGACAGGTGAACTAATTGAGTGTGATGTTTGCGGCAGAAATATTCCGTTTGAGTTGGAATTCTCATGGAAGTCAGTCTCCCAACTCGCCTAACAATTTCGAGAGTTGTTTCTGATAGAACACAGGGAGCATCTCTTAAACGATCTGCTGCCCTGGGTATGTCACGACGCTTCATGCCCATACGGAACCGTACCATTCTTCTCAAGTGAAGACTAGAGGAAGCATCTTGCTCTGCAGCATGATTTGAAAAGCTTCCGGCTATCGTCGAACTGCCCACTCTGCCTCAAGGCCGAGCCGATGCTAAATCACCTGGAAACCCATTTAGAAAACATATCTCTCTTATCCTTGCCATCAGGCGTAGACTTAGACGGCAAGGTCGAATACGATGTATCGCACGCTAAGGCTACGGTATCAGAAGAGCCTCCTCGACTTAGCCCGACCAAACCATCCAACTCGGCTGCTGCTGACACAACGCTGCCCTCACTAGAGAGCTTGACGTGAGCATAGCCTGATGCCTCGATAATGGCAGGGAAATACGTATCTGAACATCACTTGGGAGATCACACGAAAAGCGCTACCGTAGTGGCAGGCTCTCGATATAGCACTACGTCGTTCCCCAGGATCGGAAGCCTGTGCTCCGGCAACAAGCAATACTAGAGCATTATGGTTTCAAACCCAAACTGCCGTAAGCCTTGCTTTTTTTTTCTTTTTTTCTCTGTGCTTACCGAAGCAATCCAAACCAAATCTTCGCATTTGCAGACCAAAGCCAGCCACTATCGACCCGCTGCTTGAGGGAAACACTGGGAGCGATGAAGAAGTGGTGGCACAACCTCTCGACGAGCGAGGCGAGCCAGACATCTCTGAGTGAGGAGTGGGTTGAGGCTGCGGCAGGAAACGTTGACGACGGCAGGGAAGTGTGTCATTGATCTCTAGCGTGTATCCTCGGCGAGAGCCGCTCCCACCCTGTCGCTACAGGAACAGAGACATTTGAGATTATTCCAATTGCATAATCATTGGATTCATGTTCTGTCTCGTCGTCTCACAGTTGATACTTCCGTGGTCGTGAAGCACAAGTACTCCATCAGCTATTCAAACCGGGCTATGCATCGATTGTATGATGGTGACCCGGTGAGTCCAGCGTCACCCAACTTACCAAAGTAAAAGAAAGAAAAATAGAAATTTTCCAACACTCTATACTGGAGCCTAGTAGCTCCATCTTCTCAAACGACCAGACTCCGTTCGATGGCTTTATTGCTGGAGATAATGGTGGCAGCCCTACCAAACCGAACTCCGCGATGTTGAACAAGGCCAGACGAAGCAGCAACATGCACTTTCGTGAAGCCCTGAAACTTAAGGCGGGCAAACGGGGCCTGCCATAGACTCATTCATTGGTGCAAGACTTGCCACAATATGTACACTACCTAGTTTGACACAGAGGTACCCGCGCCAGCTTCTGATATCGCAACGAACAGAGGTGTCTGATGTCCACCGGTGGACTCTCGGATGGATACCAATTAACCACGCAGATGAGGGATAAAACCTCTGGATCCACGATAGTTAGATCCGGCCTGATTCGAATGTTGTTACAACACCGTACCTATCTTCAGCTAAGTGGCCCTATCGTTGACTTCTTCACTCTGATGCCAGCCCAATTTTGACCGTTCACAATGACCTGTCGCGTAACGCAAGCTATGTCAAGACGTACATCTCGGTCCCCGAGAAGTGGATGAGGGTGCATTGGGGAGCTACAAGCCAGAACATGTAATCAACATGGTATTAGACTACAAGAGGTGGCCTCCAGGTTTCTCAAGAAGACCTTCGGCGGGAGGTCGGTGATCGGACATATTGCTTGACGAAGACATCACTGCACCATCTCTCACGGATTTCTTTCGCGGCTTTTTCGGCTTCAATGAGGTCTCTCTTCGGGAATCTGGTCGCTAACGCGTGAGCCTACCCCTGGATTTACATAAATGATAGTCATCAAAGCATACATATGCAACCAAGTGTCGAGTAAGATGTGATCTGCACACTTCATCAAAAGTACCCGGCAGGATGCTAAGCCGCCCAGCTTACGTGCTGGAACCGTCTATCTGCCTTGTGATGACGGCAAAGATAACGACCAGATTCGACCGGAGACCGTCAGCTGCCTAGTCAGTAATCGGCAAGACAAACCCCGCACTCTGTCTCATCTTTTAGCCATCTTGACGACTTAACATAAGACGTTGAAACCACCCACTCCGCGTCGGTTGAAACAAACTCGACCACTTACCCAGAATGGCGCCGCGAACTCGTGAAGAGCTTCTGGCTTACGGGGTGCCCGATCCCCTTTTTGAGGCCGTACGTCGGACGCCTAGCCGCGGGTTGATGATACTGACCGAGCCTGACAGGAGCTTGCGGCCAACCCGTTGCGAGACCCCCAACCAAGCGACCCGTACTACGGCCGGAACGACCTCGCCGCGAAGCGGGAGCACCGGGCCACGCGTCTACGCGAGTTTCGCCACCTGCGCTACCTCCCGGGACCCATCCCGGACCAGGTCCGCGAGGAGGACCGCAAGATCCCCGCCAGAGATGGCCACGAGCTAACCATCCGGGTCTACACCCCTGTGGGCGCCCCTCCGCCAGAGGGAGGGCGCCCGCTCGTTGTCATGTACCACGAGGGCGGCTGGTGGTCGGGCGATCTCTCGGACGAGGAGGTGAACTGCCGGCTCTTCAGTCGCGACCTGGGGGCGGTCTGCGTCAACATCGACTATCGGTCAATCCACCTTCCTGCCTGCCAAGGCAAAAGCTAACGAGGAGACAGCCTTGCGCCCGAGTTCGCCTTCCCGACATTCATCAACGATTGTTGGGACGCTCTGCAATGGGTATGTACAGAGAACCCTCGCGGGGAGTGACTGATCCCACGGCTGACCCGGAGCCACCCCTTTTCTCAGGTCGCTGGGAACGCCTCGAGCCTGGGCGCGAACCCTTCCCGTGGCTTCATCATCGGCGGCGGCTCGGCGGGCGGCAACATCGCCGCCGTTCTTGCTCACCTCGCCCGCGACAACGAGCTCTCCCCACCCCTGACCGGGCAGTACCTCTGCGTGCCAGCCATCATGTGTCTGCTGCCCCCGGAGGCCATCCCGGAACAGTACCGTTTCGAGTACCTCAGCCATCCCTCAGTCATCCCCTCCAAGGACCCCGTCTCGGGCGCCCTTGCGAGCGACGGAGGCGCCGCCTTGCAGAGCATCGTGCAGCCGGACATGCAGAGCCCGCTCTTCGTACCCTTCCGGTTCGGGATGTTCGGGCAGGGGCACAAGGGCCTACCGCCCGCCTACATCCAGGTGGCAGGGCTAGATCCTTTACGGGACGAGGGCCTCATCTACGAGCGCTTGTTGAGAGAAGAGGCGGGCGTCGCGACCAAGCTGGACATCTACCCCGGCCTCCCGCATTACTTTTGGACAAACTTCCCGCGGCTCGAGAAGAGCAGGCAGTTCGTGGAAAACTCTGTGCAAGGTGTCCGTTGGCTGTTGGAGCAGAAGTAGGGCCGATGAGAACATCACGTGTTGAGACACTACAGACGTCAATTTCAGATATGATATGCATACGCACATCCACGATTCGAGGTGATTTATCAGGGCAACAGCCTTGATTCGTATTCTGTGAATGGTCAAATCTACAGCCCCTGGCGCGAAGAGCAGTATATATGATTATGACTAGCCGGGCAGCTAGTGGGAAAACTATAAGAACGCCCGCCCCCCTGGCAGCAGGTCAGCCGGAAAAGAAAAAAGAGAAAAAATTGCCGCCGAGAAACACAAACGGACATCGCCTCAGATGCACAGCAACGCCCCCTTCGTCTCGTCCGCAAGCTTGGCCCTCCAGATGCGGTTCTCGTTCAGGATGAAGATCTCGCCGTTGCGGCCGAAGCAGAAGTTGGCGGCGCCGCCCTCGACGAGGATCTTGCCCAGGAGGACGCCGCCGGGCGACCAGATGTTGACGCCGTCGCCGCAGCCGCTGTACACGTTGCCGTGCACATCGCACTTGATACCGTCCGGGATGCCCGTGTCCGCCATGCTGAAGAGCCGCCTGTTGGTCAGGAAAGGCTCTCCCGAGTACGATACCACGTCAAAGGCGTAGCTTTTGTTGCCCCCCCCCGATAGTCAGTCTTTGGTTCCGTCCACGTGCGAAAGCTGAAATCATAAAAAGCAGAGATGGCAAGAGGGTCTGGGAGGGGATAAAATACAAAACCGGAACAACTCACATGGTCGACGCGCGCGTGAGGTCGGTGGACCCGTCGCCGTGGATCCAGTCGGTGTCGGTGATGTAGACGATCTTCTCGTCCGGGCTGAAGCAGATGCCGTTGGGCCTCCCGAAGCCGTCCGCCATGGCCCTGATGGAGCCGTGGATCGGGTCGTAGCGGTAGACCTGGTTGGGCAGCTGAGGCGGCGGGCGGATGCCCTGCTCGTAGCCGTAGATCGGGTCGGTGAACCAGAGCGAGCCGTCGGTGTGGGTGACGACGTCGTTGACCGAGTTGAAGGCGCGGCCGTGGAACGAGCTGACCATCATGCGCGTCTGGTACGGCGGCTCCGCCTCCATGAAGACAAGACCGCCGGGCGCGTCCACGGTGCCCTGGGAGCAGAAGACGACGCCGTCGAGGTAGTTGACGCCGCCGTTGGCCATGGCCACGGTGGCCGGGTGGATCTCCTCGCAGGCCACCGCGGGGCCGTCGTCGTCCGGCAGAACGATGCGGCAGATCTGGATCTTGCGGCCGCCATTGCTGTCGGTGAACTGGTTGCTCGTGACGAAGAGCGTGCTGTTGCTCTCGATGAAGACGCCGGCCTCGTGGGCGAACGGGTAGTCCTGGTTCTCGTGCAGCACCTCGAGCTTCGGCGCGGGGCCGTAGAGCTTCTTCACGCGGTCGTCGTAGACGACGAAGGCGGGGTGGTCGGTCATGGCGAGCACAGAAACGAAACAGAAAGAAGACAAGAGCAGAATAGCATAGGATAAGCTAGAGGCGAGGGCGCGTGATAGGTGGTGAGAGACTGATAACCCCCCAGACAGAAGACGTTCAGTCGTGTTCCAGCGCAAGACAAGCTTGTCCTCGAACCCTTGGCGTCGTCGTAGTAGCTATTTCTAATCGCGATGGCAGCAGCCAGCTAGCTAGACCAGAGAGGATGGAGGGGTCACGGCGAATGGGCGTTTTGAGTCTTGGTGGTCGCACGGATGCGGGGCACGAAGCAGCTGTTCCCTGTCACGGAATCAGAGTTCAAGGGTCTGTGGGAATGTCGGCAACTGACTCGGAGGGCGTCATGCCGTCTCTCACGTGACCGGCCGCAGGTTTACATCGAGACGTGCATGAATGGGGTACGGTAGTATCGGGATTTCAAGGCGGCAAGAATCCATCTGTGAAGTCATGTCGTGATTCGAGGTTTCACAAGTCTCGCTGGGTCTGTGGCTGATGACGGAAACTATCAACATCGTCTTCCTCATCGTCTCCCTCGTTATTGGCCAGTAGAGCCACGCTTGCTATAAACACACAAAGATGGACGGGTTGAGAAGAACGGCCATGTTTCTGTCATTCAGTCTTCAATCTAACCAAGTTCAGTTCCATTCGAGGCCGGCTTTTATAGTCTTCGCAGAAAAAGGACATTCTTTTTGTTTTGCCATCCAACACGCTTGCACATATCAACTATGCTCTCACAAGCCGCAAGTCATGACCCACGCCGCCTATCATCTTCTGAACTCTTCAATGTCCCACACCTCGGCCTTCTCTTTGCTCCCAAACGGCCGGTCGGGGGTATCTGGCCGGTCGAGGATATCTTCCCCAGAGAAGAGACGGTCTACATCCTCCAGCTCCAGGCCCTTGGTCTCGGGGAAGAACAGGTAGATGATGGGCACCCAGGTCGCGTTCAGAACCGCAAAGATGATGTATGTCTTCCACCCGATGCTCGAGATCGAGATGGGCGTGATTTGCACAATCATCTACCGTTGGGTTAGCCGATGGAAGGGACCTTTGTGAGAAACCTGGTCTGCTTACATAGTTAAAGATCCAGTTGGTGGCGCTGGAAATGGAAGAGCCCACTTGTCGGATTCGAAGAGGCAGGATTTCGGATCTTTGTCGAGGTGTAAGCAACGCGATATATATGCATCCCCAAGCGGTCGGCCGGAACTTACGGATAGACCCAGACGGTCGCCTGGAAGCCGATGGTGAAGGCGCCTTGGAAAACGAATAGCATTGCCGCAGCGCCGATTCCGGCGGCTTTGGCGACTGCGGTGGCATTCTGAACCTGGTAGATGAGGGCTGCTTGGACTGCCATGACGGCCGCCATAAGGCTGATCATAGACAAGAGCTATAAAAAGGGGGGCTTGTTAGCTGCTTCTGCGGGAAACACGGAGATGAAGGATGCGCTCAGGGCCGGCAACGTACCAGAGGCCTTCGTCCTACGCGGTCAATCAGGAACCATGGGATGAACGAAGCGAGGAAGAACCACGTCTGCAGGAAGCCAGACATGAGACTCGACATGTGGTTGTCGAATCCGATGCTCTTTTCGAAAAGCGTGCTGCTGTAGTCTGTTCGTCGCAACGTCAGCGTTGTTCTCGTGGTCCTCCGACAGGGAGAGGAGTTTTCCCGGAGGCCGCCGTGTGCTTACAGATGATGGCGTTTATTCCGCCCAGCTGCTGGAACCCCTGAATGGCGCAGGCGATGAGGAACCGCTTCTGGCTCTTGATCTCGTCCTGAACAAAGATATCCTTCCACGAGTGCGCGCTCACGGCCGACTCGTAGGAGACCGTCTGCATGATGCTGCTGTGGAGGGCCTGGATGGACTCGTCGTCCTCCTCGTCACCCTTCAGGCGCCGCAGCACGGCAAGGCACTCGTCCGACCTGTCATGAGCAGCCAGCCATCTGGGGGTCTCGGGGATCATCTGCAGGAGAATGAACATCGGGACGAGGCATATGCACTGCATGATCACAGGCACTCTCCACGCGTAGCTCCCGAGGTGTGACGAGAAGGCGTAGTCGATCCAGTAAATCAAAAAGATGCCAAAGTTCAAGGTGGAAAGTTGCGCGCAGACGTCTGGTGATGATTGTTAGTCATGCCCCGTCCGGAACAGCCAAAAGCATGTTTGTGAATCGATGGGATCGGGGTACTTTGCCGTCATGTCCCGAGGGTCCGGCAACTTACAGATTCCACGGCTGGCCTTGGGACTAAACTCGGCCTGTAGCACCGGGACGGTCGAGTTAACGATACCCATGCCGACGCCCGAGACGATGCGTCCAACGATAAGCTGCGCCCGTCCGAACGCGGCGGCTTGTATGATAGCCCCGACCACCATGACGACGCATCCAGACCCGATGGTCTTCCGGCGGCCCAGCTTCTCGCCAAAGCCCGCCGTTGCGATGCAGCCGAGGAAGCAGCCAACTGGTAACGTTCCAAGGTCAGCGTCACGGAGGACTATGGAGGTCGAATTAGGCTGGGTTTCTTTGCAAACTCACTTTCGTAAATGGCAACGATGAGGCCCGTCATCGTCGGATCCGGCGAATCAAACGTCGCGTTGAACGCCGGTGCGTTGACTTTGGCGGAGAAGTCAGCATCATGACGGCAAACCCGGGCCCGTCGACATCGGCCATCACGTACCTAGTCCTCCCATAAGGCCATTGTCGTAGCCGATAAGCATGAAGCCTAACGACGTCAAGACGCTGACGGCTATGACGAGCCGCTGTCCGCGAAGTTCGCCCATTGTATACGTGATGTCTGCTCTCTCTCTTCTCTCTCTCCCAACAGGTTCCGTAGTTGCGCAACTCGAGCCACAGAGGAACACACACACACACACGATAGAGTATGCTGGTTCACAGATTGGGTCAAGGTGACGGATTTCCACCAGGAAACTTCCATCCGAATGCGTAGGCGGGCTGTATATAACGGCTTTCCCACTAAGATCTTGTGGTTCGTGATATCCACCATGATCGACATTGACAGTATCACTTCCCCCAGACATCCCCACGCGGGGTCAGGCCACCCCTGCGGGGTCTGGGGGGATTTCACCGAGCATACTACTTAGTACTATCAAGGTGAAATCAGAGAGCACGCGCGGCAATTGAAAAAAATTCCAGTCTACGGATGGATTGCCGACTCATCAGACGGCGGTGCCCGCGCGGGGGTGTTGCATTGTTGACTCGCGGCAAATGTAGGATCAATAGCCGACACCACGCAAACCCTTCCCTACCCTGGCAAGGGCCCTCCGTGAACGAGATTGAGATGCCGACCCGGGCATCGATCTCATGACTAAACCGAAATTTCATGGTGTCATGCGCCTGTTCGCCTCGAAACGACATGCGCCGCCAGCTCTGCGCTCGTCGAGGGGACGAAATGCACGGTTATGGACTCCGGAGGGGGGGGGGAAAGGTGATCAATAGCCGGCCAGAGATGCCTGGAATACAAGAGAGGCGCATTGCCCTCGGCCCTTGTGTGAGATTTCGGTTGGAGATGCACACATGCGATCCATCTTGAACGATAACCGCGGCGGCAATCGAACTATCGGCTATTCAAACTGGGCTCTCGATCACGCCGCGTAACTCCAAGCCTTCCTGATTCCAGCCTTGCAACCGACTGTTCATCGAGAAAAGAGAGAGAGAGAAGGAGAAAACAGGAAAAAGCGGGAAAGCCGAGTTTGCGGGATTTGCCCAGATACCCCAGTCCAAATCCAACTCAACTTCCTTTTAACCGGGAAAGCCGTGCCCCCAACCCAGACTAGGAGCGAATAAGTGGCACGCATAGCTTTCAAGATGGTCCAGCACAGCATTAGAAGCACAGACAACAACCCCCGGGGCCGCCTGGCTCTGGTGACGGGAGCAAGGTAAGTTAGTTGCGTGTGCGCCGGAGAGAGAGAGAACCGCCTTCCTCCCCCCCCCCCCCTCGCCTCCCAGTTGAATAACGGCTGATCGAGAGACGCTCTCATCACCCAGTGGTGGCATCGGTTCGTCGGTTGCACACGCTCTCGCCGCAGAAGGCTGCGATGTCGCCTTGCACTATTCATCAAGTCAGGTACGACGTTCCCGCCTGGCCCTGCCCACAAACAGTCGGAGGGGCGGATTGATGTCCGAGTTCGCGGAAACTAACGCTCGATTGCCGGCGGACTTTAGGGCAAGGCCGAGGCCCTGGCCGAAAAGCTGCGGTCCCAGTACCCCTCGCAGCTCTTCCTCCCCTTCCAGGCCGATCTAGCATCGAGGGAGTCCACCCGCGCCCTGGTCCCCGGAATCTTGGCCAACGGCGAGATCTCGCGGAAGCACAAGGCCATCTCGATCCTCGTGGCCAACGCTGGCCTCGGTCGTCGCATCCGCGACCCGGCGGACATTGGCGAGGAGGACTGGGACGAGATGATGGAGGTCAACTCGCGCAGCCAGTTCGTCGTCACCAAGGGCTGCCTCCCTGGCATGCGAGCGCAGGGATGGGGGCGGGTGGTCTTGGTTGGGAGCATCGCCAGCCGCGGCGGCGGAATCAATGGCTGTCATTACGCTGCTACCAAGGGCGCACTCTGGTGAGTCCAGCCGACCCGTGGTCCTGACTTGTCTTTCCTCTCAGCTCGGCTTTCGATGAGAGAAAGAGAGACCGAACATCCTGGTCTTCAACTACTTTAACTAACGCTAAACATAGTTCAATGGGTCTCAACCTGGCCACGCTCTTGGCGCCGGAGGGTGTCACCGTCAACATTGTAAGTCCCGGCCCACGCCCAAACACACACACACACACATACACACGCAGCATATAGCCGGGGAGATCAAGGACCGGTCTGGACTAACCAGTATCCAACGTTGTAGGTTCTGCCTGCCATGATCGGGGCGACCGGCATGATTGCAACCCCAAAATCAACGTAGGTTCTCCTCTTCTCGGACAGCCCGAACTCCCCCTTTGACTAATTTCATACTCGCGAAATATACAGCACATGGGACAGCAGAGACGACCTCGAGGCCCTCCGGGCCACGGATCCCGGTCTGGCCATCGCCGCAAGCGTCCCGGTTCACCGACTAGGGGCCCCCGAAGAAGTGTCCAACGTTGTGACAATGTGAGTCCCCCCCCCCTTCCCCCCCGGGGCGCGACATGCGGACCGTGAGAGATCGCGAGGTGTTGACGATGACGGGGCGATATCCAGGTTCGTCAAAACGGGCTACCTCACTGGCCAGGAGCTTGTCCTCGCAGGCGGCTTGAAGTGAATCATGAGTCGTTTTGGAATTAGCCTTTTTGTGAATTGCTACAACTATATACTCTGTCTGCCTCCCCCCCCCCCGCCCCCGGCTCCATTGGCATGGCTACCCCATGAAAGAATAAAAACATATTTCCCTTCTGCTCCCATAACGAAAAACGAACATGCAGCATTTTGTTGGTGACTGGCCAATGAGGCTGACCGCACAAACCTTACAGAGTTCGGACAGCCTGAGCCATGTATTTTCTTTTTTCCCTTTTTTTGCCCCCCCGCGTAGATTAGTATACACCAAGACCCCGATTAGGGGATGCGGGCAACTCGATTTGTGATCGGTGACACCTCCTTTGACTCCGTAAGAGATGTCTCCTTGAGGGGGTCGCCGTACAGGGAGTGCTTGAACCTTCACCTCCCACCATCATTGCGTCATGTGAGGACTGATACCAGCCGAAAGACTGACGGGCAGCAGGTTGGGCATTGAACTCAATTTACCACGGACATGACAGCATTGCCGCACATCTTGGGTCCAGGTGGTGGATTGCCGATGGTATCTTTGCCCTCGCGGTACTACTCTCCATGGGGTTTTCCCATCCTTTTGTGAAGTCCACATAATTCTCCACACGACTGAACATCAACAAAGAGCCGCTGTATAGGCCTGGACTCTTCATCCGCTCCCCGCTACCCGCGCCCCCCCCGGCGCGCGCGCACACACACACACACACACACACACACACACGCACGCGCGTACAAGAAGAAGAAGAGGAAGAAGAAGAAGAAGAAGAAGAAGAAAACTGGAGGCTCTCGGGCCGACTCCCCGATAACTAGGACCGTCGGTTTCCCCCCCTAGGTCGCCGACGTAGACCCAAGAAATGTCGGTGGATACCGCCGCCCGCCAGGTGTCCTCGACGATGTCCAGCTCCCCGCACAACCGGCTCTCGCACTCGGCGACGGCAACTGGAAAGGAGAGGCGGGTATCGCGGGCTTGCGTCTCCTGCCGGCTCAGGAAGACGAGATGTGACCTGTGAGCTCCTTGTCTACTATAACCCTTGCTTGAATAACCCACCCGCACCCGGCTGTTGGGAGGTTTTTGGAGGCAATCCAGAGCCGACTACTGCCGCTGCGGGTCCTCGGAATCATACAACGCCAAGTCGGGCTACTTTGACTGCGCATATGCTGAGTCCCGGTGTTCGTATAGTGACTACGGAGGGAACCCGGGTATACCTCCCTGCCGCCGATGTGTCCGGGAGCAAAAGGAATGCGTCTTGGCGACCTCGAAACGAGGCGGGAGACGGCCCCGGAAGTTTGTCCGCCTCCCCCAGACGGACAGTGACGCATTGCTCCCGCACCGCAGCGCCCCCGCTGCGCCGCCGTATGATTCGTTGCCCGCCGGCGTCGACGGCGCCAGCTCCTCGGCCATCAGCCACGCGGAAGAGCGGAACCAACGCTCCGCGAGCCCCGAGTCCCCTCGCCGCGACGAGCAGCCGCGGTCGTGCTCGCCGGGGGGGGACGACGACGACGACGCGTCCGGCCGCCGCCCAGCGAGCTGGCCCGGATCCGCGTCTCAGCCTGACAGCCCCGGCGGCCGGTCGACGCCGTCCCTCAACAGCTCCGGCGACATCGAGGGCCACATCACCTCCAGCGACCTCCTGAACCCCTCCGATGCCCTCAACCTCCTCGCCCAGGTCGCCGACCTCGACGGCGAGGAGTCCCGCGAGGGGATCCAGGACCTGCCCAGCATCAAGTCCGGGGCCAGCGACAAGCGCAGCCCCAAGAGAGGGTCGCGGAAGCCTTCCACGCCCGCCGTCACCTACTATCCACCCATCTCGGACGGCATACTGAGCACCTCGGTAGCATCACGCCTGCTTTCAACGTGAGGCGCCCTCACCCCGTGCCGTGCCGTGTGCCCCCTCCCCTCGGCTAACCCTCGTTGACTAGCTACATCGAACACTTCCATCCCTTCTTCCCTGTGGCGGATAAGTGCATCCTGAGCCATTCGCCCGCCACCATCTCTCGCCAGATAGAGTCGGAACCGCACCTCCTCACCGCCATCTTCACCGTGACGTCCAAGGACGAGCCCTCCCTGTCCCGCGTCCACGAGGCGTGCTCGCGGTACATGGAGACGCTCATCTCGAAGCTGATCTACAAGGGCTCGACCACCGTCGGCGCCGTCGAGGCCCTGCTGATACTCGCGCAGTGGGCGCCGCAGAGGCTGCAGGAGAAGCCCACGGTGGGGAGGGGCGAGGAAGACGAGGGCGCGTGGATGCAGATCGGCGTCGCCATCCGCTTGGCGTACCTGCAGGGCCTGGAACAGACGGGCCTGTTGGCGGACAAGACGAGCCCGTCGTCCGAGACCTTCAGGAGGAAACGGATCGTCTGGGCCGGTAAGATGGCATTCCCCCTTTGTACTCGCCTCGAGTGTTTATTTTCTCTTTTTTTTCTTTTTCTTTCTTTTTTCTTTCTTTCCCTTGTGAACAAGCTTGTGCTAACAAGGCGGCTCTTTTTCGTCATCAGCCTGTTACATGAGCGACCGCGAGGTATCGATTCGCGTCGGCAAGGGCTTCTGGTCGCGCGGGCCGGGACCATCCACCATTCCCCGCTCCGCCGACTTCCCGTCGTTGAGAACCCAGGAGGCGGGGTCCGACAACCTCGGGCAGCTGTTCCAGGCACAGCTCGAGCTGATTCAGCTCTTCAGCAACGCCCATGACATCCTGTACTCGTCGTCGAGCCACAGGGCCCAGCTCTACCTGGGTGGAGAGTACGTGAGGTACATCGTAAGTCGGGCCGTCCCCTCGGACGCGAGGGGTTGTGGAAACCTCTTCTACGTTCGGTCATGCCGCTAACGGTGTGGGGGGGGGGAATAGGACGACTCGTTCGCTGTTCTACGGAAATGGAAGATCGTTTGGGGAAGCCTAAACTGTAAGCCTTATCCAGTCATCCCGTAGGATATATAGCCCTCGACGGCGACTGACTTCTCGTTCCACCGCTTCTCCAGTCACGCCGCTAATCAAAGCCGCCCTGAACCTCTCATACGAGTTCCTCCGCCTCTACATCAACGCCTTTGCCTTCCAGGCAACCATCAACCGAGCCATCACCAAGGCGCGTCAGCAGCAACAGCTGCAGCAACAGCAGCAAAATCCACAGCAGCAGCAACAGCAGCAAAATCCGCAGCAGCAGCATCATCAACAGAACGGGAATGAGGCGCCAGGCTCCCGGGCACGCGCGAGGCAGGCCCCGGGCATCAGTAACCCCCTCTTCGCAGATCTGGCCAGCACGCCCGACGCCCGCTTCATCTACGAGTCCATGGACGCCGCCAACTCCCTGCTGAACATTCTGAACACGTCCGTGGACCCCTCGACCGGGCTGAGGTACATGCCGCTCAAGTACTACCTCTACGTCATTTACGCAGCCGTATTCCTATTCAAGGTGAGTGCACCGGTTCCTGTCCCTCTCTTTGTCCCTCTCTGCCTGTATCTCTCTCTATATACGGTCTTTTTCTCTCTCTACCCCTCTCCCTCTCTGTCTTTCCGTCTGTCTGTGGCAAAAGAAAAAGAAAAAGAAAAAAAGTGAAAAAAAAAAAAAAAGGCTCAACTGCTAATCGGCGAGACTCAGGCCCGCCTCGCCGGCGCACTCGGCAACGAAGCATCCGAAAGCGTGCGCCGCTCCATAAACGTCACCATCGAGTGCCTGCAGAAGTCGTCCTCGAGCGCCCACAGCCTGGGCCAGCGCTACGCCAGCCTGCTCTCCCTCCTCTGGCGCAGCAAGCCGCCGCAGGAGCTTTCCCGGCACCAGCAGCACCAGCACCAGTACCACCAACAACAACAACATCATCCTTCCCAGCTCCTCGCCGCCGCTGCCGTTGCCTCCGGGGGCCCGTGCGGCCACGACGCCGCCATGGTCGACGGCCTCCCGGGGACGTCGGGAGGACCGGGGTTCGGCCCGTCTTCGTCAGCCAACAGCGTGTCCCCCGCCACAGTCACCGGGCCGGCCGGGCCGAACGCGACGGACCCCGCCTCGGCGGCGGGCTTCGGTGTCGGCGGCGGGCACGCGCAGCATCATCACCATCAACACGGGTTCGGAGGCGCGGGGGCCGGGCAGGGACACCCGGGAGCCGGCGGCTTCCCGGCGCAGCCCGACCTGCTCTTCCGGGGCTTCTCGTGGCGGGACCTGGACGACCTGGGGCAGTTCATCGGCCCGGAGGACATGGGCTTCTCGGACCCGGGGAACCTGGCGGCCATGGGCGGGCTGGGCAATCTGGACGACGGGGCGGCGTACGATGTTCTTTGGCCGGGGAACGATGCAGTATTCTAGCTTAGCAGCCGTGAGTGGGAGGGGGATGGGGCGTCTCGAGGTTAAGCCTGTCTGTCTCCCGTCTGCATTGAAAAAATAAAAATGGTCAGGATAGGTTGGGGGGGGGGGGCTCACGGTTGGATATGATTTTGATCCGGTGTCGTCGATACTGGCTCTATCGGTATTAAAGAGCCCATAATGAAGCAGGGCCGCAGCGGTAGACAGACAGTGGCGGACGGTTCACACGGGTTGCCTTGTTGCTCGGAGATGGCACGATGCTATCCACTTGGCATGATATCACAATAACTCTTCTTGTATATTTAACGTTGGACTTGCAAAGACGTCAAACTTTCGGGGGCTATTCTCGGCCAACACCCATTGGCAAGCCGGAGCTAAACTGTACATGCCTTCTCCTCCAGGCCGCCATCCCTGGCCCGCACATTTATCTAATGTACGACGCTTAGCGCAGGTCCAAGGCCACGATTGTTGCTTCGGGAACGTCAAATGGAATCGATCCTGGGCCAGACGTGAAGACGCCAGGGCAGCGATACCCGAGCCAAGTCGTCCGTCTCGCTCAGGACTGAAGAAAAACGCGAAGATGCTTGGGAACCATCCCCTCTAGAAATTCTAGAAAGTTTCCATCACCACCCGGAAAACAACGTACCACAGAATCGCTCGAGCAGCGCGCAGCCAAGTCTGCCCCAACGGATCTATGCCGTATCCCGTCGGCAGAAAGTCTCCACAACGGCCCCACCCCGTCCCGATCCCCCGTCCCGTCCCGAATCGAACGCCCAGGTTCTCCGCGCCGAACCCCCAGCCAGCACAGCGCAAAAACAATAAACATCCGACCTCCCTCGGCCCGAAGTTCCATAACCACACCACATTCAACAACGGCACACACCCACACACCCACACACCCACACACACACCCCTTCCCCCGAATCTCGACTCGTCCAGACGCCACGCCGGACATCCCCGAACCCCCCGATAACCCCCCCTGCCGTTCAAGCCACGCCACCAAACGCCGCGACTCGTCCAAACCTAAGCCGCACCTCACCTTCTAGCTCCCTCCTCTCTTATCAATGAAAGAACAAAGATAAAGGAAAACGGCGGCGGTAAGACAGGGGACAGGGACGGGGGGAACGAACGACGTTCTAAGTACACCGTTCGTTCCTCGTGCCTCCGCTGTAGCCGTCACTTTATCCTATCCTCCCACCCCCATCCCCCCTTTCGCCTCTTGGTTCCGGCAGTTGGAAACTGGCCGTTCCCCTACAAACAGAACAAACCTGTCTTATCACCCGTCAAACAATCAAACATACCAGCCATTGCCTGCCACGCACTCCCCATCCACCCCCAGTGCAGCCACACCCAAGAGAGGGAGTCCCTTACCAGAACATCTCACACTTACACACACAGAGAATAAATGCACACAAACATGTGGCCTAGGCGCCAGCACCGCCCAGCCCCCAGAGGGCTCCTCGGGAGGGCTTCGTGTATCATGCACATCTCGATTGTCCGGTCCATCACATCCATATCTTGTGAGAAAGAAAAACTTCTTTTTGATCTCTGGCCAACAAGGCGGCCCATACAGTAGTCTCTCTTCCCCCTGACTCTCTGGTCCAAAACGAAAAACCGTAGAGGTCAACCGCCACCAACTACGTGCCTTGGTAAAAATGTTATGCTTGAAACAAGAATGAAGAAATACACTCGCCACTTGATATAGTATGTGTGTTAACACCGTCGCTAGCCCTCCCCCCAAACATAATCTTCTCCAGATCTAATAGTAATTCTTTTTTCTTTCTGGGGGGGTCGTGAACTCGAATCTAGAAGGGTAGTATAAGAAAAAAATCCCGAGGCACTGTTTGGGCATTTCCTAGAAGCACTTTGAAACGAAGGCTCCAGACCCTACTCGCGAGCATAGAAAGCATCGCCTTGAACGTGATGTAAAGAGACAGAAAGAATGAAGAGAAAAAGAAGTGGGAAAAAGGAGAGCAAGGCCCACGGACGTAGGGGGGCCCTGTGCTCCGAATGACGGCTTGTCGCCGCGTATGCCCGCCTACCGCCTTACTCGTACAATCCATCCGTTGCCGTACCAAAACCCTATCCCGTTCCCGCCATTGCCCAGGGGTATCAGGGAGTGAATGCCTCCAACGCCATCATACCTCTGCGCCTTCCACCTCTTCGCGGAAACGCAGACCACCTTCGACTTGGATCGCCTCCTTGACCCATTGGTGCTCGGCCACCTTCTCCAGAGTCCATCGACTCCTGGCACGCTGCAGGAGGCCCTCGGTAATCTCCATGGCGCCAAGCAGACCAAGTGCTTTGAACTTGGCCTCGTCGCCTTCGTGGTCGCCGTCTTCTCCGGCGAATTCGATCCAGCGCCATTCCGCCCGCGCGATACGGTGGCTGGTGCGGCTGCGCATGCGGTGGCCGTCCATCGTGTTGGGGTAAGGGTCAAACGGGAGACGAGCCTCGAGGAGTGCGTAGAGCAAGACGCCCAGAGACCAGGCGTCGGTTGCGCGGCCGTCATAGGGCAGGCCCATGATGACCTCGGGGGCGGCGTAATCCTCGGAGCCGCATCTGGTCTCGAGCTTTTCGTCGTCCGCAATACGGCGAGAGAGACCGAGGTCGGTCAGCGTGATGACCGAGTGTGGGTACGTCGTCCAGTCAGTCGCGGGATCCGCTAGCTCGGGTGCCGTCAAGTTGACGAGTACATCTAGAAGAATTGTCAGTAAAAGTCTCTTTTTTTTTTCCCCCCCCTTCTTTGTTTTCCCCTCCCCTCTTCTCGGCCAAGTTTACTCACTCTCGAGTTTGATGTCCCTGTGGACGATTCTGCGTTCGTGGAGGTACCTCACGGCACCCACTAGCTCAGCAAACATCCGTCTCAGAAGGGCGGGTTTGAGGAGCTGTCGATGGCCGGTGGCCACGTCGAAAAGGTCGCCACCCGGGCAGTGGCTAAGGACAAGGATGGCACGGCTTGGCTCGATGTTCCAGGCCTTTAGATGAACGAGCGAGGGGTGGCTGATGCTCTGCATGATTTCGAGTTCGCGCTTGAGCGACATCTCGATTCTCTCTTCGCTGGCTCCTCCTCGTGGACCATGCTCGCAAACCTTTACCGCAACGAGGGTCTTCCTGAATGGCTGCGACATTTGTGATATCGGCGCCGGGCCGCCGGCTTGTACCAAGCCGTCATCGTCGTCGAGCTGGCTGGTTGCCAGCATCACACGGCTGAAGGTGCCCTGGCCTAGCGTCTTGACCGCCCTCCATCTTCTCCTCTTCCGATCGCGGCGGTCGTAAGCTTCAAAGTATTCCGGGTCCTCCGACTTGGTCGGTCTGCTAACGGCCGTGTCGGCCGGGTCTCTGGAGGACTCGCTCGGCGGGGGTGTCGGAGGCTGGGCAATCGCAGGTGTTAATCCTCTGGACTCGGCAAGATTCAGTTCTCGGCGCATGTGGGGTTCGTTGTCGGGATCGGGACCGTTGGCGGGCTTGGTATGGGAGCCCGACACGGTGACGTGCCGCTTGGGAACGTAATTCGAGTCCGGGGTGTATTCGCTGATGCTCCGGTTTCGCGCGTGTTCTGCCTTGCCGGTGACGGGTCCGTTTGCGCCAACGCCGTCGGCGCCTTCGGCGACCAGACCGGCGTAGACTTTGCGTTTCGATGCGTTGGCCAGGGCGGCTGCTATTGATTCGCCGGTCGTTGAGACCAGGACGGAGTCCGGGGTAGGGTCGGGCATCTGATGCCTGGCTGGCGAACGCAAGCCCAGGCGCTTCCACGGGCCGGGCGAGTCTCCTGACAGCAAAGGCGAAGGCAGCGGGGTGACGTCGCTCATAGCCGACAAGACGGGGCTGGTCATGCACGAGCTCGTGGCCGAGGCGGGCCCCAGGCTGTTGGCGATGGCGGCCTTGAAACTGGGGGTTCGTGATACGGGCTTCAAGCTCGAGGAGGATGTCTGATGCTGGAGGACGGCGGCACCGGGGCGGCGCGGGGTAGAGAGGGTGGCGTTGGAGCGTTTGTCGGGTCGTGTGGGCAGGTCGATGTGGAAGTCTGTGGTCTGGATTCGAAGAGAGCTGGTGGGAGCAGATTGAGTCGAGGCGGGCCTTTGAGCCGGGGGAGGATCGAGGTGTTGAAAGGAGGATTCGGACAATGGCGGCGAGGGCGCTATCGTGTGTGCTTGGAACTGGATCTGGGGGTTTGAAACGTAGGAAAAGGAGATGTCGTTGAAGGGCGCTGCGGCATTGTGGGAGTTTGTGTCTGAGGCGACGGGGTCGGAGATGCCATCAACCTTGTTCTGGGGTTGAGTATGTAAAGACATGGACTGGGGTGGACGGTTTGACATGATTATATGCAACGTGTGGACGAGGTGGGTACGGTACGGACGGCCGTGGTGCTTGTCGTCGAAAGCGTCGCGGGCGCGCGGGGAACGGATTGAGCGCGAGGTTATCAATGGGAGGGTGGCGGCCGTCTGCGATTCGTAGGCGCGCAGGATGGGGGGTGAAGGGAGAAGATGACTACACACAGGCCGGACCGACGTCAGTTTCAAGGTGCTTTCTTTCCCCCTCCTTCGATGTGCATCTCTTTTTTTGTTGGTTTATCCTGGTTCGCCCTTACAGGAAGGGGAAGAGAGAGTGAGAGAAAGAGAGAAAGAGATACGGGCGCGTAAGTGGTAGAGAAGAAGTACCTAAGAATACGGCGCCGTGGGGGTTCAAGAAGTAAAGGTAGAATTTGGGGGGGCGAGACGAACTTACCCTTGGTGCAAACCTCGCTGATGCAGTGTGAGGCTTGGCAGTCGAATAACCTTGTCTTAGTGAGAGATTGACCCGACTCCCTCGCTGCGCAAGCAAGCAAATGGGCGAGGGAGAGAAGCAAAAGAAGGAAAGAGAAATAAAGCTTTTGGGGGATCGGCGGCGGACCTGGGCGGGTTGGGGAAAGAAGGAAATAAAGGAGCGGAAGGGAAAGATAGGGAGAGTGAGAGTGAGAGAGGAGGGGCTATGACGAGAACATGGGGAGTGAGTGAGAGAGAGAGAGTGAGGGCTCGGTTGGGCTATGCTATGTATGCTACCTATGGTGGCCAAGCGTAGTAGCAGCCGTGAGTGACAGTCGAGTGTCAAGCAGGTCAGAGGATGCGTAAAGCAAAGCAAAGCAAAGCAAGGCCTACGCCGACACGATACGCCACGACACAGATACCCCGTTATCAATGCTGCTGCTGCTGCTGCTGCTGCTGCTGCTTTACTCTCCTTTGTGTCATATGTATCGGGCGGGAAATTGTTGTACATAGGGGATGAGGGTCAAAGGGATCGGCGGTGCAGTGTAGGTTCCGTAGTGTAGACACACTTTAGGTTTAGGCATTCGTAGGGAGAATGAAAAGAGTTGGAGAGCGAGGGGGGGTGGGTAGAGAGAGAGGCAGGCGTAGGAAACGGAACGGAACGGAACGGACGCCCATGACATGCGACGGCACAGCTGCAAAGCACCAGACGGACAGTGCCGGACGTTCGAAACGGATCCATAAGTGGATTAGCTCCATGAGGGGTGCTCGAGGAACATCACATGATTGGTCGGTCTATCGCTGGCTGGCATCGATACGTACTGTACGGTGTACCTGTCTACCTACACATACGGTGCACATAGGTGGGGCGTCTCGTCTTAGTCAGCCGGTCGTCTGCCGCCTAGATGAATTGACCACTCTACCTACCTAACGTAGGTACCTGTTAGAACTTAGGCCTGGCCTTACCTGGCCTACATACACTACCTTTGATAGTTGCGTCGTCACGGTATCTGCATCTGTATCTGTACGCCTGGCTTCCCGTCCGTTGCCTTGCCTATCTATCGAGGAGCAATACGGATACCTAGGGATACAAACCAAAAAGAAAAGGGGGGAAGAGAGGCTGCGAGCGTTCCGTCCTCGCCTCGACACCGGGTACCAGACTCCCCCCCTCCCTGGAATACCTGTCTATCGGGTTTGCAGCGTGCGGGATATCACTTTCCGCTGCTGTCACGGGTCGGAATGGAAGGAATGAATGGCACTGCGGATCCCACACCAGCCCACTCTCTCCTCATTACCCTCGTACTTTTATTGATTTATGTCCAGAGCGAGAGAGAGAGAGCCGCCCGCTTGTTCCAATGTTTCTGCTCATTTCGCCTTGTTTGCTTTTTTCTCTCCTGCCCCCCTCCCTCCTCTTTCCCTGCAAGATTAGGCACTGATACCTCCTCCTCCAACGTCGAATGGGGCTTCAATATAATTCCACTTTAGATAACCATACATATACCTACCTACATGCCCTTGTCACGCTGCCGCTGCTGCTGCCTGCGAAAAGCGTGGGAAGGAGGGTTTAAATGAACGAACATGGTTCCACATTTACCCGGCAAACGATGAATTGGTTTTTTTTTGCATGCAACCAAGGTACGGACGAGAAGGGGGTGGTGGATGAACTAGACTCGCCTTTCAACAAACGGCATGCCATCCAACCATCCATCCACCCATCCATCCATCCCTTCTTCCAGTTCGCAACCCTTTATCTGGTTCTTTTGCCCCACGAAATGAGACGATACAACCCAATCCGGGGTTTCACGCGCTCCGCCGCTGCTCGCTTACTCTCGCTCATTTCCCGCTCACCACATCTTTCGGCCACCTCACCTCGTCTTCCGTTGTCCTTGCCCCGACGCCAGCCCCAAACCCAAAGTACCGGCGTCAGATCGCCCGCTGACGGCTGACAATGCGCGACACAGTCGTGTCTGCATAAGGGATCGAGCGCTTGCTTGTTCCAAGAGCTTAGATTTTCTGTTCTGGCCCCCCCCCCCCCCCCCCTGTAGCCACACGTCCAGAAGGCCGTCCGACGGCTATACGGCATTCTGCACCCCTTTGTCTGCCATTTATAGCGCATGCTGTCAGCCGCCATGCCTATGCCAAACGGTGCCGTTGCAACTACTGAAATGCTAAAACCGGTAGGTGGGTAGAACCCTAGCCGAGTTCAGGCTAGATGCCATGCGCTCGCTTTTGCTAAGCCCCCACATCGCGGTCCTCAAAACCTGACAAACAAAAGATTGCTCTCTCCAAAGTACCTACCTACAACGACCGGGGAAAGCCGTCTGGATCAGGCCCTTTCTCCATCCCGGTAAACATACCATCTAGGGCCGGCCCCAGTTCAAATCTTTCCCCGTTGAGCAGTGCCCGGTGCCTTTGAACTCAATAGACGAAAATGAAGTGAAATTTCAGCAACTCCGCAAAGAACCTAGAACCCAATTTGGCTCGTGGCTCGTCAAGGTTCCTAAATCTTATGTGTTGGTGCGGTACCTACCCATCGAATAATACGTTACAGTGGATTTCCCTCTCGCCAGATGGAAACCCTGCTGGCTGCAACCGGTGCGTCAGGCAGCGTGGACATCCATACGGACGGACAACAGGGGGGTTGAAAAAAATACAAAGACGAGGAGAAAGACGAGGAAAAAGAAGAGGAAAAAGGAAGAGAAAGAAAAAAGAGAAAACAAGACATAGGGGGGGGCGGTTCTGTTCCCTCGTGTAGGTAGGTAGTCCAGGTCATCATGTGGCTTATGGCGTCGAAACCCCCCCAAAGGCGCAAATGTAAAGGCTCGTAGGGCAACCGTCGGGATGGACGGGTTGAAGTTGGTCTCGACCAGAGCTGCTCGCTCCCCTTGGGCTGCTTTGGATACGGCATTTTTCCGCCATTGAGCTGTGTCCACTACCATGGATCCAGTGTCCACGGTTACACCGGCCGACTGGTTGAGCCTGGGTCGTTGTTCCCTGTCTTCGTCCCGTCTACACTAGCCCTGTGCGTGAGGAACCCGGTTCGTGTTGGTCCTGTTGTGCGTCCCGGGTGCCACTCGTAACGAGACCGAGCACTCGGAGATTTGGAGCCTCGTTTGATGCACGCTTGGGTTGCTTGTTGTATGTCATGCATCCAGTCATTGGCCTGTTTTTCTGAGATGCCAACCACAGTTGCCAACATTCTCGGCTCTTGTCTGCGCGCCCTTCTCTGTTCCTAATAAAAACACTAATGACCGCGGTGAGTTTTCGCAAGCGTATCGGATCCAGTCCTGCCAGCGAGTCAAGCAGCTTACCGGGCCGATTCCTGCTAAAGCGGCACCGTCGTCATCGCCGCTGTTGCCAGTATCGCACCAAGCATGCGCCCTCCAGTAGCTCCGTATGTCGTCCCGTGCTGGTATCGTTGTCGTGTAGTCTAGAAAACGAATTGGTTGCCGAGGACTAAAAAACTGTTGGTAAACTCATGTATATGTTATCCAGCTCAGAGGCTAATATTGCACGCCATTAGTGTATTGGTGTCAGACAGTCGACAATACCTGCGTCGCGTGGCAGCCTCTGGTGCGTATGACCTACAGCGTCCGTCGTCCCCGAGTCATTCGCTCGGCAGCCGACGTGATGTGCTGTCAATGCTTCCCTGCTGGTCTTCGCTTCAAACGACGCAACTGAGGGCCGTCTAGTCCGTATTTATTGGGTAGTCCTAGTGTATGTCAGTCAGCACCGTGCCTGCGGCTACGTTCTCTGCTTCGATGCCCGAGCCAAATGGTCATAAAAGTTTTGTATCCGTGCCTCTGTCGCGACGTCGTCGCCGCGCGCCGCTCTGATCTCCCCCCCTGCCTATTCCCTTTCCGCTCCACGTTCGCCAGGGATGGTGTCGATTGGCTACATGCGTGCACGATGGCCAGTGGGCGCAAGCTATTGGTGGGTTCCGTCTGAGTGACACCAGGGCCGTCCACCAATGCCGCAATCTAGTGTAATGCCAACGCTCTGGAAAGTATTGGTGAAGAAGGCGAAAGCCGATGATGCGTCACTCAGCACCTCCCAGTATGACCCAGACGCATGATGACGTCTGCAGGTATGGAACTAGCGCCCTTGACAGGAAGATCGGCAGGTGCTGGGAGCAGGTAATTGGACTGGTCGGCAGTGTTCGAGTCAGGGCAGGACACGAACCCCTTCCCCGGGGCGTCTGTCACCGGGGCGGGCCATGGTGCTGTTAAGGCGAGCACGGATGCGAAGGCGGAGGCGGAGGCGGATCGGGATGGATCGGAGTTCGGACGGAGTGAGAAAGCAGAAGCAGGGGGGGTTGGCTTCTTCTCTGGAGGCCGACACGGATGTTCCGGCGACCGTCTGTCTGCCTTGGTTGTGCCCGGCCGTGGGCAGGATGGACAGCGTGGTGATTCGGCTCAGCTCGGCTATTTTGTGTAGATGGCCTCGCAAGTGTATGAGTGAAGGTTGTATGAGATGAGGTGGTAGGTAGGCAGCAACGAGATGAGGTGATGCCTGCCAACCTACCTAGGTAGGTACCTAAGATATAAACCTACCAGGCAGGTACCTACTTATCTACCTACCTGCCTGCCTGCCTGCCTGCCTTAATTGAGGCAGCAACAGAGCGGGAAGGCGTCCTCGTCGAAGTGGGGCTTGCCTGACTGTTTGCGCCGTTTTTTTCTTTTCTTCTTTTTCTCCTTATTCTCTTCTCCATGCTATTTGCCTTTCCCCGCCAGAGGAAGAGAGAGGGAAAGAGAGAGGGAAAGAGAGAGAGAGAGAGCGGCGGGTGACAGGTGCGATGCAGGCAACATGCATAGTATGAATGACGAAAACAGATATGCCGCTGTGGAGAGAACAAGCCAGCAACATGGCTGTTGTCTCTTGCGGGTTCTGTTGACTTTCTGTTCTAATTGGTATCTTTGAATGTATTACATCGCCTCCAGCTCGTCTTGCTATTTATGCCCATCTGCGCGTGTTCCCGTGATCGACCAGGCAAGTGTGCCGCCTCTCCCTTCTTCGTCGTCGTTTGTAGCTATGTGTCATCGTACCCCACTCGTTCCTGCCCTTTCATCCGAGCTATTTCGCCCTCCTGCCTGCACATGTAGTAATATCTATGGTAAGTGAAAGAGGTGGGGGGCTCTTGCTTTCTTTCTCTCCTCCTTTACTTCTCCTTCCCAGACATCAAGCGCCTCTCTTCCCGTTTCGGGGCACCACATTTTGCAGAGAAATGCCTTCTCGGCGAGCTACTTGCCTCTCCATCTTCGAAGTCATGTGTACCTGACTAAGTGACCCATAGGTACCTAGGTTCATCGCTTTCCGGAGAGACACATACTTTGATGTATCCTGACGATGATATTCCCAGCACGATGGTAACTTCAAGACGCCCAGCGCGAGTCCTCAACTCGGCTCTACCCATACATTTGGCCAACTTCATCCAACGGTCGGTTTGCCTTTCGACGCAGGTCGTCTTTTGACTGATGGTAGGCAACCGTTGAAAGATGCAGTGAACCTTTCCTTCGCCTTGGGCATCGTGGACAAGAATCCGAAAGACTCGTTGTCTCTTGAGCTCCAGAAGATCCATCCGATAGACGCAGAACGGAGCATTTCGACAAATCCCACATCTGGAAGACGAATCCTCATCTGAGTCTTGTATGTTCAAGGCGGTAGACGGTCCTGGGGACTCAGACTGGCGTCAATGGAGAGGTTTGGGCATTGCACCACCTTGAACCGCTGCCCATCACACCCTGTCCGGCACACCGACGACGTCTACCGAGACCCCTCCGTCGTCTCTGTACAGGTACTCAACTCTAGGATCGGCATTCATGTCCTTCAAAAGAGGCGAGTGTTCTGTTGAGAGCGTGATGGCAGGCGACACTGGCTGAGACGTATTCGTCCATTCCGTCTCAAGAACGCTACCAGGAGCCCAAGTGTACGAGGCAATGGATGCCTTCTCGGCCCAGTCGTAAGGTGGCATTTCGAACCAGCCCGGGCTACTTTCTTCACTGTAGTCGCAGTCCCATAGCCAATCTGGCAGATTTTCTGTATCGCCAGTTCCATCGCTGTTTTCGTCGCCGTCCATGTCACACAAGCCCTGCGAGATCGAGACTGACTGTTCCGCAAACGCCGAAAGCCGCTGCAGTCGGTATTGATGGACTCGGTCTGCTTCGTTCATCTTGTTCGTCTGCCGCAGGAGTTTCTCCAGGTTCGCCAATGCCGTCATTGAGATCCGTTCGTCTGCATCCGAAGTCAGGGCAATACGAGCCGCCGACTTGAAAGATGCTATTGCCGCCGGTATGTTGCTCATCCGGTAATACTTAACCCCGAGTTCCAGGTTAACTGCCGCTTCCTGCTCCTCCGTCATGTTGTACGCATTCATGTGCATCGTCAGCACCACCACTGCCTCGTCTAGCCTCCCTTGGTTCTCCTTGCAAGCTGCAAGCAAGCCTGCGTGTGATAGAGCCATATCATCCAACCAGGGTTGCGTTTGCCCCGAGGCCTCGGCACGCGCGCGGTGGCTTCTAAGCATCGCCTCGCAATCTTCGGCGTCTTTGCGGGCAAACATACAGTCCAGGTAGTCGCTGTAAAGTAGGTGCGTCAGGTAGCTGGCCGACCCTGCGCGTTCCTCGATATCTGGAATCAGCAGTTCGTATAGCCGCATGGAAAGCTCGTAATAGTCCGAAAAGTCTGTTGAGCCCAATCTATGCCAAATCTGAGCAAGGCTGTGATGGGGCCCCAAGACGATTGGAACGAGCCCGGCGAGATAGTCAAGGACCAGCCTCAGGAGGTCATGCTTGTGGTGTCGTTCCAGGTACCAGAGCAAGCAAACCGTCCGAGCCACGAAACTCGGGCTCTCGGCCGCGACTATCTCCTTGAGCGATTCAAAGGCCGGGCCAAGAATATCATTGATGTCGATTCGGTCACCTGCTATCATGCAGCGGTTCACCAGAGCAAAGCTCGCAATGACCCTCTCGAACAAATCGTTGCTGCGGTCTCCCTGGTCGAGCTGACCATTCGAACAGTCTACGTCGAACTCGCACCACCAAGCACCGGAGGAGAAGGACCCATCAATATAATCCCGGAACAAGCACAGCACTTGCTCGGTACTCTGCATCTCTGTCGTCGGTGCCAAGACTCTTGACGGGCTCGGGGGCGGCGAAGGAGTCCGACAAGTCACCTCGAGGGCAGTCTGCGCACTGGGCATCTGTCCTGCCTTGAACTTTGCCATCACCGACGGGTTGCGCTTCAGATAGCGGCCGATGTTCTCCAAGTCCACAAGCTGACCTCGTATCCTGAATTCCGTCGGTTTCTTCAGTACGTCTCGATCCTGCTTGAGGAGCATAATGGCCAGAACCTCGTCACCCTTGAGCTTCTTATCAAGACCCCATTTCCATATCCTCGACTTGTACATCTTGACTCTGCGACGGCTGGTGAGGAAAATACGGAAAACGTGACGGGCTGTACTGTACGTACGTGGCGACAAAATGATGCTTGCGTTGCATGATTTCCATGACCTCCTTCAACGACTTGTTTTCTTCCTGGTACAGGCGAGTAATGATTGGGCGCTTGGTTTCCCATAGCTCAGCGGGAAGCCTCTTGCTGGGTTTTGCTGGCTTCCCGGGACTCGATCCGAAATCGAGCGGCGCCTTCTTGGCGAAGCCAGCCATGATGAAGGCTTTCACGACGTTCGTCCCGTTTGTTTGCCGAGTTCAAAGGAGCAACAAAGCTCAATATGGGGGTCGGCGGCACCCAAGTCCGGTCAGTCTGAAGTGGTCCTTTGTCGTAATCCCATCGAACCACGACAGACACTTTATTCAGTGGACGCGGGGAAAGCGGTGGATATGCTATTTGAAATGGAGGGAAAGGGGATTTGGCGGGTAAGCAGACGCGTCGCTAAGCCCAGCAAGGCTCCATCTTCCCGCCCCCAATTCGAGCCTGATGGGGGTTGCATTCGGCCCTATATCACTCTTCTCCGTCTTCTCCGCGACAATGAATAACCCTTGCTGCATGACAGAAGTGGCTCAGCACGGATAACTTGCATTTGTTACCAGGTATTGATCTTCCATGGGTGGTGGTAGCGCAACGCATTCGACGGTCAGACACGCCCGCTGAATCGCTGGCGTCTCCCAGGAACCCTTTTCTGTACTCCTCTCTTACTCCCCAACACCCGCTCTCTCTCCTTCGTGGGAGGGAAAGAGTGCTGGGCAGTGAGTGCATGGCAGGGGTTGTATTGCAAGGAGCAGCAGTCAGCGATCAGCAACGAGCTGTGGCTGGTCGAGGGCAGGGTTGCGCCACCTGTCTCGCAGGCAAATGGAAGACGAATAGCGTTTGGGTGAGGATGAAGACCCCTGGGCATTTGGAATTTCTTGCCGATTCTGTCGACAATCCTCCCGCCTACTTACACGAGTGCGGGTATTTAGCCCGTACACTAACACTTCCCTCTTGATGGACGGAGCTGTCAGTGCACTTTTAAGAGGCAAAAGCTTCGACTTTGTTTGTATAAGTGCAATTGATTACCCGAAGCACTTGGATACGGGCCAGGTACCTGCACTCTACTCGGTATAGCCCGTCCAAAGTCCTTGGTTCGAATGCCAAGGCAGAAGAAGAAGCACAATCTCCCATCTGACATGATCAGTATCCGTACACAGAGCTACATCTCAGATCACACAATCGTCGACTTGGAGCTGTAGCACCCCTGTGCTCTACATGTGTCTAATAAGAGAGTGTCTCTAGGTACTGAGGCTGGAATACATCATGGACTTTTGATCTTGGCATTCTGGCCAAGGACTTTTTGACGGGCTCTCCCCACTCAGTGGCCTGACGACCGGTCGCTTGACGAGATGGCATGTCGACAAGGTCACCTAGTCATTTAGACGCTGTGCCAGCTTGCAGTAGTAGCTAGGGGCCAATGGCACAATAGCTCACGCTAATTGGCGACGTTGGCGACGTTGGTGACGTCGTGACTTGCCCTGCGAAGGATGAGCAAGATTGCAGTAGTAGCAGCCCTGAGTAGCCCTGCAAACCGATTCAAGCAAAGACACTAAGACTGAATCGGAAAATCCAATGCTTGGCGGCTTATCCACCCCCGTTACTGATACGACTTGGACATGGCCAACTGGACCCCCCGGCCGTTTCGGTGGGCCTCATTCCGCCGGAAAGGATGGCCAATTCCCATTACCCTGGTTCACGGGCAAAGGAGATCCGGCCAAGGGTGGCCGTGCCATGGGAGAGGGGGAAAACACACAACACCGCCAGACAATCAGATTCCCCCGCCATGGCTGCCACAGAAGGGCGCGCTTAGTTGTTGCCTAGCCGACTTTGATGAGTCTTTGTTCGAAGGCTTTCAAGGTCGGTTGGGTTTCGGCGAGGTATGTTTTCTCCCCCTCCAGGCTGCCGTATCCTTCACAAGCGCAAGGAACCCCTCAAAGAAGCCCGCCTGAGGCTGCTTAGAGTCCCAAACCCCCCCATCACATATGCTTTTGGGCCGATACGAAGAAGGCTATGTAACTGACAGTGACGCTCCCCTAGGTAGTTGGATACTCGTACTGGGTACGAGACCGTATAACGTATTGCTGAGGCCAAGAACAACTCATGCCGGCGGGTGGCAAAGCTTCGGCTTGCAGATGGTGTCATTCGATGAACTCGGACACTAGTTCGATAAAGATAAGCGCGTGGATGCGTCTATGTTGACGGCAGTGGTCGCATTCTGTGCGAATGACGGCGTGGCCAAGTCGACCCGAGCCAACCTGGGACGGTATCTAGACGGCTGCCACGAGCACACGGAGAGACACAGACGATTCTGTTCCAATCAGCTGGGCCCGGATACGGGTCTCGATATTGGCCCAAGCGTCAGCCCTACGTCGATGCAAGGTCAGGTCGCTGCATTGGAGCACTCCCGCGATGGATGTGAGGTCGACAGCTTGGGGGCGGCCCGGACGCAGCCTGCCAGCCTCAGGCTTCCTAGACGTTATTGTTCATAACTTGACCGTTCTACACCTATAGCTGCCAAAGTTCTTTCCCGTGGGTAACACATTGCAGCCACAGAACCGGGGATCATGGTTAGGCAGGTTCCTGATTGACTGTGCCCAGCAAAACCTAGGTTGCCTGCCTTATACCTTGCGGCGGGGGTGTGGACTGGATGCGAGCCAACGATACCAACTTATGACCCTGTCTAGAATACGACCAAAACGTCATTAGGGATACCGCGAGGGTCAGGCCTTCCGCTTCTGGGCACCCCTTCTTACGAGCTTCGCCCCAGCAGGGTGAATATTCAACTATCCAAAGTGCCTTCGTCATCAACCTAACCGCGCGCCCTTGAAGACCGGCGACGGATACAACCTCGCTTCTGCCTGTACGTGAACGGAAATATAAAGCCAGCGCAGAATCTTCTTCAGAATGAGCAAGAACGAGCAACAGCGTCTTCAACACTCTACGAGTTCCACCTCATCTCCCCAAGCATCACCCATCCAGACAAGATACACCCCGCAAGAAGCTGACGACCTCCTTCGCAAGCTCCAAGAGACTACAGTACGTGTCAAAACCATCCAAGTATTCACTGAAACAACTGGTAACAATGGTCTCCATATAGATTGAAGCTCTGAGAACATCGAGCAACGACATGGACTCCAGCAACTCCTACGGCGGCGGCGGCAGCAGCTCCAAGGGCACCTCTCCTGATGACGGGAGCAAATCTTACGACCAACCTGTCATATTCGACGGCCTCCTTCCTCGGATAGAGACAAGAGGACAAAGCAAACATGCCTCCAAGAAGAAAAGCGGCAAGAAGAAGGAAGACAAGAGCTCAAGTCAACAGTATGTGCCCTCGACAGACGACAAGACGACAGGCGCTAACGCTTCCCACGCAAGATGAAGAGGCTTCTAGCGGCCATGTATGATTGTCATGTGCTGAAGCGTAAGCTGAGGCCAGTTCCCTGGCGCGGTTTGGCCGTCACGATGCGGTACGAGCTATACATGGCACCATACTTGGCTTGGATTTTGGCGTGGAACGGATGTCCTTTGTGAATGGATTGCAGAGCACTGGTGGGAGCGAATGGAAATAATTGGATGACGCTGTATTTCTGTATTGTCACTGGGCGTTTTGCTTATCAGGTTCTACGGTTGGCAGGCAATAATGGGGGATGAATCATGTGTACACGAATGGGGCATCTGCTATGACTCAACTCCTCTTCTCTTTTGCCGACATGCTATCCTTGTGCATCTCCTCATTCAAATCAAACCATTGCAAGCTAGGAGTGCAAGAGGCCTTCGGAGCGTCAGACTGAGGCCAATTTCGACGTCGGCGGGGGTGGTACGCGGCGAGGCAGCAAAGGCATCCTGGAAGTCACCCCGGACGAGGCCCGCATTGTATCTGGCAAACAAAGCCCCCGCCCGCCGGACTCGAATCCCGTCGGTACTAGCGCCAGAGACTCGGCCGCCGAGTGTGGGGGTGGGGGCCATGGATACGAGAGAGCGAGCGGTTGTCTGCCAATGACGACGAGTCTGGCTCTATTGACCTGGACTGCCGCGTACGGGTCCGCCTCAGGGCTCGGGGCAAGTGAGGTTGTTACGAGGTGTCCGGGGGGGGAGGGGAGGGACAACCACCTCGATGAAGGATCGTATCACGGGTTCGATGAAGCACCGGGTGGCCGGGGTGGAGGAATTGGGTGAATCGGATGCCGTATCTTTCCGTACCTTGTTGGCCCTGGTAGCCAAAGCTGGTAAAGGATACGCGACAGGCCAGGTCAGGTCAGGCCAGGCCAGGCCCAGCCAAGCGCGGATATATAATCCCGACCCCTGGCATTATGCGGGCGCTTGGGGATGGATTTGGAGCGCGGCCAACAAGGAGTCCAGCACAACTATCCCCTCAATCTCTGTCCATTTCACTGTTTCAACAGCGCGCTAGAAATATATGGTGGGGGAAGGGGGGCGGGGAGGGGATATATGACTCCTTCGGGAGAGGTACCCAAGGGGTCGGACCCCTCGTTCCCGCAGCATGTGCGTAGGCACGCAACTGGGGTGCCGGTGTAGGTATAAGTGTTCTACGGGTATTAGTTCGTTGTCTACATGCAGCCTTGCTGACGCAGTAACAGCCAATGACTTTCTGCGCCCACCATCCTCGCTGACGCGGTGGCAGCCAATGGCTTTCTTGCGTTCGCCATCGGTACATGCAGCCTTGCTGACCCAATGACGGCCAATGACATTCTGCCTTCACCATCAGCACACGCAAGACGATGTACGGATATACGGACCTAGTGGAGTCTCGAGGGGGGGAACAGACTGGGCTGGGCCATCTCGGCGGTTCTCGATGCATCATGATTCATGGTATTCGTGAAGCACGATGTAGAAAACGTGTCGCATGACTCGGGTCGGATGCCACCTACCTACCTCGGGTCTCGTCCAGTCAGTTGGCTTGTATACATGCATACAATGCATACATACATGCATGCATGCCTCTTGAGTACGATGTGTTACGGAAGGGGGTGGGGGGTAACACGTGTAAGGCGGCGTACGGACGGCGAGGATACGTGCACCGGGCTCGCTAAGCCCTGCCGTCTCCACACAAACGGTCGGCGTGCGTCTGCAAAAGTGCGAGGCCCCACATGCACCAAACCCCCCGCCGCTTGTTATCGGGGAGGGCTCGGCCGAACGGCGCCGAATAGACATCTAACACCTGGTCTGGGATACCGAACAAAGCTCCATTGGTGACTTAGACGCGCCGACCAACTTCGCCCGCCTCTTCGCCCGAGGGAGAAGGGGCTCGGGTCGCTCGCTCGCTCGCTCGGGCCATGAGGCTGATTCGGATATCCAGGATGACGACGGAGACGCTCGAGTTCTCACGGCCTTGGTGGAAGCCGCGGGGCCTGCGACGACCTTGATGTGGCACCGCCAGCCTCGTCGGTCCGGCTTTGTCATCTGGAAAAGTCCCTCTTCATAGTTGGGGATTGGGGGCACGATTCCTAATCACAACGTCCTGGTTGCGAAACAAGATACAAAAAAAAAAAAAAAAACCGAAAACACCACCGCGTCTTGGTTTAGGAAACGAGTTGCGAGGCAGCGCGGCCGGACCAGACGCCTCGCGGCACGCTCAATGTCCGGGCGACTTTTAACCGCCGCCGGCTGCAGTAAGACCCGCGGGACCACGATATCTGAAGGGTGAAGGGGGGGCAGATCAATTTGGGGGCAAGCAGACTAGTCCGCTACCACCTGAAGGACTTCAGCTTTGCTTGCCAAGGCATGCAAAGACGGTCCCGGCCGTGCCCACACGCATTCCGCCGAGGCATTCTCTCTCTCTCTCTTTCTCTATCTTTGACCCCAAGTTGATGCAAAACCCCACCTGGCAGAACCCCCCGCCCCCCCCTAAATTCCAAGCACAGACAAGAGGTTGTCGTCGTGATGGTATCGTCGTTCCGCATAAACGACGACAATGTGTGTGACCCGAGGGGGCGGGCTCGGGGTTGTGATGCTTTGGATCCGGCTTCGTCTTCCGCCAAAGACTCTCAACTCACTATGAGACCGTCCTCGAAATGGCCACTCTATTCTGCTACAAAAACCACCTTCTCACTCACATCTAATAGGTTATACGACAACCGCCACCCTCATACCCTCACATGTCCTCCTCCTCCTTCTTCTCAGTGCCTTTCAGATCACCATCAACGTAATCCAAGCACCCCGGCTCGTTCACCATGAAGACTTCCTGTCATCGCTCAAACCGGCGCCCGCCGTGACCACCACAGCCGTCCTCACAGTCGGCCGCTCCCCGTGCCCGTCAGCCCCCCGACTTGTTCCCTCACGCGCCTCCGGGGGGCTCTGCGAGCGACTTCACATTTTAGAACACGACCAACGGCAACTTAGCCTACGTGAGCGACGTTCTTGCAATGCTCAGTCTTCTGCTCTTACGCGACGAGCAGCGGGCCAGCCCCCATCATCCAGCGGACCATCACCTGGGTCGCTTCCTGCGCCTTCGGCGCGCAGGTATACAACCTCTGACCGCTCCAGGCGTGGATCGGCGACCTCGGCTTTGGCGGCACCATCTCGACTCCCGTCCGGGGTTTCGGGGAGGAACGACCGCCTGGGCGCCAAGGACGACATGTCGTGCCAGGACCGCGAGCCTCAGGTAGGCGACAAGATCGACGCCACCTGGGTGCATTTACGTCCCCTGCCTTGGTACAGGTCTGCCGGGAGACTGGCCAATGGAGGGGGCCGCCGGTCTCAGAGGGCGGCGAGGTGATGAAGGGTTGCACTCGATAGCCCCGTTAGGTTTTCCAAGCATAAAAGTGCCGGAAAGCTGTCAAATGTGATATACCAAGGCCTTCTTTCTTCATGTATGTGCAATAAGGCTTCAGCCTTGAATTACACTTGGCTCGTCTAATCACCCCGTCTTACCCGTGGCGGCTTCACGCGCGCAACTGGCGCTTGGCGCTAACAAGTTCCGTCATTGGTCGCAGCGATTGATTGATCACTTTCCTCATCCTCTTGAGTGGGGGTTCAGGGTCTTGAGTCGACATGGAGGTTAGATGGTTTGGGACTTTTGTTTCTGCTGTGCCGTTCGTACCCTCAATACTGCTCTCTCTCGCCGCCTCTTCGCGGCGAATTGAACGATCAGACTCGTAGGTTTCCTCCTCCATAGCTTGTTGATCGTCCTTTTTGGGAGGCCTTTTGGGTGGCTCTATAGGAGTGTGATAATATTGGGGGGGGGGGGGGGGGCAAGCGGCTGACAGCCCTTTGAGATTCAGAGGGCCTAGGATTTGGTTCATGTACGAGACCATCCGGGAGGTTTGTAGGTCTCTCGGGCTGGGTTTCCGAGGGAGTGGGGTCTCTCTCCCTCTCCGTGTTTGTATTGCACCGGCAGGTTGCTCATATCCAAATGAGAGGCGCTGTTGGACCGTCGAAATTTGGTGGGATGAGAACTACAGTGTTTTTTACGGGAGATCGTATATACAGGGATAAACAAGATACGAGGTCGGCAATAAGCAGGGAGTGGATGGGGGCGGTTTGTGTGGTCTGCGTTAGCAGACATTTCCCACGTTCTCTAGGTCGCTTGTTGGGAACCTTGATAGTGGCTTTGACCTAGCCCTCTGAGTACGAGTATGACTCACGAGTAGAAGAGTCTCTTGGAAAGGCGAACGGAAAAGGGATGAGGGGGAGCGGGTGACTCTTCGTGTATTCGTGGCGAGAGAGAGGTGTCTGTAGATGGAGACTGGAGCACGGTTGCGCTGCCGAATGGATGGTTTATCTTTTCTTTTCCTTCTTGCCGAGTATGGGATGTCATAGATCCTCCATCGTAGAGAGTCTCGTATACGCTGGTTCGACGCATAAGCTCTTTCAGAAGATTGGCATCCTCGGTCCAAGACAGAAATCGATAACCATTTAGCTCGCAAGACATCCAGCCGTACATAGCAGAACATGCCTGCGAGATGATGATGTGAGAGTATACACAATCCCCGGTCACTGGTGGCGAAATGTGACCTTTGATGGCATATGTTTCTCGTGCATGGGCACTCGGAAGCGTGCAGGCGGCTTCCCGCACACACGTCTCCATACCAATGATCCATGAGGTATCCGGAACATTGGGAATAAAAAAAAAAAAACTTTTGGTTCTATGACATTATTGCAAAGAAGTATCTCGTTGAGAAGACGCGCGTTGTCGATGTCGCCCCGACTTGTTTGTGCCCTCGTTGTCCCTGGACCGAGGACGTGTGCTGTGTTTTCGAATCTTGCGTCGGCGTCTGTCCAGCCATTCGTCGTGGGCCGAAACGCCTTCCACCTCTTCCCCGGCATAGTTATACAGACCCATCGTCGGGGCCTTCTTTACCCCACACCAGATAGCGTTGCGCACCTCACATCTAGGCGGCGAATCGCTTCGCTCTGGCCTCCATTTTCGCCTTCTCGGCAGGATCAACGGCGGCGCTGCGTCTAGGTTCGCGATCGCCGCCGCCTTGACGACCACCAGGACGCCCGTTCCTGTTGCCCCTGCCGCGTTGTCCGCGACCATCGGTGCTCTGTCGCTTGGAGTTGCGTCCGGGCTGCTCGTCGGCGCGTTCGGGACGGCCGCGCTTGGGGCGCCTCTCGGGTAGGGCGGAATCGAGACCAGCGACACTGCCGACCTCGACACCGAACTTCTTCGCGCGTTCGGCCTTCTTTTTGGCCTCCTCGTCCTCGTCGATGCCGAAGCGCTTGGCGCGGTCGGCGCGCTTCTTGGCTTCTGCTGCGGCGTCGGTCGAATCGAGATTCAGGGCGAAGTTCTCCTTTGGCGCCTCGACGGCAGTCTCTGCAGCCTTGTCGGGCTCGTCTCCTTCGGCGGTTGTCGCAGCCTCGGGGGCGGCCTCTGGCGCAGCTTCAGCGGCGGGAGCCGCGGGCTCAGCTGTAGTAGGGGCAGACGCGTCGGCGGCAGGCTTGGAGGCTTCAGGGGCCTTGGCGGGCGCGGGCTCGTCGTCACTGTAATCAATTTCGTCCTCCTCTGCGGTGGCTGGGCGGGGGGGGATCATGTTAGCTTGCGATGAAGGTGAGGGCGCAATTGGAATCAATCGGGTGACGTACCAGGCGCGGCCTGCTTATCGTTCTCCTTGAGACGGTTGACAAGGTCCAGCTTGTTGCCCGTTGCGGGAAGACCTCGCTCCTGGAGCAACTTCTTGAGCTCGGGAACCTTCAATGAACTGTAGTCGGTAGCCATGTTTGCTGCGAAGATGCGATGGAGCGGCTGCGGGTGATTGATTGTTGGATTTGATGGATGGTTTCGGATGCGACAATGACGAGAAGGGATGCGCAGGCGGTTGCAGAGAAGAAATTGATGATGACAGGGAGGCGGAACGGGGCAGGCGGAGAGAAGGGGAAGGGGGGCTGTGGTGGTTGATGGATCACGGTCGGGGGGTTATGACGATCTTTCAAGCGCGTCGTTGCTGCTTTGGTTCACAGGGCGACAGATAAGCAAGCTTGGGGGAATGGAATTGGGGCGGTAAGCAGGCAGGCAGGCAGGGCAGGTACATGTACACTACCTTCATGCCTTCCCCGTCTCGCCTCGCTGGAACAGGAGTGGGTACGTACCTACCAAGCTCGTGCAGCTAAGCGAATATACAGGTACATAGTACATAGTAGGTATGGAAGCACGGACCAGGGCCTCCACAATGCGTCCGAAAGGGATGGATGAGCCGGTCGAGTGGCGTCGCTGTCGTGCATTTAGCTACCTTGACACTACTATGTACATAAGTAGGTACAGTGACAGTATTCCATCAAGTTCATCGGGTCTGGGTGCGCACTTGCGAAATATATAGTGCTGCTTGATAGGTATGATGGAATCGGTCTGGGGCTAAGCAACAAGGAAATCTCAACGACACTTCTTTTCGGATGCTGTGTCTCCATTCGTCAGAAGAGAGATAGATGGCGTTTCTTCTCATGTCAAGGGACGGGGTGTCGTCGAACTACGAATGCGAGTGTGTATGTATGTGTTCTTCTGGATGACGAAGAACAACCGTCTTTGTGTGTGTTGTACCCGTTTAGGGAACTGGCTCCGTCGAGGGTACAGTCAACTCGACTCGACTCGACTCCCAAGTAGCAGAGGTTCGAGGTAAGAATAGCCGGGTTGGTATATAATCATGATTCGCGGCAACAATCCTCTTGCCATCGAGTAAACTTTATGTGACAGCAACACTGTGCTGCTTGATATCCATATCCAAACATGGACCAAACTTTCAGGGAGTCGTGTTGCGCCGATGAGATAGTTAGAGTCTTGTGCGTGTGCAGTCGAGCCAAGCTCATCGTGGCAGCTGCTCATGATGGCTGGGTGTCACTGGATTGTTGAGGGACTAGGTAGCAAAACCTCAAATGGTGTTCAACTTGATCGGCACATGTATACTTCTGTCATCCCGAAGCGAGTTGGCTTGGTCGTACCTTCGTCTCGTCCCTCTCGATTGCTACGAGTGACTGGGAGTATGGCTGCGTGCCAAACTCAATTCGTAAATGACGCGCGTTCGTCGCGTGCTGAGTGACACTGACTGAGCGAGGAGAGGACACGAGGATGGTTCTGGACCCATATGTGCCGATGTTGCCTGTACATTGCAGCAGGTATGTATGTATTCACAGGCTTCAGACCGAGCCGTCCCGGGCACTTCCGCAGGCAGCATGCATCGTACATTCGGCGGCGGGCCGGCGGCACACACACACACACACACACACAATCGACATGGAACAAAGAAGCCGACCGATAATGGCATGCGCATGACATTGACGTTGAGGCTACCGCTCAGACCGCTTTGCCGTCGCAACTCGGCCCGTGTCAACTCGACATGATGCAGCCTGCTCGGCAAACGGCAAACGGCAAAAGCGGCAGACGGCAGACCATAATCACCGGGGCACACACACCACGGCCATATGGCATATGGCACGTGCCAAATGGCTCTCCGCTTCCGCCCCCCTCTCCGTCTCCAGCGATCATCCCCCCTATCCTACTGTAGCTTTGCGATGCAAATGAAACCTTGACAACCTAATCGTAACTACGTACTGCGTACATACCCTTGCGGCCCACTGAGTGCGCAAGACAAGCACAGGCGAACAAACGTACCTTGGTACCTCTGTGAAAAGCGAAGGTGTTGGTTGCTACCCCGGATTCCGAGGGCGGCTCCACCCAAACGGGTCTCTAACGTCGAGGTATCGGCCGACACGATCCTCTCGCGCCTGTTTTTTTTGCTCACTTTCCCCAAAACCCTCCTCCCCCTGTCGCCCCTGTTGAGCTGTCTTTCGAGCTGACAACAAGGCTCTCTCTCCCACGCCGCGCCACCCGCAAATCAACCAACTATTCGCTTTTGTATACCCCATCTGCGGGCCATGGTATGGCCTAGACAGTAGCTTGTATCAGGCTCGTCCGAGCCGATTATTCGTGTTCGTCTGTCTTCCCTTAAAACCCATCCTCCGTCATCTACTCTCCCCTCCCGAGTCGCCACGAACACCCTCTTTCCCCTCCGCCTTGCGACAACCTCAAAAGTCGCCCAGCATGACGCGACGCATAGTAAGTCATGTGCTCCGACTCTATCCAAGCCTGGGAAGACCCACTGACAATGCCTTTTCCTAGGTACGGACGATAATCCAGCTCACCGCGGTAACGCTGCTGACCTTCCTCGTCGTCTTCTTCCTCGACCGCAACTTCCGAGTCCTCCCCAAGTCGATGCACCACTACATGCCTCAGCACCACCACGGCCTGATCATTACCGACATCACAGTGACCAGATGCTCCACCCTCAACGTCTTCTCCTCGTGCAACCTCGATACCGACAAGTGGCACCGGATCGAGAAGGACCTTTACCTGGGCAAGTCATGGACGACGAGCGCATACGTACACGTCGCACGCAAGAAGGAAGATGAGCTGCTGCCAGAAGACAAGGTCGTCATGGACGTCTCCGTCGGACGGCTCGACCCGACCACGACAAAGAAGGGCGAGGAGGACGAGCGGTGGGAGAGCCGGCCGTACGGCCTGTGGGTGAAGCGATCGTCCAACCAGAAGAACAGCGACTCCAAAAAGGCCGTCACCGGCATCGACGTGCTCTTCGGCGACGATGCGGTCGAGGCCCGCGACGGCTGGGAGATCACCGGCACCGCCCTGCTCCTCCCTCCCAATCAGGACGTCCCCGTCACCCACATCACCCTGCGAAGAGGAAGCCAGAAGGAACCCCACAAGCCGCGACCGCGGATCCCCGAAAACGGCCGCTTCAAGATTGTCCAGCTCGCCGATCTCCATCTCAGCACTGGCGTCGGAAAGTGCCGCGACGCCATGCCCGAGGGCCACAACGGCGGCGTGTGCGAGGCCGACACCAGAACGCTCGACTTCGTCAGCAAGATCCTCAACGAGGAGAAGCCTAACTTGGTCGTGCTCAGTGGAGACCAGGTCAACGGAGAGACCGCGCCCGATGCACAGTCGGTGAGTTTGGAGATGCTGGGACGGACGGGGTGGGGCGCGAGCTAACAAATGACAGGCCATCTTCAAAATTGCCCAGATCCTGATCAAATTGAAGATTCCCTATGTTTCAATCTTCGGTAACCACGACGATGAGGGATCGCTTCCTCGGTCCGCCCAGATGCAGATCTTGGAGTCCCTCCCGTATTCCCTGGCCAAAGCCGGGCCCGAAGACATTGACGGCGTCGGCAACTACTACGTCGAGGTCTTTGCTAGGGGCAAATCGGACCACTCGGCACTGACACTGTACATGCTGGATTCTCACTCATATTCGCCAGACGAGCGCAGGTACCACGGCTATGACTGGATCAAACAGAACCAAATCGACTGGTTCAAGACGACGTCCACCAGTCTTAAGAAGACGCACAAGGAGTACAGCAAGGTTCACATGGACCTGGCCTTTATACACATTCCACTGCCTGAATACAAAGATGCCGAACTCGCCCTCAAGGGCTCGTGGAAGGAGGGTGTCACGGCACCCAACTACAACTCGGGCTTCCGGGATGCCCTGGTTGAGCAGGGCGTCGTCATGGTCAGCTGCGGCCAGTAAGTTTTCTTCTCTTTGCATTCCTCTCGGCCAATCTTGAAGCTCTTTACTGATGCAGGAAAACAGCGACCACGTAAACGACTACTGCTCCCTTTCTCTAGACAGCGAGAAGAAGCCCGCGCTCTGGATGTGCTACGCCGGTGGCGCGGGATTCGGCGGGTACGCAGGCTACGGCGGGTACCACCGCCGGATACGCGTTTTCGAGGTCGACACCAACGAGGCTCGCATCACTACCTGGAAGCGGGTGGAATGGGGCGAGACCGATAAGAGGATCGACGAGCAGATGATTGTCGACGCAGGCAGCCCTATCGGCATCAGAGAATAGAAGGCATGACAGGACTCTCTATTATATCTCATCTCATTTCAGAGAAGAAGAAAAAAAGAAAACACCAAAATACGGAAAATATGGAGTTTTGGGCAGGCGCCGACCGGTGTTTGGGTTTTGGTTCAGCAGCAACAAGAGTCCCGGTGTCAGACTCGAGGTATTTTATTGCATGTATTTCTTGGCTCTGTGGAAGTGGGTTGACACGGCAGCAAGATGATGGCCGGGGCGTGGGCTGGTGCGGTGCTGGATCGTGTCTGTGTACATGTATCAACTGTTAGAAAGATGTAAACGGCCTCTTTGACTCACCCATGTCCTTGTCCTTTCGACGGCGGGCAGGATTCTTGGCATTCGACCGAGAGATCCGTATGGCATCGCACTCGAGATCAACTCATGCAGGCACAGGGATGACGAAATCGCTAGGGAACTACGGTTAACAATGATTGAGCACAATGTGCTCAGGTCGCTGCTCCCTGCTCTAGCCTCGCCGTGTGGGTTAGACCAACTTTGCGAAGATGGTTCTCGTGCAAGCATCGTTTTCTATGTGAGCCTGCCGACAGATGCCTGCCTACCTACCTGCCTACCTGCATGAGGTGATATACGACCAGGGTCAGGCATTTTCTTCAAACTGAGCCAATGACGAGTACGCCCCTCCGATTCATCCGCCAGCTCTCCAATCCCGTCCCCCGTCTTCGTCGCCGCCGTCCCGCGTGTATTCAACGACCGCGGCAAAGATTGAATGGTAGCAGTAGCGGACCGTGCGATAAGAAGGAATAGAACAAATGGTTCGAGAGCGACATAAGGAGCGGCAGCAGCAGAACCAGCAGATGCAGCAGTAACAGGAGTAGTAACAAGAGGAGATGCTGCAGCATAAGCACCACCACCGGCAGGAGCACTAAGGCCAGCAAGGGCCGGTGGAAGCAGCTCCAGAATAATATCTACTTTGGGATTGATCAGAACTTGCCTCCTTATGCAGACACAGTCGCTGCTGCTCTGTAATGGCTTTTGGCTTAACACCCGTCGCTTGATCCGGAGTCGGACAGCTCACAGCTGTTCGAGCAGCAGTTTTGCAACCTCAGAATCTACGAACCACCCCGTTGCAAACAGAGCCACAAGGGACTGAGATCAATGGCCAGGGTAGTTTGTCTCGGGGCCAGCCGGAGGATGCGGGATATGCGAGAGGATTCCGGCATCCCTGTACTCAATGTCGTGGCTGTTTTGTGTACATCCCTTTCTATTCGGTTACGAAATGCAATGGTGTTATTCTGGATGATGTTAAGACAGTTGACATGAGTGACCATGGAGATAATGCTATGGATTACTCTAGACCATGTGTGTTACTTGAGCCTACTTTATACAATACTCAGCGGGCGCCTAAGTGGCCTAATGCTTTACAAGTAGGAATATGTTTAGTCACGTCAATGTTCAACAGCCGGACGTCACGTAAAGCAAGAAGAAATGATGAGAGAAGCACAAATAGAACGCCGTACACATCATATGAAGGCGGCTTTAACATGGGGCGGGCATGGTTGCCGACGGGACGGGGCGCCACAAAGCTTGGCCACATACGGCGCCGGGCCGGCGGCATAGATGGTGTTGGAGCAAACAGTGCCGATCCAGCAGAGCGCTGTCAGAGGATGATGTAAAATCCATGTCTTTACGACAATTAACCGTAAGGAGCATCATGGCCACATGTGTTCGGAAACGCCATTGAGGCCATTGGGAGTCTTCTCACTCATATTGAATAGGTACCTAGGTAGACCTACCAAGTACAGGTACAGGGCGGGGCTCCACAGTCCGCAACCTGACCGTGGGGGAGGTGACGACACTTTTATGCCTTTTCGGATTTCTAAGCAAAAGCCCCGCGCGTCCTGTTCGTCGCAACACGCAGAGCCACGGCCGTGCGATGGAGGGGTCACGAGGGGTCACACTGACGGAACGGAAGCAACAACAGTTAGATGCAGCTTCCACGGGCATCCAGGCGGGTCCCCCCCTCCCTTCCGGATTAATAAGATAATGTCCACCTATCCTACCTAGTCGATATAATGGGGCAAGAAGCTCCAAGCTCAAGCTGCCTGATGAGTATTTAGAGAGAGGCAGGCCTTAGTCTCCATTTCCATTGCCATTGCCACTTCTGTGAAGCTGTCCAGAGTCTGTGACGACAACCTTCAACATCCACCATCCCCATTGATGACCTCTCGTCTCGCACAATTAGGCAAACAGATAATCAACATGGCTGCCAAGACCAAGACCGACATCCACCTGTACACCACCGGTACCCCCAACGGTATCAAGGTGTCCATCCTCCTAGAGGAACTCGGCCTTGACTACCAGGTCACCGCCATTGACATTTCCAAAAACACCCAGAAGGTTTGTCGGAAACATCCAGACCCTGGCTTGAACCCGCACACTGATGCACCGACCCACAGGAGCCGTGGTTCCTTGAGATCAACCCCAATGGACGTATTCCGGCCTTGACGGATACCTTCGAGGATGGCCAGCCCATCCGTCTCTTCGAGTCCGGCAGCATTCTGCAGTACTTGGTCGACCGCTACGACAAGGACCACAAGGTTTCTTACCCCTACGGCTCTCGCGAGTACTGGGAGGTGAACAATTGGGTATGGCCGGCCAACTTAGACGCACCGAGAGATTCGTGCCGCTAACGAGAACTGCAGCTGCACTGGCAGATGGGTGGCCTGGGCCCCATGCAGGGGTGAGTATCCTACCAGCCGAGATGCTTACGCAGGATGCTAACAGATTTGTAGACAAGCCAACCACTTCAAGCGTGAGAACACTGCCTGCCATGCCCATGAATAACGACATACTGACTGACACCTACAGGCTACGCCCCGGAGAAGATCCAGTACGGCATCGACCGCTACGTCAACGAGACGCGCCGCCTATACCGCACGATGGACACCCAGATCAAGGCCAACCCCCACGGCTACCTCGTCGGCGACCGTGTGACCATCGCCGACATTGCCTGCTGGGGCTGGGTCGCGGCCAGCAAGTGGGCGGGCGTCGACCTGGAAGAGTTCCCCGCGCTCAAGGCCTGGCTGTGGAAGCTCGCCGAGCGACCTGGCTTCGAACAGGGTCGTCACATTCCCACTCGCCATACCGCGCTTGACCATTACAGCATGAGTGATGAAGAGCTGGATGCGAAGGCTAAGGCTGCATCCGCGTGGATCCTCAAGGGCATGCAGGAGGATGCGGCGAAGAAATGAGAGGCCACACTGGGTAGCTCAGTATCAGAGACAAAGGTCCATCGCGAGATTAATAAACAAAGTTAAAGCATTGAAATTCGGGCTTGATTGTAATCTAATGAGTTTATCTGGCATCTTGCCGCGCCCATTGTGTTGAGATAATGGCAAGGAACAGGTTGGCAGAAACATGTCAGATTTGAATCGCGCAGTTGGGGTAAGGGGTCATGAGTGCAGAGGGCAATTCCACTTACAACTTCAAATAAGAAGGTCCAGGTCGGTTAGCTCAGTTGGTTAGAGCGTGGTACTAATATTTCACCTGAAATGTTGTGTAATGCCAAGGCCGGGAGTTCAAGCCTCCCACTGATCACATATTTTGCTTGTGGGGTCGCATTTTCCTTCCACTTGTTGACCAATCAACTCGCTTTTTCTCCTTTGAGTGGCAATTCTTTTTTTGGCGTATAAAAAGCCTGAAAGCCTAAATTGGCGGTGCTGACTTTGCGGTTTTACATCACGTGGTAGGCACTGCCTCGGACCTCGCCAGCTGGTGGCAGCTGGTCTCGAAAAAGCTTGAGGCCAATGTTCTGTGTTCAGTAGGTACTCTTCTCGGTACCTCTGCAGCTCTACCTAAACTTGCCAGTCCCATATAAAAGTCCATTTCCTCCTTCATCGCGAACCCGAAATCGCCATCACACTCCATCCTCTCCATACCGACATCTTGATAGCCATCGCGCAACAGTCAACATGTCGTGGAGAAGCCAGGGAATCACGGGCTCCAACAACATCCCGCTGGGCAAGCGCCGTTTTGGTGGCGATGATGAGGAGTACCCCCAAGATGCCCCCCCCGACAGCAACGGCAATGGCGAGTTGAAGCGTGGTCGTAGCCCTGAGCCTCGTAAGTCCACTCTCGCTTGTGCCACTCATCAGCGCCCATCAGATCCTGACTTTGCGTGTGTCTAGGTACCGATGCCGATGGCCCTCGTCGCAGAAAGAAGCGAAACCGTTGGGGCGACGCGTCGGAGAACAAGGCTGCGGGATTGATGGGGTTGACCACTGCCATCACGGCCAACATGACCGGCGAGCAGTTGGAGGCCTACACCCTCCATCTTCGCATCACGGAAATCAGCCAGAAGCTTCGCATTGACGACGTCGTCCCCGCGGATGGAGACAGGTGTGCTTGCTCCCCTTTCCAGCTTCGCGCAATGCCTTTACTGACCGTCCCCTCTTCCTCCAGATCCCCCTCTCCTCCTCCGCAATACGACAACCATGGTCGCCGTATCAACACCCGCGAATACCGCTACCGCAAGCGCCTCGAAGACGAGCGTCACAAGCTCATCGAGAAGGCCATGAAGACCATCCCTAACTACCACCCGCCACAGGACTACCGCAGGCCCACCAAGACCCAAGAGAAAGTCTACGTGCCTGTTAACGATTATCCAGAGATTAACTTCAGTATGATTGCTAACCCTCTAACCCTCCTAACCAAAATTCTTGTTTCCCTTGTTCCCCTGCCTGGACTCTGGCCAAGCTTGTCATGCATCCTCCAGGTGTCTTGTCAGACCTGGCCTTGTTTGGAGATCGGGACCGTCATAATTGCTTCACCATCTTGATACATGTACTAACGCTTAGCTCTCCTCGTAAAGTTGGCTTACTTATCGGACCCCGTGGCAACACCCTGAAGAAGATGGAGTCAGAGTCTGGTGCCAAGATTGCCATTCGTGGCAAGGGCTCCGTCAAGGAAGGAAAGGGGCGGTCGGACGCAGCTCACGCTAGCAACCAGGAGGAAGACCTCCACTGCCTTATCATGGCGGAGACGGAAGAAAAGGTCAACAAGGCCAAGAAGCTCATCCACAATATCATTGAGACGGTACGTATCCCCTCCCCCACAACGCCTGCACCTACAACTGCTAACTGTGGTCTTTACCAGGCTGCTTCCATACCCGAAGGCCAGAACGAGCTTAAGCGTAACCAGCTCCGTGAGCTCGCTGCCCTCAACGGTACCCTCCGCGACGATGAAAACCAGGCCTGCCAGAACTGCGGTCAGATCGGCCATCGCAAGTACGACTGTCCCGAGCGGCAAAACTACACTGCCAGCATCATCTGCCGTGTCTGTGGCAACGCTGGACACATGGCCAGAGATTGCCCCGACCGACAGAAGGGTGCTAGCTGGCGCAACGACGGTCCCGGCAGTGGTAGAGGTCCTGTCGGCCGCATTGGGAGCGGAGACGCCGTCGACCGCGAGTACGAGGTATGTACCTTGAGCACATTTTGTCGCCATGACACAACGCTAACCCAGCTACAGCAACTTATGCAAGAACTCGGTGGTGGTTCCTCCAGCGGTGCTGCCCCCGCACGCATCGAAGCCGGTCCTGGTTCCTACAACAACGGCCCTGGTGCTGGCGGCGGTGGCGGCGGCGGTGGCGGCGAAGCGAGGCCCTGGCAGCGCGGCCCTACCGGCGGTCCTGCTCCCTGGCGTAGTCGTAACAACGACTCGCGCGATGACCGCGACCGCGACAGTGGTGGTGGTGGCGGCGGCGGCGGCGGCGGCGGCGGTGGTGCCGCTCCATGGGCTCGCGACCGCAACCGCCGCGATGAGCAGGCCGGTGGTGACAGCTACTATGGTGGCGGCCAAGGAGGCTATGGTGGCCAGGCAGCCGCGCCCGCTGCTCCGGGTGCTGCCCCTTGGCACCAGCCCCCCGGAACCCAGAACGGCTATGCCGCCTACGGTGGCTACCCCGGGTACGGCGCGCCGCCCGGCATGGCGGCACCTCCGAGCATCCCTCCTCCTCCACCAGGTGGTCCTGGTCTCGGAGCTCCTCCGGGCCTGGCTGGTGGTCTCAACGCACTCATCCAGCAATACGCCGGTGGTGCGCCGCCGCCGCCTCCCTCGGACAACGCACCTCCTCCTCCTCCCAGCGACCTGCCCCCCCACCTCCCCCCCCTGGTGCCTGATCTGGATTCTAGGACTTGAGCGGACGGTCCTAGGACTAACGTGGATTCTGAAGACATGCTTTCGCTCGAACAGGTTGAAGACTAACGATCAACTAACAACCAAGGATTCATTTCATGACTTCCAGGGTTGGACAAGTGTTCGTACCTACCTACCTACCTATCTACCTACCTACGTGCGATGTAGCGTTTGCATTCCAGAACTGTTTGCAGGGCTGATGAGGGCGGGTCCGGGTGTCGCTTCACTTGGAAACAGAGACCCAGAAACAGCACACAAACTCAAACAAATTGTATGATAGACGGGGAACTGAGTGGTCACTAATCCATAGGCTTTCTTTGTGCATTATACGTAGCAAGAAGTTTATCCTATTTCATGTTCATTTCAGCGTGTACCACGTGAAGCCGATCGTGACCCCCCTCTCCTAGGTATGGAGCTCGGGACGGTGCACCTCTCGAAGTTGGATCCGAGTCCATAGGGGGCGGATTTGTGCCATGGTCAGCTGCCTAGTTCTGGGTGACGGCGTGAGTAGCAGCAGCAGCTGGCGAGTCGAGTGGTGAAGGTGAAACCAGTCGCAAGTTCCCGCTGCATGAGTTAGTTCCGCTATCGATGACATTCTTCGTGCAGGCTGTGTAGGCTGTGCAGGTTGTGTTGTGGGGTAAGTACAGTGGGTAGACGCATTACGGATAGTGTATCCGTAGACAAGAAGCTTGGGCCACCTTGTCGCGCGCGCATCATCCTCGGCCAGGAAGGAGCATTGATTCTGTCCCAGATCTGGTATGACGCCTTACGCCTTCTTCATCCCATCTCCTCTTCTTTCTCTTTCCCTCTCTCTTTCTCCGTCACCCGTCAGCACAACCTTGTTGCCCTTCACCTCTTCCCGACTCCGCCGCCGAGCTCGCTCGTTTCTTCTGCGAAACGGCTACCTTCATCTCCTGCCGTGGGAGTTTTAAACAGTCCCCGGGCCAAAGCTTGTACAGAGCACCTATCTTCCTACCTATCTCTTATCAGTCAGTATCAAGCATTCACTATCCGACCTTATCTGGGCTTTTGAGGGACGCCCCCCAATACACCCTCTGCGCACCCCTCCGCTGAGCTGAACCCCGGCCATTTCCGCCACCACACTCGGCGACTAAGCACTTAGACTCGTAGCTGTCTGTTTCTGCAGTCTTCCTCAGCGTCCAATCGACCTCAACGTCGCGATCCCTGAACAATAAACCAGTAACGGCAACCCAGTGACGGACGACACTCTGGGCCGCTACACTCACCCGACCGCCTACCGTAGCACTCGGCCGCAATGGCTGTCAAGAACCCTTTTGGGTTTACGACGGGCCCCGTTACTTTCTGGCTGATCGTCGTCTACGCGGCTTTTCTGATCCCCCTCGTATGGATACACGAGTCTGTCCCGGCTGTCCCTAGCAGCAGCAAGAATCCTTATCCACAGCTCAACGTAACCGAGGCCTGGCAGGACTTGACGCACATCACCAGGAAGTACCACCCTTACAACAGCCGTGCCAACGATGAGGTGGGCGCGTACTTGATGAAGCGGATCGAGGAGATCCTGGTTCGCAACAAGGTTGAGTACACCAAAGAGAAGGATGCTGGCGGCGTCATCTGGCCCCAGGAAGCTTAGTAGGTGTTTGCCGTGCATGGCTACCTCGTGGCATGGAGCATGACTGCTAACCAAGCATTCTCGCAGTGATGCACCCGCCCCCGCGAAACGAGACTTGCAACGCCGCGCTTCAAAGGGACCTGCAGTTACCATCTTTGACGACACAATATCCAACACCACCTATCTTGGCACATCGGGCTCTTTCAACCAAGCTGGCGCTTATGGTACCTACTTTGAGGGCACGAACAAGTTGGTCTACATTCGCGGCACGTTCGATGAAGACGGCGAATGGTGGAATGGCAAGCGCGATCCCCGCAAAATTGGTCAGGGCGGTGTTCTCGTCAATGCCCACTACGACTCGTATGTTTTTTTCAGCCCATAAGCTTTTGGCTATTAACGAACCGACAGTGTATCCTCTGGCTACGGGGCGACTGATGATGGCATGGGTTGCGTAAGTATCCTGCAGATCCTCAACCATTATACCACCCCTGGCTATCAGCCCATGCGTGGAATCGTACTGCTGCTCAACAACGGCGAAGAAGACGGTCTGTATGGAGCCAAAGTCTACCACTACAGCCCTCTTTACTACTTCACCACCTCGTTTGTGAATCTTGAGGGCGCTGGCGCCGGCGGACGTGCCATTCTTTTCCGAACGACGGACCTGGAGGTCACCAAGGGTTATGAAGGCGCGCCTCACCCCTTTGGCTCTGTCGTCGCGGCAGACGGATTCAAGCTCGGTGTCATCAGAAGTGAGACGGACTATAAGGTATGGACTGAATCCTATGGCCAGCGCGGCCTAGACATTGCATTTTATCGCCCCCGAGCACGATACCATACGAACCAGGACGATACCCGCCATGCGTCGCAGGAAAGCTTGTGGCACATGTTGTCCAACAGTTTGGCGGCCGTCGACAACCTCCAGCATACCACGGGCCATTTCAGCGGTAACAGAAATGACGGAGACAAGAAGAAGGTTGCGAGCGGTTCCGGCACGGACGGCGTGTGGTTCGATATGTTCGGAACTGGCTTCGCCATCCTAGAGCTCCGAGGCCTGTTTGCCTGGACGCTGACTCTTCTCATCGTCTCTCCGCTGGTTCTGGCTCTGGTCACCTATATTCTCTCTAGGAAAGACAAGTACTATTTCTTCTCGCGCAAGGTCAAGGCCGATGAGGACGATGAACCGGTGTCTATCGGAGGCTGGAAGGGCTTCTTCCGGTTCCCCCTGGCTTTGGTCCTTTCGGGCTCAATCACGGTTCTCTCGGCCCTTTTGATTAGAAGGGTCAATCCTCACATCATCTACAGCAGCCCCTACGCGGTGTAAGTCATGACATTTTCCTCACTCTGTGTGCTGACAATATACTGATTCGTGACAACAGATGGGCAATGACCCTGTCTCTGTTTTTCCTTATTTTCTGGACGATCGCAAAGGGCGCCAGCGTTGTCAGGCCGAGCGCCCTCCAGCGCGGGTACGCCCACATCTGGTTGTTCGTCATCAGCTGGGCCATCCTCGTTGTGGTCACTGCCGCTGCCGACAGATTTAAGATAGCTTCGGGCTATCCCTTCGCATTCTTCCATTCCGCCGTCTTCGTTTCGGCATTCATCAGTCTCTGCGATCTTTTCGCGCTTCCTAGCAAAAAGGAGTTTGCGCGGAACGCCCACAACGATCAGCAAACTAGGGATAACATATCCGAGGTCCCCAACTCGGATGCGCTGATATCCTCCCGTCACTCTCATGTGGAAGACGATGTCGCAGAGGAGCCGACAGAGACTACACCTCTTAGGAGTGGCGAGAACGGGAATGGAAATAATGGTACCATCCGCACGACATTTGCTACGACCTACAGACGCTCGCTCTCAGCTATCATGAGAACCCCTGACGAAGAAGAGAACAAGGAAACGGAGCAGCAGCCTTATGACCACGAGCAGCAGTGGTCAGCCAAGCTTCCTTCCTGGACCTGGTTTTTCCAACTCCTTCTGCTTGCCCCAATCATTATCACTGTTTTCCTTCAAATTGCCCTCTTCATCGTCTCAGCGATCCACTCGGCCGCCGCCGATGGCAACGACCCAATCCTAGTATACGCGGCAATCGCTGCGTTTAGCATCATCATTCTTCTGCCTGCCACGCCCTTCATCCACAGGGCTAGCTTCTATCTCCCCCTGTTCCTGCTTTTGGTCTTCTTCGTTACTCTCATCTACAACCTGGTCGCGTTCCCCTTCTCCGCAGAAAACCGTCTGAAAGTTAGGTTCCAACAGACTGTTGACTTGGACGAGAAGACATCGGTGATTTCCATCACCGGCCTAGAGAAGTACACTCGGAAGATGATTGCAGAGCTCCCCTCTGGAGCAGGCCAGCCCGTCAACTGTACACCTGGGTATGGGTTGACATCTGATTGTCGATACAACGGTGCGGCTGTGATGCCAAATCTGCCCCAATTCACCCACGCCCTATCTGCCGATGCGTCAAAGGACAGGTACGCCAATCTCGTGACTGTCAACATTAGCCGTTCGAACTCGAGCAGCAAATTGGAGTTCGGGATTGATGCGGCAGAGTCAAAGGTTTGCAATTTGGCCTTTGACACACCGGTGTCGTTCAATGTCCGCGGCAGCGCTGGAATAGACCCCATCTTCAGCCGGCCCACCGAACAAGGCGTGCGAATGCTTACCCTTTGGCGCAGAGACGCGTCAATCCCCTGGGTAGTCGACGTCGAACCAATTCAAGCCAAGGCCGTGTCAGCTGGCGTTCCAGCCAAATCCAGCGGTTCTGACGCCTGGGCCGTTCCCGAAGATCTGCGCGTTCGAAAGTCGGCTGAACTGAGTGGGACCATCGCATGCCAATGGAGCGATGCCAACGTCCTGGGGACCATCCCGGCGTTCGATGAGGCCCTGCAGTTTTCCCCTGACTGGATCGCCGTCACTAAGGCATCTGTGGGTCTAGTTGAGGGGCAGAAGAAGTTCCGGGGTTGAGCGTCCTCGGCGTCGTTGAACCATCGCCACGGTTTCACCGGGCACCCGCGACCCACGAAGTAGGTGTACAAGAGTCGGACTTTCGCAAGTACACGGGAAGCGGAGGTCGAGATAATGTTTATTTGTTCGGTACGATGCTTTGATACTTTATTGCGACATTGTTTTTGTTCATCGGCCGGCGTTCTTGGTAGTACGGCGGCATGCTTTCTGCATCTCGGTTCAGCGGCATGCTTTCTGCATCTCGGTTCAGCATCAGAATGCGCATCATGGGGCACGACATAATAACTGGTGGCTAGGCTATGGACGAGGCTCGAGAGCATAAGTAAGCAGTATGAATTAAATGTCATTCGTTATGGGGAAATAATCCCCGCGCATACACAAGCAGGAACTGGCCTGTAGAGTCTTTGGTTCCATTGGTTCTTGGTCCTCGCGACTCGGTGTGAGAATGATGAAAGAGGGAAGGGTGGTGGGTATCTATCTATCTATCGGGTGAATTGTTCTGTGATTAGTCAGTTGGTTGAAAGAAGAAGAAAAAGAAAGAGCACCTGCTCAAAACACTTACTCGGGCTATTTCGCCCATCGTCGTTTTGTCTTGTCGTCGTAGGACGGCGTCCGCCAGTATATCCGGCTGCTAGATCTTTCTTGTTTTACGTCTCTCAATGTACGCCTAGGTGTCACGATGGCGAGCCTCACTGCTGCATCCTATCACCCTCTCCGTCGGCTCCCAGCTCCTGCGCGTGATACCTCTCGAGGAAGTCCCGCATCTTGGCCCACAGCTCGGCCTCCATGTCGCGCTCGACCTTGTTGTTGCGGCTGTTGAGCCAGCCGACGTCGAGGTTGCCGATGGTGCCGACGCCGTTGGGCTCGAGGGAGGCCCTGGCGACGATCTTTGCGTCCTCGTTCATGACGACCTGGCGGCCCCCCGCGGTCTTGTCGCCGCCGGCGCCGGGCCCGCCGTCTCCAGGACCGCCACCGCCGCCGCCGCTCCGGAGCTTGATGATGCCGGCCTCTTCGAGACCCATGATCTGGCGCTTCATGTGGACGTCGACGGCGTGCAGGGTGGAGAGGAGGGCGTCCATGGAGGACTGGAATGTTTGCTTCTGCTGCTCCGGGGTCACGTCCGGGCCCTGCTGGGCGCCGAGGGCGGACATGGCGGACGAGGTGTGGCGCATGAGCTGGACTGTGTTGGCGTCGATGTCGCAGAGCTGCTTGATGCGCTCCTCGAGGGTGAAGGGCTCGTCTGCGGCGGCGGCGGAGCCCGTCATTGTTGAGTCGGCCATCATGGCCGGGGTTTGTATTTTTCGTAAAACAAAACTTTGTGTCCCGATTGAGAGCGAGAAGAAGCGCACGCAGGCTGCTGAGGAGACGATTTTGTTCTCGCACGATGAAGGAAGCCCCCCCAGCCGGATGATGCTTTCGATGAGTGAGGTTCTGAGTGATGAGAGTGAGTGAGTGAGCTTGGGCCAGGTGAGCCCGAAAAGGTACACGATGTGAGGTACCGCGTCTTTTGGAGGGGGGGGGGGGATGTGGATCCCAAATTGTCGACGGGTTGAAGCTTTCTCCCAATCACCGAGGCGGAAAGCACAAGAGCTAGTCCGTTGTGGGATTAGTGTGTGTCTCCTCTGGATATTTTCCGCCCGCGCTTTTCGGCCGCCTTTGCAGCCTTGCAGGGGGACGGACCATCAAGCCTCATTTCATCGGGTTCCGGACGCGACACATCAACGACTTTCCATCGATTTTCATCTCCATTTCAAACTCGGCTCGCGTCTTTCACTCGAGGAGACTCATTTCTCGCCAGTTTCACTCAAGACGACGCGACTTGGCTGGGCCCTCGAAACTTTTTTTTTTGTTTAGACCTCGACGACTCGAGGACGGCGGCGGCTCTCACCTTGTCTCTCATCCGACGGCTTTCACGATTATGGACCGTCAGTCATAAAGGGGCGCAAACAGTATAGTCGAATTCAAAAATCCGGGAACGAATCCGGCCCCCTACTTGTATAACACAGCTCGAAAAAGGGACCGTGTAGGGAGGGAACAGCGATGTCGGGAAACCCAGGCCAGCCTGGTGCGAGCAGCACCACCCCAGGCGCCCCTGGCGCCAGCGCAGGCGCGGGCGCGTCGGGCTCCTTTTCACAGCAGCAGCAGCAGCAGCAGCAGCAGCCTGCGACGACGACGCCCGGCGCTGGTGGTGCCGCTCCTGCCCCTCCTCCTGTTACCCAGACGCCCATCCCGCCTCCCACGACGGCGACGGCGCCGGCGCCGGCTACCGCGCCCATGTCGAACCAGAATCTTAACCAAATTGTAGGTGCCTCTTTTGTGCTTTCTTCCTTTCTTTTTGCTGTATGTATATGACGGTCGTGTGGCAGTCGTTTCCGGTGATGGCTCGTGGTGGAGATGTTGGTGTATCTGGGTTGAGAGTATGCCTGTCGGATCTCTTGGTGATGGGTGGCGATGGGCTGCTGCTCCCGCAAAAGGAAGCTTCATATTGTGCAGGAAGGGAGAATCTCCGTTTAGCGCCTTCCGAAACGATTGAAGCAGCCGAGTTCCCATTATCTACTGCCGCTCCAACTTCACCCTTTACCCTTCGCCAACAGCTCTTTCCTTTTGCGAGACGCCCGCCATCAAGGACGATGACAACGTTGAATCCTCGACTCGCGCTGAGAGAGCACGGCAATGGTGGAAACAAATATGTTGATTTCCGATTGTTTTGCTGCGCAAAATGGCTGACTCTTCTAAGGTTACGGACTATTTGTTGAAGCGCGGCTACACGCGTACCGAGACCATCTTCCGGCAAGAGTCGTCACACTTGGGCCCGGATGGTCGGCCCATCCACAACAAGGTGGACGACCTTGGCCCGCGCAAGTATCTCAAGGCTTTCAACTTGCTGCGCGAGTGGGTTGAGAACAATCTCGACATCTACAAGGTAATCTCCACTTGTCGTCCCCTCTCTGCTACGGCTTCGCTAACCTCTCTCTCAGTTCGAGTTGAACAAGCTCCTCTGGCCCGTTTTTGTCTACTCTTGGCTGGAGCTGGTTACGCAGAACTATTCTGAAGAGGCCAAGAGCCTGCTCAACAAGCTCAAGCCGTACTTTGAGAATGTCCACTCGGATGATCTGAAGACATTCTCCACGATTACTCTTGCCTTGCACGCCAAGGAGAATCCCACAACCAAGCTCTACAGAGAGAACAAATATCGCATCCCTCTCAATCAGCACATCACTGGTAATCTCTTTCACTTCCTCGAGCGCGAGCGGGACAACGGTGGTTCCGTCATTCTCTACATCCTTTCGACCTTCTGCCACTTGGACTCTACCGCCCGCGGGCCAATTGAGCCTTTCAGCTTCGAGGCCATCTACCGCCGTAGCCAGAACCTCGACATCGACGAGGTCGACCTGCAAGAGGGCATCCCTGGAGTCTTTACCGGCATCTCCAACAGAGACCTGCTGGACAAGACGGTGCCTCTCAAGCTAGGCCCCCTGCCCATGGAAGAGGATCTCCGCGACGATGTCAGAGCCGAGCTCCAGGATGAAGACGCGCTGAACCCGCCGCCTGAAGGCCGACCCACCCTGGTCGACGAATTCGATCGCAAGATCAAGCGCGAGGAGAGCGCCGACGGCCCAAACAGATCCGACCTCCCTCTCCCGCCGTCCCGTGCCCGAGACGTAGTCATGGAGATGCAGAAGGTGAGAGAAAACCGCGACCGTTTCAAGATCGAGGGGCGCACCGGCGGCGTCGGCGTCGCCGTCAGCGCGTGCATGTTCACATTCCACAACACCCTTGGAAGGTGAGTACAGATTGACCGGCTCCCGTACTGACCCCGGCTAAACAAAAGCAGCGTGTCATGCATGGACTTCTCCAAAGACCACGAGATGGTGGCCATTGGCACCACGGACTCATACATCCGCGTCTGGCACCTCGAGGGCAAGCCCCTGAAGTCGAAGCGACCCGACGAGAAGGACTTCAAGTTCAACAACCGCAAGTTGATCGGCCACTCGGCCCAGGTCTTTTCGGTCTCCTTCTCCGACTCGATTGCTAAGCTCGATCGTGCGCCGTTTGGCGAGGAGGGCAAGGGCGAGAGCCCCATCGAAACCAGCTCCAAGCTCCTGTTGTCTTGCTCCGCCGACGGCACTGTTCGCATCTGGTCCTTGGACATTTGGGCGTGCGTTTGCGTCTACAAGGGCCACGACGGACCCGTCATGAGAGCCGAGTGGGGGCCTCACGGTCACTACTTTCTGACCGGCGGCTGGGACAAGACGGCTCGCGTCTGGATGCAAGACCACGCGTCTGCGCAGCGCATCCTAGTCGGACACGACTCGAGTATTTCGGCAGTCGCATGGCACCCGAACGGAACCTACGTCTTCTCGGCCTCGGACGAGACAGACAAGTCGATCCGCATGTGGTCTGTCATCACGGGCCAGTGCGTGCGAGTCTTCACAGGTCATACCGACTACATCTCAGCCATTGAGTGTGCGCCCAACGGCAAGATCCTGGCCACCGCCGATAACAGCGGCAACATCTTCTTCTGGGACATCCAGAAGGGCGCACGCATCAAGCGCTCACGCGGCCACGGCAAGGGCGGTATCTGGTCTCTGAGCTTCAGCGTCGAGTCCAACGTCCTGGTTTCTGGTGGTCAAGACGGCACCGTCCGTGTCTGGGACGTCGATCTTCCCGCCGAAGGCCACAAGGTCGTGCAGCAACAACAGGGCACGGCACCCACACAGGAAGGAGGCGACACCATCGTCGCGGCCACGGGGCAGACGGACCGACCGAGCGCGAGCGGCCAGGGAGCTACTGGCAGCGGCTCCAACGCACCCAGCGGTAGTAAGAAGAAGGGCAAGGAGGTGATGATTACGCCCGACCAGATCAGCGCGTTCCCGACCAAGAAGACCCCCGTCATGAAGGTGCAGTTCACGCGTATGAACCTGATTGTGGCTGGTGGCTGCTACGATCCCGACCGCTAGTCAAGGGCACCCTGGATATATCGGCAAGACAGAAACGACATTGGTGGAGGGAGAAGTAGATTGCTTTCATCCAAAGTTTGGCGTTGGGGGGGGGAGGTCGCGGCAATCGACGAAACATAACATTTTGTAGGGTAATCAGGCCAAGCAGCAACAACCGTTGTGTTGTCGGCCTATGTAAATCAATCAGTGTAGTAGATACCTCGGGCTATTCTTCCTTGAATACCAAAAGTGCAAATTGTCACAGCGTATTAAAATGGTGTGTCTGTCAGTTAGCTGGTGTGGAAAAAAAGCAAGAATGATGCAGGATCAAAGTGAAGCTCGGTCATTAATACAACACGACACTCGCTGAAGTCGGGAGGAAGCTGAAGAACAGTGACGTCGGGTACTTGGGCTACAGCCTACAGGGGTGAGGGGGCTTGAGGGGTACCCAACCATTTGGGGCCGGGGCTGAAGCTTCCACAAGGCAGTAATAGCGAATCACAAGGTACCTTCGTACCTTCTCATTGAGACCGTCAGACACCAGGACCAGAACCGGCCGTGCTGCTACTGCTGTTGCTGCATAACCTCCACCACGAAACCACATCTCAGCTGGCCATTTCGCTGCATTCGTGGTGTTCCGCAGCTCCGCCTCTAGCTCCTCCAAATCTGTTCCCACGAGTAGCTCGGTAATTGCGCATCAATTCGCCACAACATGGATCCCCTCGAGGAATCGCCATGGGGCGATTCGCAATCGCAACCTACGTCCAAGCCCTCATCGCAACCACTCTCCCAGAATGATGAGCAGCAGTCGACGTCGCAGACCTCGGCCAAGTCAGACACAACCAGCGGCACCACGCCCTCCGCTCCCCGCCCGTCACGCTCAGGGCCTGTCCGCAGAGTCGTTTCCGCTCAGCCCACCCGCCTCGAAGCCGTCGACGACCCCCTCGGCCCCCTGGGTCCTCTCGGCGCTCCCGCCGCTGCCGACAACGGCGCCGACGCTGGCCACGATGCTCCGCCCGTTCCGCCGCAGAAGGAGCAGATGGTGATCCGCACCACGATGCCGCCCCAGCAGGGACGCCGCTCCGGCCCGGCCGACCCGCACAACATCGACGACGACGAGAACGACCGTCCCTCGGGCCCGAGGCAACCGCCGCCCGTCCAGGCTGCGCATCCCAGCCCCGTGCGGACCCATACCCAGCCCAGCGTCAGCGTCGAGCAGGCCAGCAAGCCAAGCTTCCACATCTCCGTGGGAGACCCGCACAAGGTCGGCGACCTGACCAGCTCGCACATCGTCTACTCCGTGCGGACCAAGGTATGCTCTCCGTGTTGTGTTCAGACTGTTGAGGCGGGGTGAGTTCGGCGTTGCTAACGATGCCCCCGCGACAGACGTCCTCCAAGGCCTACAAGCAGCCCGAGTTCGAGGTGAAGCGCAGATACCGCGACTTCCTCTGGCTGTACAACACGCTGCACGGAAATAACCCGGGTGTCGTCGTCCCCCCTCCGCCGGAGAAGCAGGCCGTCGGCCGTTTCGAGAGTAACTTTGTCGAAGGGCGCCGGGCCGCGCTGGAGAAGATGTTGAACAAGACGGCCGCCCACCCCACCCTGCAGCACGACGCGGACTTGAAGCTCTTCCTCGAGAGCGAGTCCTTCAACGTCGACGTCAAGCATAAGGAGCGGAGGGAACCCATCCCGGGCGAGAGCAAGGGTGTTCTCGGCAGTCTGGGTATCAATGTTGGCAGCAGCAACAAGTTTGTCGAGCAGGATGATGTGAGTATTTGTGTCTAGCACAGGTGGTGGTTAGGTCTAACAGATCGCAGTGGTTCCATGACCGCAAGGTCTACCTCGATGCGCTCGAGAACCAGCTCAAGGCTCTGCTCAAGGCTATGGAGACCATGGTCGGCCAGCGTAAGATGATGGCCGAGGCTGCCGGCGACTTTTCGGCGTCCCTCCACGCCCTGTCTACGGTCGAGCTCTCGCCTTCTCTGTCAGGACCTCTCGATGCGCTCTCGGAGCTGCAGCTCACCATCCGCGATGTCTACGACCGCCAGGCCCAGCAGGACGTCCTGACCTTTGGCATCATTATCGAGGAGTACATCCGTCTTATTGGCTCGGTCAAGCAAGCCTTCAGTCAAAGACAAAAGGCGTTCCATTCTTGGCACTCTGCCGAGTCGGAGCTTCAGAAGAAGAAGAGCACTCAGGACAAGCTCCTGCGGCAAGGAAAGAGTCAGCAGGACAGGCTGAACCAGGTTAGTGCCGAGGTCGGTGACGCGGAGCGCAAGGTGCACCAGGCCAGGCTTCTGTTCGAGGACATGGGCCGCCTGATGAGGGCGGAGCTGGACCGCTTCGAGCGGGAAAAGGTTGAGGACTTCAAGAGTGGAGTCGAGACTTTCCTGGAGAGCGCGGTCGAGGCACAAAAAGAGGTACGTAAACTCCCATGCTGCGACAGTCAAGTCGAGTCAGGGAACTAACACGGTGACAGTTGATTGAGAAGTGGGAGACGTTCCTGATGCAGCTGGACGCCGAGGACGACGAGACCGTCTTTTACCGGCCACCCGTCATCCAATCCTCAAAGCCGCCCGGCGACACGGCCATTGACCGCGCTCGTGCCACAATCAACGACGACTCTGACTAGAAGCCCGAGATCCGGCGCCCAATGCTTCACTACATCATCCCCACGCGTCACAGCAGCGGCTTCTTCTTTGACCCGTCGGCCGGTAGCTGGGACCATTGAATGGAGTTGGAACAAGCGCATCTTTGACAAAGCCTTTTCTCTTTGGTTGTTATTGTTGTTGTACATATATGACAGTAGAGGAAAACCCCCCTTGGGGGATAATTCTCCCGTAATCCGCCTGCCTCCCAACCACACTTGCTTCTCTTCTCTCTCTGACAAGGAAGCCGGCGGGCGCTATGAAGAAAACAAGAGTCCGATTGCATCTATCCCATCGTACAAGCCTTCTGTCCTCCGCTTCTTGCTCTGTGTGTGTGTGTGTGTGTGTGTGTGTTTTGATGTTGTTGTCTGTCGCGGTTCCTTGTTTAATTCTTCTTCTTCCTGCTCCCCTTCTTGGAATCACTGAGCACCTTCTGGGGCTCCAACGCCGCGTACCCGCTGATCAAGTCGCCCATGTCGAAGACGTCGTCCTTGGCCTCGGCGGCGGTGGCAGGGACGGCGTCATCTGCAGCCGCGGCAGTCTCCTGCTCGGCGGCGGGCCCCGCGGCGAGGTCGAAGCCGCGGCCGAAGCGCTCACGGAAGGCGGCGAGCTTGCCGGCCTCGTCAAGCTCGACGTTCTGGAGCGACTTTTCGGAGGGCTGCCACAGCGCGTGGTTGCGCGTGTCCTTTGCGGAGCGGACGAGGGCAGCCGGGGAGGTGGAGCGGACGGTGTAGGTGCTCCCGTCGGAGAGCTGGATGAGCTGGGTGAAGGTGTAGGGGCGGCGCGGGCGCGGGACGAAGGTGGCGGCGCGGGTCTGGATGAGGGTCGTCCTCTGGACGGGCGTCGAGGCGTTGTAGGGTAGGGGAGACGAGGAGGAAGAGGAGGCGATCGAGATGGACGTTCTGGGCCGGTGGCAGAGGAGGCTCGTCGGCCGCGGGAGGTGGGTTGGGAGCTTGCCCATTTTTATTTTTTTTGTACGATGGCTCTTCCCAAGGGGGGGAGGGACCGCTGTTTGTGGTTTTTGGACGCGCGAATTGAGCGACGGAGGGCGCGCGGCGGAAAGTGAGTAGGGCGAGAAGTTTCGGCGTGGGAAGGGGAGAATTGAAGCTTTTCGCGATGAGCACACACGCTCTTACACACGTCTGGGTCGTTGTCTATCTCGAACTCCTTGCACGAGCGAGACCAAAATTTCGGCTCGTCGGGGCCGGGGAGTTCCGTGCACGGTCCGGGGGGTCTGGTCAGGCTCAGCGAGGCGGTTATTTCTTATCGATAAGGGATTTTCTTCCACTCTTCCACTGGGGGGGGGCTTTTCTTTTACATCACCGGAGCTCAAGCTATTGCAAGGGTGGGTTTGAGTGAGGTTTCCTGGATCATTGGTTTTCCTTCCCATTCACTACGCGGCTGAGAAAACAAATAGTCGCACACCCCGAGACTACCTACACAAAGAAAATAGCTTCGACTCTTCCCCGGCCGCGTTCACTAAGAAGCGCATTCCCTCCCCCCTTTGCTCTACCGGGGCATTTCCTTCAACTTCTTCTTTTTCCCTGGGCCGTAGAGGCAGGAAATGGTACGGCGCATGCAATGAGCGGAGCTCGTGTGCTTGCGACGGCGGTGCGCTGCCCCGGCCGGGCGAGCATCGGAGGAGAGGCCGCGCGGAGGATCCTGGCCGGAGGCGGTAAGCTACTCCTCCATCCCCTCCCCCTTACTCTCTCTGTCAGCTTCTGGCGACGGTGACTGACACATTCGCAGCACACATACAGGCCCTCAACAGTCCTCAATGGCCCGTCGTCGGCCATGCCCTCCCCTCGACCGCCGAGTCCCGCCGAGCGATACACGCGACCCTACCGACCCCACGGCCGTCGTCGCCAGCATGGCGCGCCGAGCCCCCGCGGCCGCCGGCGTCGACGCACGACGCAGGAGACGAGCTCCCGGAGCAGCTCCGCGGGGTGATGCGGCGGCTGGCGCACTCGGTGGTGGTCTGCACGGCGACGGACCGGAGGGGCCGGCCGCGGGGGATGACCATGTCGAGCTTCGTGTCGCTGAGCATGGAGCCTGTGCCGTTGGTGACGTTCAACGTGCGGACGCCCAGCCGGACGCTGCAGGCGATCCAGGACGACGACGGCGGCGGTGGCGGGCTGTTCAACATTCACGTGCTGGCCGAGGGCGCCGAGGGCGCGCGCGTCGCCGAGTGGTTCACGCGGGGCAACGGCGCCGCCGGCGAGGGGCTCTTCCGCGAGCTGCCGGACGGCGTCGGGGTCTGTGAGGAGGACGGGGCGGCGCCTGTGCTGGAGGGCAAGGGGGTCCTGTACGTGTTGCGGTGTAGGGCACTCGGGGAGGGGATGGTGAGGGTGAGGGACCACGTCGTCGTCGTGGGAGAGGTCGAAGGGGTGCTGAGGGGTGAGGGGGAGGGGTTCGGTCTCGTCTACGCGGACCGGCGGTATCGGGTCTTGGGAGACGTCTTGGTCAAGGGAGAGGAGTGAGAGTTGGAGGGAGGGAGGGAGGTGCTTTGTTGGAACTTATCAAGCGAGAAAGACGGCAAGTTGAGTGGCATCGTGTACCATACCGTGTATAAAAGATGATTGAGATGTATACTATATTGAGGGAATGCCACGCCCAATCCAAAAACCAGTCGGTGTCCTTTTGTGTCATTGGGGGTTCATGAGCTTTGCTGACGGTCTACGGACGAATCTCAAGGGTTGCAATGACGTCCGCCTTACCTTGTTTACGATCCAACACGAGACACCCGGTTGGGAACGCGAGGCTGCCGAGCTCGAACCGGCGAAGCAGATATGCCATCGATCCAGGCCGCGAGCCTGATATCGCGATACCCGCTCGCGATCACCAACAGCAACGTGGTTCGGGGCTCTGAGGGCGGCCTCGCGATATCAAAATACACTGCTCCCCCCAACGTCTGTTCCTTGATGCAGCTTACTCTCGGCCAGCGGGGAAAAAAATTGAGCCGCCAATCTCTAGGGGCCAATTACGAGGGGCAGGTGTGCGGAATTGGCGCGGAGCGTTGTGCGTGGTGTGGTGTGATGGCATGGGAGGGGTTTGGAGGTCCATAAGGCTAAGTTGAGCTTGTGACTAGCTCGGCTGGTCGCCGTAGACCGTGCTAACACGGCGGGCCAGTGAGGGTGTCCCGGTTGCCACTAATCAGAGCGCGGCCAGCACGCCGGATGGAGGGGTGTAGTTCATCATCAAAGGAAGCACTTTGGGGCGCCAAGAGAAGGGCAAGAGGGGAACGAACTTGGATCGTCGCATAAGGTGGCGGACCCGCCGTCGCGATGAATCTAGGGGCAGAGGCCTCTTGGTGTTGAAGGAGTTACACCAGACCGGGGATGAGCGCTTGAATGGGAGTGTCAATTGCCCACGAGGTTTTGTGTGGTTACTGCGAGGACGTTGACCAGACCAAGCCCATCAACGACGGATACCAAGACGGCAAGCAGAATAAAGAAGAAGAAAATAAAACCATCATCACACTACCAGTCACAAACACAGATACATAGTTTGTCACCACAGCCAGAGAAGAGCCCAGCGACCGCGAGAGACTTACATGTTGGCGGCGGCGAACTGGACTGTGCCGGCGGTGATGCAGGAGAGGTTCGCCGGGGTTGTGGGGGCGGAGGCGGGGCAGGCGGTGGACGGGGTGCGGTATCCGATCGGCCACTGCCCGGAGGTGACCGGGGTGGAGGCGGTTGTCGATTGCGTTCGGAAAGCTGTGATTGCCGAGGGGGGGTAGGTTGTGTGTTTGTGTAGGAGACATTACCAAGCCGTTTTCTGTAGGGAATTTGAGTAGCAAGAGTATTTTTGGTCATATTTGCTGGCCCGTCTAGTCGTTTGGGTGGTGTGTCGTTCAGTTCCCCAAGGCAAGGGATCCTCTAGGTTTTGATATAGTAGGTTCTAGAAGCATCGATGGTAGGTACCTATGCGGATCCCACGAACCCGCCGCAGGCAGGCTGGAGCCTGGAAGTGTCCGCCGAAGGATGATTGCGACATTATTCCCACTCATCAGACATGCGGGATACCCCTCAGCTCATTTGACTTGAACTACGCATACTACGTACATGCTTCTTCGTACGTGTTGTTCCCGAGAGACCAGCTTCACTTTAGGAGTTCGATTGAGATGGGAAGTTGCAAAAAGATATGGGCCGTGCAACAGCACCCCGGACGCTGCCAGATGGGCGGGCGGTTCACAACATGGGGAGATGCGATGCGTTGGCCAACGGGCAGAGCAACCATGTCCCGCATCGGGGCAGATTAGATTCATTCAGTCTTCCCCATGCCGACTCGTCGTCGGTGGGTGTGGAGGGAGAAACCAACCTCAGTCAGGGTCAGGGTCCTTCAGCTCTCTGAACAGGCGCCAAAACAAACCAGGCACCAGGATGCGGATTGGGTGAAGGAGTGCATAGCCTCGTCTACTACCTACCTCTGTATGCATGCCATGCAGCCACGGTGCCGCCTTATTCTGCCCCATCATCCCTAGGCAGATTCCGATAGTAGGTACCTCGTGTATATGTACACCACGTATTACATAGTATGTTCTACTTGATATGGTGCTCGTAAACAGCCCCCCCCCCACCGGGACAATGGAGGAGGGAGAGAAGAGTCTAGCAGATGGTAGAAGAAGTGGAAACGAGTGAAGGTATTTGCAGAAAGAAAGGAGGAAGGAGGGGTAGGCACCCAGTTGCGAATGTCGTCCAGGAAAATGGATTCTAAAAATGGAAGAATAACAAAAAAGGGAAATAGAACAATCGATTGATTGCATTGCCCATCTCCTCCACCGGGAGGGGAGGCAAGGAGGCAAAGCAAGGACACGAACAGGCAGGAGGCAGGAGAGGAGCTCCTAGGAAGTCAGGAAGGCAGATGGGGGGAGGCGCTGTGCTGTCTCTGGCTTGCTTACCGGTGGTATGGCAGATGTGCCTTCCCATTCTCTTCTTTTCCATATGTTGAAAGGTGGAAGGCACCATAGAAAAAAGACACCCCCGCTGCCCCGTCTGTTCCAGAGTCCCCACAAGGTACCTACTGTAGCTGCCCCGCCAAACGGCCAATCAGAGTACACCGCACGGTTGCTGCGGTGGCAGGGCAAGCGAATCAGAGAAGGGTCTGGAAGGCCTGGAGGTGATGGAATCGTATAGAATTTCTGAGCTGGGGTGAGCGTCGCTGCTTTGGTCCCTCTCTCTGCGAGACGCTTTTTCTTTTTTAGCCTCCTCCTCTTCCACCGTCGCCTCGACTCTCTGACCTTCTTTTCCTTCCTCACATCACAAACTCTCTCCTCCCCTTTTCTCTTCAATTCCGCTCTTCTCTCCTACTCATCCAACAATCATAGCAGCGAAAGAACTGCCACATTTTGTTGAGAAGGTAAGCAAATCTCGTCCCGCCGCCATCCATCACCCCCCCTGCCCCGCCTGCTGCTCCCCGCGGTGCTGTGCGTGCTGTGTTGCGTCTCCAACCAACACTACACCTCGTTCCCCTCTCAATTCGCTCTTGGCTTTCTGCTGCAAAAAATCAGCGTCAGCCTCATCCGCGGGGGAGGGGAGTCTTGGTATTTACTGCTTTTGCACCAAATTCCCGAGAAAAAGACGGATATTCCTACCGTTTGCACTTCTCGGATGGGTGACAAGGCTCGCTTCCCTCCCGCCCATGTCCCTGCATCCTGCCCCTCCTTCCCAAGAGAGTCACCTTCAGCGGCAACCACACACGTCTAAGCCCCAAAACCACAGCACAGCTAACAACTCTTGCCAGAATTACGACCGTTACGCCATAGATACCCATATCCACCGTCACAATGTCTAACCCCGAGACCTTCGAGTTTCAGGCTGAGATCTCTCAGCTCCTGTCTCTCATCATCAACACTGTCTACTCAAACAAGGAGATCTTCCTGCGTGAACTTGTCTCCAACGCCTCCGATGCCTTGGACAAGATCCGCTATGAGTCCCTCTCCGACCCCAGCAAGCTCGACTCGGGCAAGGACCTGAGAATCGACATCATCCCTGACAAGGAGAACAAGACCCTCACCATCCGTGATACCGGTATCGGTTTCACCAAGGCTGTAAGTCGCCCTTGCTGCTTGCGCTCTTAGTGGTCCAGACCCCGATCCGAACAAGTTGGCTAACCCACTTTCACAGGACCTTGTCAACAACCTCGGTACCATTGCCCGTTCCGGCACCAAGCAGTTCATGGAGGCCCTCACCGCCGGTGCCGACATCTCCATGATCGGCCAGTTCGGTGTTGGTTTCTACTCTGCCTACCTTGTTGCCGACAAGGTCACCGTCGTCTCCAAGCACAACGACGACGAGCAGTACATCTGGGAGTCCTCTGCCGGTGGCACCTTCTCCATCACCCCCGACACCGAGGGTGAGCCCCTTGGCCGCGGCACCAAGATCATCCTTCACCTGAAGGATGAGCAGACCGACTACCTCAACGAGTCCAAGATCAAGGAGGTCATCAAGAAGCACTCCGAGTTCATCTCCTACCCCATCTACCTCCACGTCACCAAGGAGACCGAGAAGGAGGTCCCCGATGAGGAGGCTGAGACCACCGAGGCCGCCGAGGATGATGACAAGAAGCCCAAGATCGAGGAGGTCGACGACGAGGAGGAGAACAAGGAGAAGAAGCCCAAGACCAAGAAGGTCAAGGAGACCTCCATCGAGGAGGAGGAGCTCAACAAGCAGAAGCCCATCTGGACTCGCAACCCCCAGGACATCAGCCAGGAGGAGTACGCCTCCTTTTACAAGTCCCTCTCCAACGACTGGGAGGACCACCTCGCCGTCAAGCACTTCTCCGTCGAGGGTCAGCTCGAGTTCCGCGCCATCCTCTTCGTCCCCAAGCGCGCTCCCTTCGACCTGTTCGAGACCAAGAAGACCAAGAACAACATCAAGCTCTACGTCCGCCGCGTCTTCATCACCGACGACGCCACCGACCTCATCCCCGAGTGGCTCGGCTTCGTCAAGGGTGTTGTCGACTCTGAGGACCTTCCCCTCAACCTGTCTCGTGAGACCCTCCAGCAGAACAAGATCATGAAGGTCATCAAGAAGAACATTGTCAAGAAGGCTCTCGAGCTCTTCCAGGAGATCGCCGAGGACAAGGAGCAGTTCGACAAGTTCTACTCTGCCTTCTCCAAGAACCTCAAGCTCGGAATCCACGAGGACTCCCAGAACCGCAACCTCCTCGCCAAGCTCCTCCGCTTCCAGTCCACCAAGTCTGGCGACGAGCTCACCTCCCTCACCGACTACGTCACTCGCATGCCCGAGGTCCAGAAGAACATCTACTACATCACCGGCGAGTCCATCAAGGCCGTCACCAAGTCCCCCTTCCTTGACTCCCTCAAGGAGAAGAACTTTGAGGTTCTCTTCCTCGTCGACCCCATTGACGAGTACGCCATGACTCAGCTCAAGGAGTTCGAGGGCAAGAAGCTTGTCGACATCACCAAGGACTTCGAGCTCGAGGAGACCGAGGAGGAGAAGGCCCAGCGCGAGAAGGAGGAGGCCGAGTACGAGGGTCTGGCCAAGAGCCTGAAGAACGTCCTCGGCGACAAGGTCGAGAAGGTCGTCGTCTCCCACAAGCTCACCGGCGCCCCCTGCGCCATCCGCACTGGTCAGTTCGGTTGGTCTGCCAACATGGAGCGTATCATGAAGG